ATATATGTATAATAATAATAATAATAATAATAGAAAATGAGTGAGAGGTCACCCAAATGCAATTCACTACAATTCGTGTTTTTTTTTTTCAAAAATAGAAAAATTCTCATATTTTTCGGGCTCTACACACTCTAAATAACAATATTATTTATTTGCGCTCGAATATTTTTCTATTATTATTATTAGTATTAGTATTAATATTAATAATAATAATAATCCTAATAATAATAATAGTAATAATGAAGTTTTTTTTTCTGCCAATCATATATTTTTTCTCATTGCATTTCCTCTTAATACAAGATATTGTTTTTAAAAAAATAATATATAAATATTAATAAAATGCGGCGGAGCACGTTATTTGCTGTTTAGTTTTTTGTGCGAAAATATTATGTTGAAATTTATTCAAAATATTGTTGACGTTCGAAAAAAGAAAATCGAACTTGTTTGGAATAACATGCTCGAGTGTTTATTTATTTATATCAATTTTCACGAATTTTATGCTTTAAAAACACGAAAACGAAACTCTTATGAGAATGGAAAAATAATCAATTAATATTGGGATACTGTATGCTGTTCACTCTGCAAACACCCATTCTTCAATCTGCACACACACACACACACGATAATTCTATTATAATTTCCTTTCGTTTAATTTGTTTTGTCCTTGTTTAGCCAAATCTTTGAGTCGTCCCTAATGGTGCATCACGTCCTCAATTCGATGAGCCAGATGGTTGATAATGGGTTTACTCAAGTTCTTGCGCTAATTCGCCATACATATATAAAATTAAGTGCTATTTAAATAATTAGCAAATCAATTCGGTGAATATATCGACTTCTATTTTCAAATAGACGTCATTGCTATTCAAAAAATAAAAAAAAAAAATAAAAATGATTTGAATAATGCAAATTTGAAATGTACATTGCATTAATGTATGTAACGTTTTCAATGAAATTGCGAGTCTTTTCAAATATTATAATTAGGTTTTTTTTTTGTTGAGAGATTCCTCCACGACGCTAAATTGCATCGAATTGAATTAAAAGTATATGTGTGGTCGTCCTTCATTTCATTTTCAAACATTAACATTTTACTCGGACCTCCCTCCTCCTCACTCTGCCTCCTTCCATCGTTCTTCTTCCTCATCATCATCATCATCATCATTTCCCATTTCATTCATTCAAAATTACGTTTAAACATCTGTCTTTTCTCAATAGGCCGTTTGTTACACACATTTTGCGCTTAATTCCAGATAATCGAGCGAAAGTAAAGAATCACCAACATTTTTTGCGAGTGCCGCCGAACGAAGCTCGCATCGGCGCCACATCTTGCTGAAATCCATATTAGATCAATCAAGAGAATTGTGCAACAGTCGCGCGCCGCTCGCGCCGAATCAGGAGCAGCACGAGAAGTCCGAAAAAAGGTGAGGCGAGCGCTAATAAAATAAAGACGATTAAACGGTCACCACACAACCAGATAGGTAAACAAAAATGAATAAATGAAAAACAGCTTGGTCAGTGTGTCCTGGCGCCACCTGGTATGTCTTGTTGAAAAAGGGAAAAAACCGCCGCCTCTTTCCTGACCATTTTATTTGCCCACTTTTCATTTCATTTCAAAAACTGCGCACTTTCAATATATTATTTAGTCATCGCCTTCATCTCTTTCAAAAAAAAACCGTTTTTTTCCTGCTAAATTTGGATAATTGCACTATTATGTCGAAAATTGTTAGCCATGGTGGTGGTTTGGCGCAAAATTTGAATTTCGTTTTGCGAATATCATTAATCATTCGATGGCGTTGTCGAGCCAAATGGTCACATAAATCTGAAGAGGCACCCGGAAAATTGGGAATTTATTTTACAGGTGACCACGCGCGCTATTCAATGTTTATTTTAAAAATCAAACAGGAGATTCAAACTTCCGGTGTTGATAAATTTTTAAATGAAAAATTCGGCGAAAAATAAATGCTTATAAACCTAAAGCTGCAAAAAATTCGATTTTTTAAATTGAAAATTACGTTTTCAGACAACTTTTTTTTTTAAAGTTGAAAAATTTTAAATTCCTTCTTTAAAAAAATCTTCTCGTTTTCGTCAGTTTTGTTTAAATTTCACAATTCCAGAAGCGATTTTTTTTTCAATTTTTCTAGTCGTATGATTTTGCTCTTCCATATTTCACCACATTTGCCCATTTTTTTACAGATTCTTTTTTCTTTTTCCATTTTTCTATAATTCAAAAAAAATCCACTTCAACACAAATCTTATGATAATGGAAATAATTCGACGCTTATGTGTTTTGGAAAAAAAATGACAAAATGCAATTTCATGAAAAATTTCAATTCAAACTCGTTTTTCTTTTTTTTTAACACACACATACATACACAAAACGTTAATACTCGGTCCACTTGAATATAAAATTCGACTCGTAATTTATTTTTGTTGCTTCGAATTCTCGAGAACCAGCGTGCTCCTAAAAAGTAGTGCTCTATTCGAAATTAATAATTACATTTAATTTTCACAAAAAAAAACGCATAATTATAGCTCCAAGTCAGAAGGTTTTTTAGGCGACAGAAAACACATTTGATCGAAATCAAAAGTAGTCAAATTCATTTAATTCTAGTATATACATTTTTAGCACAAATTGTCTATGTCTTTACCACAATGTCTCCATTTATGGCACGCACCGGCACTAGCAAACATACCCTCTCATTTTGAACCAATCCCTCAAACATATATATATACATATATATATATATATAATTTTATTATATATGTATAATATATACATTTATAGTATGGCATATAGTAATAGTGGGGGAGGTTTTTCTCATAATTTTATTCAAATGTTTTGCATCATTCATTCATTCTTCATTCTGAGAGCAGATGTCCTGGAAAACGTGAAAAACGAAAAACATTAAATGTGAAAGAGACGATCACCAAATAATAAGAGGCGAACGAAATCCTGACCATCTGTCGTTTGGGGGGTTTTTTGCGCCTTCTCATCGCCACCCACCAAATTGCACGTTCTGGGCCCGCCCCTCAGCCACCCTCTGTCCCAACGACCGCTAGTCCGCCATACCCATTTTCTTCCAAAAAAAAAGTTTTTTGTTGGCCATTTATGCCCACAAATTCACTAACTTATTCATTTATTTGGATGTTTTAATTTGGACGCGGTGTGTGTGTTTTTAATGAAATAAATGTACGAATTGCCTTTGTCGCGATGCGCGCTATCAGCGAATTTTTGGTTATCAATTTTAAAAGTATTTTATCAATTAAGTAAGTGGCTGGGAGGGCAATTTTCTTTTTGATTTGAAAAACCCCGCAATTTTTTCAAGCAAATGATAATCAGAGGGTGTTTTATAGCACAAAGTTGATTACGAATTTTTCATTTTTATACATTCAACATATTTTTTTTCTGCCTGAATGAAATATTTCTAAATACCTTCTAAAGTCTTAGAGATCCTGAAGATTTTGGTTATTTGATTTGGTGTCGCCCAAAATGCTTCATCTTCTTCAATTTTCTACCTGATTGGATTTTTTTGTGTCGTACCATCAATCTTTTTGTGGCTTGCTGCCAGAAATTCGTGTCTTCAATGACAAAATTGAATTCCGCCCATTATTATTAGCTTATTGAAGATCACGGGATATTGCGAATCACGTGAGATTCTCGGATCTCCAATATTGAAACATTGACCTACAACAATCGTCCCAAAAACACTCCCCGCCAGTTCTATCTGTTATTGCAGTTCGCTGTAATGCGAATGGAAAGACGGTTGAGAATAATTGAAATTTTTGCAAATGTAATTCGATTATTTGTGTCAAAAAAATGGCGTTTTATGCATTTTACACTGGCATGTTTTATGATTTTTTTTGGCGTAATACGGTCTCGCCGACGTGGGCGGGAGGCAATTTCGCCAATGTTTTCGAAAAGACGCGCAAATTTTCATTTCGAACTTTTTATTTCGTTTTGTCTTGTTCGAAATTCGCACAGTTGCTTAAATCGACACCGGCTTAAAGGAGCAGATGGTAGGAATTGCGAATGTCCAACAACAACACTAAAAAACTGTAGGCTATGTAGGCACAATGTTTCGAATGAGACCTTGAAACCCAAACTCTCTATTAATAATGTGTCAATCTTGTTTCAACAACGTGAAAATACGTAGAAAAAGATACAATTGCGCCCTGGTCCAAACATTCTTATCTAATTTTCTCGCGAAAGTTCACCTTTGCCTTCTCCTCCCTCTCTCAAAACACCAGTATTCGTAGAAGGGCCCTCTGGCTCGCATAAAATTCTCCAATAAATAATAAATTCGAGGCCACGCCCACTTTTTAAAGCATCTCCACTGGTCACGAAATTATTGTGAATTTCGCAAGAGGACTACTCGTATGGAGGCCACGCCCTCCCATTTTTTCCTCACTTGATTATTGAAGAAAACGCTGCTGACTAGTATAGAGAGAGAGAGTTGACATTGAAATTGAATTCTACGATTATTTCATTTGTTTCCTCGATATTTGAATTATATGCAGATGTCAATTGATTTTTACACTAAAAACGGCCTCAAATCGAATTATCTTCAGTGTTGTTCTCCTCAAAACGGGCAGGCAGCATCTCGTCGGGGTGTTGTTGTTTAATGTTTCACTCTCACTTTGCCTCACGCCAAACTAATATTTTTTTTGCAAGGGCCGCGGTTTTTTTTTCATTCGACTTGTCCTCGAAAAAAAATCGCCGACCTCGAGTTTATTACCCAATTTTTTTTCGTCTTCTTCATTATTTTTTTTGCAACGTCTCATCAAATTCCATTATTTCTTTTCTTATGCGCCGCCGGTTTTTGTGTGTGTGTGTGTGTTTCGCTGGGCGCTCTCACCTGTCGATCGCTGCCAGCCCGCCCTGCGCGTCCTTCGCCCCGCCCCTCTTCAATTTTTTTTTGAATTGAAATCGTTTTTTGGCGCGAAATACTGTGCGATTTGCATTTTTCGAAATTTGACATGAAGTTGTTTTTTTGCGATTGCAGATGCTCCACGACGGTGACAGTGACCATCAACACGAGATGATTCTACAGCCACCGGAGCCGATGGAAGGAAACGAGATTGGTGAGCTTATGCAAATCGTGTGAAAAAAACATTTCCTCGTTTCAACTTTTATAATCAAAACATTTATTATTAGTTGTATGATTTGTGTTTGTGCTCACCGCCATCCGGGCTCCCATGATTGCAACGAAAGGACCGTCCGTTCCCTGACACCTTGGAGATTGTTGCGTAATATGGCACTAAACGGCCCGTTTTCCGGCCCATTCGCCTCATTTTGTATTCTTTATTATCCGTGCCTAATATCGTCCAATTTCTATTCGCATATTGTGAATAGAAATCAAAAATATCTCCTAATCCATTCTTGGTATAATCTCCAACAATTCTTGGCCTCAATTTCCACAAATATATGTATTAATATTCCCTCCAAATTTGTAGTAAACTGACGGATCTCGTACGGATATTTTTTTTAAGAATAATTGTTCTCAACACCAACAATATTCTAGTTTTTTTTAAATGTCGAACTAAGCATTTTCTCAAAGCTACACTTCAATTACAAACCTGGTATTTATCCGAATAACCTAAATTGGGTTATCCTTCAAAATTGAAGGAAACTAAAAGTTTTCGGAAATTTTTGAGTTGTTTCCCCCCGAGACACTCGGCCGTAAATGTTTCGAGTGAATTTTTAATTCTCGCTAAATTCTTTTAATAAAAGTGCAAAACGCATAAATATAGAAGGTATTTGATTGCTCACTAATGCGATTAGTTAAATATAAAAGTTGAATTTCTCTCCAGATTTTACACTTTACAGCTGTTATTGGTCGGGGGGTTTAACACACATACACATACGCACACAATGTTTACTATTATTATTTATTATTATTATTACTATGATTATTACATTGACGAGGGCGGCATTGTAGGCTCGTGCTCGTAAATCAAAAACTTGGTGACAGCCACTCGATTTCACTTCTATCTTCAATTTTTATTCGATTTTTTTTTGTCTGTCGTCACTTGCAATTTTTATTTCGTTATCAAATCTGATTGATGTTGACCTTAATAATGAGTATAAGCTAGTGCAGATTAATCAATTGTGAAACTCAAAATTGGTTCGTTTTCTTTTCTATCGAATGCCCATAATCACCACACTTATTGGCCAACAACAAATGTTTCGTTATTTCTTATCATCTCGCCCTTTATTTGGGATACACTTCTTTTTTTTTCTTAAAGAGAAAAATTTTGATTTTCTAGAATCACTATCAATTCCCTTTTGTTATTTGCAGATTTTATGCACAGTTGCTCGATTAATGGAGAAGACGCGAATGGGGGCGGATCGACGACAGATCGCTCCTCAATATCGCCATCGCATGTTGATGAAATGAATGTGAGTCGTTTTCGTGTGTCGAAAATTGATGAGCCCCGACGAGAGTTTTGAGATTCTTGATCAAATATTTGAGAAAAGTTTTTATGTTATGAAATTCTCTGAGAAAGATATTGGAGTGAATTAATGAAAATCAAATAAAGCTTGAATCAAGACTTTTCCCACTTTAACATTTTTTTCTTTTTTTTGGAAAAATCTTATCACTGCTTACCACTGTGAGTCACAAAAATATAAATAGTGAACGTGCTTTCTTTAGCATTTCAAAAAAAAAACAAATTTTCAAAATTTCGGCCTTGAATCGCGTGATATTTTCGACAAAAATAATCCAAACTAGGCGAAAACTTCTCATATTTGACGCTGATAACATTTGTTTATATAAACATTGTAATCACGACAAAATTTGTTGAACGCAGTAAAGACGAAAAAGGAAAAAAAAGGTTTTGATGTTCGCGAAAAATTCACACTATAATGTCAACAAAAAACACAAAAATTGCACTGATCGCGAGCGGCCCGCATCGACTTAAAGACAAAAAAAAACGTTGGCGATCCGAATATTTACTTTTGGACAGACTTGAGCTGTCGAAATTATCAGCAGACGAGGAATCAAAAAATGCTCATTGGTTGTCGTTTTAGGATCTGATTGAGAATGGTGTCAAGTACAACGCGGAAGGAAAAGTCGGCGGCGCGATGAGCGAAAATGATCGCCGCATCGAATTACTCGACGCGAAATTCATTTATATTCAACATCAGGTTTTTTTTTGTTGAAGAAAAATTCTTTTCAATGAGATTTTTTTTTCAATTCCAGATGTCCAAAATAATGCGGCATTTGCATGTAACGCCGTGCGTTTGCGAGTCGTGCAATGAAATTCATCAAAATATTGAAGGGGTACGGCAATTGGTGAGTATTTTTTTTATTTTATATACAGATAATGGTTACTGTAGCACTAGTTAACAACTATTTTCGATAATCAAAACTTCCTTGGAGCATTGTTTCTTTGAAATCTGTGAAAAAAAATGGATAAGAATTTCACTTCAAAAATGCGGTAAATTTCGAAATATTTCTTCGAAAGGTCAACCAAATTCATAGAAATCTAGACTAAAGTACTTTATTATCGCAATTATTGCCAAATTTTAAACTGACACCATAAATGGCCTTCAAAAGTTGCTTCCTTTAAACTTTTTTTTCGAACAAACAAAATGATGTGTAAGAATTGAAAGTTGGCGGTGCTTCTTCAAATTATTCATAATATTCTAGATTATTCAGACGGTTGTAAAAATTGTAAATTAAACAAAAATGCCGCGCATTTTTTTATTAATGCATATACATACATAGCTTTACACATGTACACACTGCATTCTAATGCGACGCCAAATACGAACCATTCATTGTTAGCAGTGTCCATATTTGTGTAAACATAAAAACACATTTTTTTATAAATTTTTATTTAAAAATTTGTTATATATATAATATGTTCATTCTATCTACGGCGTGAACACATGAGGTGTCAATATTTGAGCAGAAATAACAATTATTTGGTCAACGAGGGATTTTCGTGATGAGATTTTTTTTGCAGAATGATCCGACGGATATGCTGTCACAATTATTTCCCAATGCTTCACCTCAACAATTACGAACACTCTTGGACTTGTCGAAAATGAATAAACTGCCATCGCAGGTTGTTTCGCAGAAGGAGCATATGGCCAGTGCTCCAGTGGTAGCAAAACCGAAACTAGGAGCGGATTACTCGGCGCATAATGGTGGCGGTAAAATTGGAAGTGTCACTGGAATCGAGGCATCGAAAAAGGCGATTGCTGATTATGCTAGAATACACGGTGGAGCGGCAGCTGCGAAGAAGTTCGGAATCCCGCCGCCCGTTTCGACTTACTACCAGAAGAAAGACAGCTCAAGCTGTAAGTGTCTTTTTTTTCATTAAAAATACATTAGTGGACAACAAATTTCGCTCCAGACAGATGTTCAAAGGTCCAGATGTACATTTATATAAGGTCATTTTGTGTTGACCGACTTTACGTATAACGAATGATGTCATATTTGTTGAAATTATGCATAATTTGGCATTTTCTTTGTTTAAAAATTGTTACAAAAATCCCATTTAATTAGGTCCTGTTTTCTTTGTTTTAAACAAAAATTCGCCCGTTTTTTTTATTCATTTGAAAATCTTCTCATCGCATCAATCAAGTTTCCCACATCCGACTACCAATTTTCTCACGTCGAATGTTGTTTGAGACGCAGAGCGAAAAATGAAGCGGGTGATTTGAATTTTACACCGTTGTTCATTTGGCTGTACAACCGAATTTATTGGGTTTTTTATTTTGGGGTTGGTGCAAATTCAAACGATGAGATTTATGATCCAGAAGAGAATGACAATTTATATTAGTTTTAATAGACGTTTTCGAAATTTCGAATGGGATTTCGAAAGACGGACTGGAACTTGGGTGGAATCGAATTATATATCACGTATTTCAGCATTGCTTGCCAACACTCCGCTGGTTTCACTGCCGACAAACGGCATGAATCAGTTGTCGAACTCGGCTACTGCCTCGCCGGGACCGTCGTCTGATGGAGGCGATCGCGATGAGATGGCGTTCAATCATGAGCCAGCGCTGGTTGCCAACAACCAGAACGCTGCCATTAAACGACCATCAGCTCCTGCGGCATTCCCGCAAAAAATGGTTGATATGATTATGATGAACACTCAAAATGCTGCGCATTCAACCGGCTCTCCAGGATTCTTGCGCGGTCGTGGTCGCGGTCGGCCGAAGCTGATCGGAGACGAGCTTGACGCTGACCTTGTTGATTACATGGTCCAAGTCAAACAATCCGATCCGCATGGGCATATGACGGCTTCACAGGCTTTAGTTATTGCTCGCCAGTATATACTTGAGCGTGCACCCGGTCTTCTTGAAGAGCATGGCGGCCATGTGAAGCTGAAGCTCACTTGGGCGATGAAACTTGTTTCGCGGATCGCCGAGCGACAGAAAGAAATTGAGCTTGGTTTACCTGCCGGAACATTGTCGAACATGGGAAGAAATTTGAATAGCCTTCCTGGCGGCAATCTGATGGCTGATATGATGGCGCAGAACATTTTGTCGCAACATATGCTCATGGTGAATCAGATGAATAACGGTGAGCCGACGAATACGACGACAATTGAAGAAAAGCCGCCGAAGATTGAAAAACATCAAAATGAAGAGAATTTAGCTAGTGGTTCGTTAATTAATCTTGATTATTAATTTCATCATTTCTTTTTCAGCCGTTCAACCCGAAATAGTCAATATAAAAGAACTACATTTGCCATTCCTGAATAATTTTCTCGCCGAACTCAACGGAAAAGCAGCGACAGTCGTTGATGGTGAAATAGCTGGCGACATTGCCACCAATTAGAACCAAATGGGTCTCGTTTGGAGAACTCTCGTCGCGTTTTTCTTTACTTTTTTTTTCTACGCACTGTGTGCGAAACCAATCCCCCTGATCCTCCACGCTGTATCCTTTATTAACTTCTTATGATTCGTGTCAAATTATTTATTGTTGCTTGGCCAATGATTTCGATTTCGTCTTTGCCTAATTGTTGTAATATATTTTTTGCAAATTTGTTGAATTTTCATTTTTTTTCACCGCTTGACAGAAATTGCCTCATTGAACTCTCTCTCTCTCTCTCCCTCTCCTTCCCATTACATTACAGTATTCTTATAATTATTAACCGTATTGCTCACATTACTTAATCTCTCCAATTAAATCATTGTTTTGTTCTGAAATTATTCACTCCGCTGTTTTTAGGTGCCGTTCCTTTCTCTCTCCCATTATTTTCTTTTGTTTTTTGTCTCATTTATTTCTAATGTGAACCTCTAACAATTATTAACAATGAATGTTTATGATCTGATCAATATTTAGTAATTTATAAAAAAGAGAAGTTTGATCATGTTTTCTTTTTCCTAAAGAAAGTCTGAAAATTAGGCCCATAAAATGGGTATTAAACTCGATATTTTCTTATCTTTCGAAACATCGACTGGTTAAATATTTGAATTGCCATCAATTAATATTTTTCAACTAAACATTGTTGAGTGTAGGTGCAAAAAACGCATTAAAACCGTTTGAAAACGTCCTTGAAAGTTAGATTTTTATCTCGATTTTAATCACTTTCCTCAATCAAATAAAGTTCAAATGAAACAACGAAACGGCATCAATTTGACAGATCGTAGCGAAAAATACCACTTATCTGAGAAAAAAAACGTTTTATAACTGCAAAAAATGAAAATAGAATTCAAATATAGAATTTGAAAAAAAAACTGTTTTGAAGTGGGATTTGCGCTCGATTTTAAAAATAAAATGAGTAAACAAACTAAATCATTGCTAAACAAAAAAAAGAATGTGAGTTTACGAATATTCAAAAAATATTGTCGGCTTCAAACGGCTGAATTGATGCGGGGCCTTCAAATTCATGAAATCAGTGTAGATTTAAATTAGTGGGTGAACAATCCAACGCTTGGCGAATTCTGCTTCGCAATGATAGGAAGAGCCGACATCGAAGGATCAAAAAGCAACGTCGCTATGGACGCTTGGCTGCCACAAGCCAGTTATCCCTGTGGTAACTTTTCTGACACCTCTTACCAGAAACAATCTGGATTAAAAGGATCGATAGGCCACGCTTTCGCGGTCTGTACTCGTACTGAAAGTCAAGATCAAGCAAGCTTTTGCCCTTTTGCTCTACGAGAGGTTTCCGTCCTCTCTGAGCTCGCCTTAGGACACCTACGTTACGATTTGATAGATGTACCGCCCCAGTCAAACTCCCCGCTTGACACTGTCTTCGAGGAGAGTCACGGCACCATAAAATGGCGCCGCTTAACGCTTCGAAAAAAAGCATTTTTTTTAGAACCCCTCCATACATTTTCTTAAATCGCATACAGTAGCCATCAATTTCTAAAAGTTCTCTTTCTGGCCCACGCGCCATATTTTTCCAAAACAACTGCAAAATATACAAAATTGCGAAGGAAAAATGTTTTAAAATCATTCAAACAAAACAATGATGCAATTGCGCTCTACTGAGTACCGAGTTCAATCACAGGTAAAACGCGGTGACTCTGTGGTGGGTAGAAAGTGGGTAGTTGCGCGTTCACGAGTTGGCACACAATGGGTCGCTTGCGTACGAGATTTAATCCACCACGTACCCATCGCGTATGACATTTTTCAACCATTTCAGACCCACTGCCTTTCCATCAAACGCTTTGGGTATATTGTGGATGATATTCTACCCATTTTAGATCCATCGCGTATATTTACCCACTTTGAAGTCACCGCCTTTTACCTGAGATTACGGGCCAGTTCTATTAGTTATATTAAAGAATTTTCTATTCCAAACAAGTTCTATTGTAGCGAGTTCTGTTACAGCCAGCCGAGTTCCACTCCGGGGTACCACCCTCATTTGTGGTGAGTTTGATTCGCAGGTTATCTGTATCCGAATTAAAACTGATTTCATTCCAATTTGAATTGCCGCCTCGTAAAAGTTACGATGGTCCACGATTGTTCAAGGTGTGCGTTTTCTTCTGCATTATAATGCGTTATTAAAAAATACATTTTTTATAAAAAAAAACATTTTAAAAAAATATATTTTTTTATAAAAAAATATTTTTTTTTGTCAATTCCAAACGACTGATTCAATAATATATTGGCCATTTTGTCTCGAGGCAAACGAGACCTGCGTGTGTCTGCGTACTCTCCATTTTAGCCTACGCGCATTTAATTTTTTTGTCATATTTACATTATTTCTTCATTATCCGCTTTTCATGTGACTTCTGGTAGAATTTGTTACTTTTTAAGCAATTAGTTAGCTGGATAGTTTATTGAATATTTAACAAAAAAAAGTTGAGATCATCACGCATCTAAACCACTTTTCTCTTTCATTTTTGCCTCGTTTTGCATTAAAATCGCACCGAGTTTCGAAATAATCGAGAAAAAGACGAATCCGACAACGATTATAGCGGCTCCGACGGCGATTAGAATCCACGCGGGTTTCGTTAGCAAGAATCCGATTAGGGCGAGCGCTTCGAGGATGTAGACAAAGCTCGCAATGACCTGACGATGCAAATGAGTGCCCAAAAACGAGCCGATCGGTCCTGAATTTCTCATTTCAATGCTAATTTGATGATTTTTTTTTCGAGGGGACGACTAAAAAATGTTTTCTGTCAAAAGGGACCTTTTAATGAGCATCACCACTCATTTTTTCGACTGTTTCTTAATAAACCAACCAAATATGGAAACGACTGGAATTGTCACTTGAAAATATCGCCATGCCATAATGTCAATGTCGCCCATCATAACGGCCCGATAGTAAAAGCCAAACATGGATATCGACCCTTCAAACATGTCTCATGAGATAACCCAAATATGAATTTTCGAATTGGACCTTTTAATATCACTGTCGTTGGAGTTGCTACCTTTTCGGAAACTCGGAACAACAATGTGATGATGGCGAATATACAAATGTCGATTCCGGAGCCCGCAAACGAGTCAAAAATTCCTGAATTCCAAATATGTTCATAATTCTAAAACAATATCAAACCTCCAACAATTCCCGTAAGAAACAAGACAAAAGCTTTCCATGCGCAAAAATTTGGGATTTCTTTAAATGTTGGACGCTTCTTTTGGGCGTTCAGAAGGCCGAGAGCAAATGCGAAAGCTGTCCAGATGGACACGAACAACATTTTCTTTTGTGGTCCCGTGAATAATGGGTCTAGCTGAAAATCGAAATTGATTCGGCACACATCAAATTGCGAATCGAATTACGAAATGGACGCCGATAATGAATCCTGGAACGGCGCCAATGATTCCAATGATCACTGCGTTGGGCTCATATTGGACTTTCATGAATAAAACACAGACGAGGGCGGAAGTCATGCCTGAATTCGGCATTCAGTTGGGCGCTCTTTCGAAAATTTCACCAATCGATTGAATCATTAGCGAGAAATCTCTGGCAATTTCGGGAGCGATGTGTAGAGCGAGTGTCATGACGGGAAATGCAACGGCGCCGGCGCCTTCCGACGTCATCCCGCCGACGAATGCGCCCAACACCATTGTCAGCGGCATCTCCCAGTAATTCGGGTAATATCGGAAAAAGTTGTAGCGGATGGCGACTGACCACCACAGTGTCTGCAACAAAAAAGAAATGCAAACTTGTCAGTGGTTGAATATTGTTTGATTTGAAATAAATACAGTGCGTTTCACAATTATAAAGCCACTCTCTGTTTTTGGGCATAACTTTGTCAATTGTGAACATTTTCAAATTTTGATTTCAAAATTGAATTCACGGATGAAAAATACATATGTGTACCAATTTTCATAATGATATCTGAAAAATTGGACGAGTGACATTGAATATACTGAAAATTGGTCTCTTGCAACCGTTTCACATATATAAAGCCACTCTGCCCCCTGAAAGATCTGAAATTGTGGAGACCTGAAGAAGAATTAGTAGGTGTACGTAAGAATAGAGTACTGTTCGGCTTTGTAAATGTGAGACGGCTGCAAGAGACCAATTTTCAGCATTTTCAATGTTACTCGACCAATTTTTTAGATATCATTATGAAAATTTGTATTTTTTTTAGCCATGAATTCAATTTTGAAATCCGAATTTGAAAATTTTCACAATTGACAAAGTTGCACCCAAAAACAGGTGTGGCTTTGTGAGACACACTGTATATACTGACCTCAACAATGACGAACGGAATGAGCATCGCCACAAATTTTCGATATTTGATAAAAATCAACTGCGAGCAGGAGGGGTTTTCCGGTAAAGCCTCCATTTTCACCGCATGCTCTTCATCGATATTCTGACCTGAAATCCATCATTTCCTTTTTGAATGATTCTGAAGCCAACCTTCTAGTAGATATTTATTGCACCATTTCTTGACTGCCTCGCTCACTTTGTGCAATTTTCGCGGCTTCTCCTCGATTTCCATTATTATTTTTTTTCTGAAACCCGCTAAATATAAGGGTGTTAATAAAGAATTCGAGAGCATTTTAATATTTCGATATAGAAAACTAATCAATTCTGTTTTTGTTGTTGTGTTTTGACCGTAATAGGAGGAGTCTGGGGGTCGGCACCGACTGTCATTCTAAACCCGATTAAAAAGCGGTTTATTCGATGAAGTTTTGAAGACAAAAAAAAAACATTGTGAAAAAAAATGGAGAAACTCGATTAAATGCGATTGGAAAAACCCAATAAAATGGGGTAGATCGAAAATTTCTGAATGACCTTTTTTGTCTAAAAATAATTACAATTTTTTATTAGAACCAATGAGCCAGCTACTTTCGGAATTGAAATTTTCATCTAACAGAACAATGTTTTCTTTATTCACGCTATTATTTTAATCTGATATTCAATTTGAGATTTTTTGTAAGAAATTCTGAAATTAAAATAAGAATGAATATAACTAAAAATTTCAAAATTTAACTTTAAATTGGGTAATCATAGCGCATTGCAGAAAAAATGATTAGATTCGTTTTTAAATGAAAAAATCGAAATTGGCCAGATTCAAAACGTTTCGGCAACTTTTTAACATTTCTGAAGCCAGTTGGATTCACCAGTTTTTCAACAAACAAAGTCTTTTTTTCTAAATCGTAATTCTGATGCCCAAACTTAGTTTTTACACTATTTTTTTAACAATATCGTATTGTTAATCAAAAAAATTTAAAATTCAGTGTTTTTTTAAACATTGATTTATTAAATTTACTATTATTTTAGAAAAAAAAAAATTGGGTAATCCGCAAAAAATATTTTAGGAAAGTGCTTGCATGATTTGCGCAGGTTTCCTAAAAAAAGTTCTGCCATCTCTTTGCTAATTTCGCGGGTTATTTTTCAAGATTTCTTAATGTTGATCCATCGATCCATTTAAGCCTTGCCACATATTTATAATAGATGAACGTTATAAAATATATATATATATATGCCAATTTAGTAAAATATTATTATTGTTCATTTTCACAATTATTATTCTGCTCCTTTGGTAGATCATCAGTGGATAGCGTCGATTTGGATGCGCTGTGGCGTCGCAACGATAATGATATTATGCGAACCTGAAACTTAAAATATTTCCACTGGTTGCTAAATAAATCGAATTAACCTTTTTAAGAATAACAGATCGGAACTTGTGATCAGCCATCGTGTTGATTGCTGGATCAATGATCATCCCAATTAACCACACAATTGCAGCGATGCTCGCAAGAAGCTCCACTTCGACAAACAGCGAGCTGTGAAGATAAGTCTTGCAAGGGCTTTTGTCCCCTTCGCCTAAACGGACCACTTCTTTCGAATTTTTTGAATTTATATATCGTTTACCTAATGAGGAAAGATCTTTCAAATTAGCAAGTGCGACAATACAAACGATAAGTATTGGAACACTGCCAACTGCAAACGTGATCATGTTGAGACTCAGCCTCTTCAGTGCTGTCATGCTGCTCGAATTCGATCTCGACTGGATTGCTCTCGATTTTTTCATTAAATATCGAAGTCTGAAAAGAAAACGGGCATAATATAAACATGTTTATTTCTTTGCATACCTTAAGAGCATTGCAAGATATAAAATGAGAACCGTGCCATAGCACACCGATAGGCAAACAACTGAAATTATACATATACGGTTTTGTCGGAAAATTGGCGAAATGCCAAATTATTTAACAAAAGTTTTTGATGCGCTGTGGGCGCCTTTAACCTATCATTATACTTAGGCCCATAAATCTACACTTTCAGTTTTGCGCCAAGACCATTGAAATTGTTTTTTTTGGCATTCAGCTAATTTTCCGCGGCTCGCCTCACGTGCGGCCTAGAAAAATTGTCCTCAAAAAATGGCTCGGTCACGGCCACACTTGATGGATTAACTAATTTGATTAAAAGTAGAAATAAATGAATACGTATTATATTTTGTTTATTTACGATTTCAAAAATCAAATGTCAAAAGAAAAGTCAGATCTTCGTAGAAATAAAAGAAAATCGTGACTATGAGTGTCACATAATTTTAAAAATTAGCGCTTGATAGTGTACTGCGCTTGTTGTTCTTGCTTTTTGAAAGTGTCTACCAATTTTTCTAGGCCGCCTTTGAGTTGCGGCGAGCCGTGTGAGAATATGTATACACATACATTTTATGTATCCAATTCATTTTAAAGAATACGTCGGCTTATTAAGAATGAAATATCAAAAATAATTAAATATGAATATCAATCTGCGGACACTTAACAATGTGCCCGCAGGTATGATAGGTTAAATGAGATTATAATGTCTTAAATGAGTGATGTTGCATTTCATTGAATGCTGATGAGAAATTCTAACCGATTGTGATTGCCAGTGGACGTTGACAATGCTCATATGAGCATGAGATTGGAGCAGTGTCCGGATAGAATAAGGTGGCTCCCCACAAGCCGACGCATACCGAAGAGGCAATAGACAATACCCATATAGAGACGAGAATAAGGCAACAGTGTTTCAATGAGATTCGTCTGTAGAATAGAATTTCTGCGATTGCAATATAAAGAAGAATGGTTAGGCCGATATAAGTTCCTGAAATAAAATTCGATTCGATGGATGCCAATTGGCGACGTCAATTTATACCAGTAACTGATAAGAAATTGACGGAACCGATTAGAATGAAGATCATTGCTGAGGTATACATGAATCCGTTGCTTTTCCAGACGATTATGACGATATAGAAAAGCACATTGGCAAGAATTGTGGAGATTGACCGGCTTATCAGGAATACTTGCCGTTTTTTGAAACTGAACATAAAAATAGTTATCAATTTTCAATCAAAAATCCAAAATAAAAGAGAATCACCTCGATTTTTCATTTCGGAAGCATTTAATTTGCAAAATCAAATAGCAAATGTTCAAAATGCACGCAATAACGGATAGAATAATCGGAAGAATTGCGAGAAAATAGGTTCGGTATTCCTTTGCGCGATGGAGCTCCTGAAACTACTCCAATCAAGAAAATAATCATGCGTTTGGGGCACCTTTAACAGAAAACATGGGTCTTCGCCGCCAGTTATCGAACAATTTGCATATTTTTCATCATGATTCGGACGGAAAATATTGGAGCAATTCTGAAAACATTTTTTTTTGAATTCTCAAAACATTATTTGAATTAGAATAGACCTGAAATACTAATGGAATCACATCATAACTCATTTCGTTTTCATGCCCATCAAATAGAATTAAATAACCCAAGTGTAACCTGAAATTCGTATTTTCATTAGTTAATTATAATAATAATAATTAGTAAAATTAACTCACAAGTCCATAATAATATTTAAGTGGTGAGGAAGGGAAGAAAACAATCAGAATGATAAGAACTAATCCACAAACATTTTTGATTCATCAAAAATTCATATAATTTAACTATAGAAGAAATTTTTAAGGCAAAGAAACTTGTGACTCATTTTTGTTTTCAATATTAGCGTTTATGTGTTTCGATAAAAAAAATTAGAGTTTTATTGAATTAAAATTTGATTCTGCAGTTTTTTTTGTATGTACTTTGAGAACAATTCGTTAATATGGCGTGTTATCAGTGTGAGGAGTGGTAAAATGAGAATACGATAAATTTGAGTGATAGGTGGAACTCGCTGAAATTGCTTTATTATTTTGTGGTATATTGTTTATCAAGAAATGACGTCTTTTAATGTAAATATTTTCTACCACATTAGTGATGATTAGTGAAAAATAAAATGGCTTGCAATGAAATGAAATCGATATTTAATAAAATGGTCTTTAAGAATTATTGGCAATTTCAGCAATATTAAACAAATTCTTTGGCAAAGTTACAAATTGTGAAAGTTTTTTCAATCATGAGAATAAATTACTTTTTAAATGTTTTTCTCTTCATCGAATACAACAAAAATTGGATCTGCAATTTAGGTAATAACTCACTAAAGCAGTATTTTTGAGACCGGATGCTATTTGCCTAATATAGGGACGTCATGCAGTGCAAATATTTTGCAGCCATTTGACTTTTTTTTAAAATAAATATTATTCAAGCTGCTGTAGGGAAATATTTTTTGTACCCCTTTTCTCCCGATTTTTAGCGCCGATTTCGTTGCTGGTTAGAATTAAAAAATCTTTTGCTCCCACTTTTCCAGCTCCCGATACTCCTTGAACACATAGTTCGAAATTAATTTAGAATACGACGCTCACGAATTGGACTATCTTAGAGGACTCGCTTCTCTGATTCGAAATTGGCAAGTGTTCTATTTTTAATGAAAACTGACGTCTTTTGCTCATTCTCACATTTCATGTTGAGCCATTTGAGAAAACCGCTAAATACTTGCAATATTACCATATAATTTCATGAAAATGCCAGATTAATTTATTATTAAAAAAATGATTGAACAAAATTGGGCGCTAAAAATCGGGAGGAGAGCAAGAAAAGGGGTACAAAAAATTATTGAACATAGTTTTTAATCCTATCGAACTGAAATGACGTGAGTTGAATTATTATGGAATGATAACGGCTGGATCATAGTTTTTTTTTTAACTTACAAAAAATTATTTATTTTATTGCGAAATTATAGAATCTTAGCTAAAAAAAAAATACAGTTCAGTTATCTGAAATGAAATCTATCTGTTGAAATTTTGCTTTTCCAGATTTATCTGTTTTTTTTTTTGAAGAAATGATGGTAATGTTAGGTTTAAAACAACACAAATTTGAAAATCGTATGGATTTCGCTACATAGATCAATGCCAAAAAGTATGAAAGTTCATCGAAAAACCGACAAGACAAGCTAATGCTGATCGGCAATCGATTTGTGACTGAGCAAATAGAAATGATTCTATTGAGAGAGCGAAGCGAAAACTTTTGGCATGTTTTCGTTGCAGATAACATTTGCATGAACAAATACTCAATTCTAAAAATGCTTGAAAATTTTCATAATTCAAAGTTGGTTCCATTTCGGTTTACATCATGGGTGAAGCTTACCTGCGGATAGCCAGTTTCTATTTAAGAGAAATTGGTAGTAGCAATCGCTTTATCGTCAACTTGAGAGAGACTTTAAGAATGTTCAATTGAAAGAAGTCGAACGATTTCACACAAATGTATTATCGATTTCAATTGATTCTTTTAAAATTATTGATATTTAAATAGCAGTAATAACATCAGTAATTATAAGAATCTCTTTTTAACAACATTATCATCAGACTCATCGTCAACGTCAGTCAATGGGTGTAAATATTGGTGCAGTTTCGCCATTGCTGCTTTAAGTGTGTCTATTTTTCCCGATTTTGCCGAAACCGTCACAACATCACGGAAAGACATTTTTACGTGAGGCCTCATAGATTCTTCAAGATCATTCGTCCACGTCCTGTTCAACAATTTTTCGCGAAGATTATCAATTTCCTAAATATAATTAGTGAAATTGGTTAATATATTGAATTGTGACTTTTTTCTGACTTTCGTTGAGTAAATCAATTTTGTTGAGAACACAAATTACTGGTTTTGCGGCTAATTTTTTGTCATAACATTCTACTTCCTTATTTAAAAGTGCAATGGTTTCAAGGGGATTTCTAAAAAAAATTATTAGGTTTTACATTCTTTCAGTTAAAACACCTGAATGGACAATCAACTTCGTTCTTGAGCTGGAATCCTACCGAATCTACAACCATCACGATCACGTCTGCATATTCCAGATGTTTCAAAAATTGATAACCACGCCCTCGATTGCGAGATGCGCCTTCAATTATTCCTGAAAAAGTTTGAAGAATTTCAGCACCTGTAGTTTTCATTTCAAAACAGTTTACGGTAATACGCAGATTTCACAAAATGAACCATTAAAAATTCAAACCCCTATGCGGAATGCACCAAAATCTAGTTTTGCTAGTTTTTTTTGAGTGCGCACACCGCGCACCGAGACCCCTCCTTCATTTTTCTTTGGCACTTAGCCAATTTTACCGCAGTCGCGCGACGTCGACAGCATGCTTACAGTTAAAAAAATATGAACGTGAGAAATTTAAATAATCAAACAGATATATTTTTTCAATAAAATTATTTACTATTTTTTACTCGGGTAAAATACTAACCAGGAAGGTCTGCAATTGATAATGTGAATTTATCGGCAAAAGGAATTGTTGACGGTGGATCGGCATTCCAAAATCCAAGTTGCGGATTAATCTAAGATATCAAATCTATTGTGCATTTTGGTTTTCATGAAACTACTGTTGTGAATGGATAATCTGCGATTTTCACGGATTTTTCCGGAATAAATGCCTTTAATAATGTCGATTTGCCAGCATTAGGAAAACCTAGTAATCCGATATTTGGTCGAAGTTTTAGATGGATTTCGATGTCAAAATTCTCTCCTTTTAAGCCTCTTAACAAAATAATTTTTAGCGTCGTTTAGTAGTGGTGTTTAGAAATGTACTTGTAGTTAGTTTCTCTTGATCCTCCTGCTCCTCCTTTCGCAATCAAAGACTTTCGAAAAGCTCTATTACACCGAGCGATTAATGTATTTTGAGTTCTATCGACTACTTCAACTCCAACGGGAACTTCGAAATACTGCTCATAATAGGAATCTTCTTTTTAATTTGAAAAAAAAAATTATTTCACCTACTGTATGTGCTCCATGCTTTCCAATCAGCGATGTTTTTTGAGCTGATTTCCCAGGCTCTGCACGAATCTTAAATCAGTGCTTTATGTAGAAAAAAGAATCTTTATACCTTCATTTTCGAATTTAAACGCTTTTTGATGTCAGAAAATGCTATATTTGGTCTTGCCACGAAATAAATATCTCCTCCATTCCCACCAACACCATTATACCGAGCTAAACCAGCACCTCCATTTCCAGCCTTCACATTGATTGTATATTTATCGACAGTGACAATATTCAAATCATGTTTGACTAATTTTTGTAACGAAGAAATAGATTCCCTTAGAATAATTGAAAATCGCATTAATTTCTAAGACTTTCCAAAAATTAATTCGATGCAATTTTGTGGCCGCGGCCTGCTGGCCGAATTTCTTATTGCGGCGCAGTCTTTTGCAACACGATCACACGCTTCTCACATCCTTTGCAATTTTTCAAATTCAAAAATCATGCGATTGATTTTTTGATATTTTAAGAATTCGAGGAAATTTTCTTAATTTTTTTATTTAATAATTACTTGTTTCTTCTTTAGGATACATTTATTTTATATCCAATGCGTAAATACGAAAATTTATTTATGTGCGCTCGTCTTTAATGTTACTGCCGTATCTCTTCATTTTCAATGAACTTTGTTAAAATGTTTCGAAATATTTTGACTTCTTGTGATTTATTTTTTAAATTGCACGTATAAAATTTGGGAAGGCTACTAGATATGTTGTCAGGTTGTCGTAAAATCTCCTTCGAAAGAGTTGTCTAATAATTATCGACGTCTGATTTATTTTGATTATTTGAGCGAAAACGAATTATTTATATTCAAATAATATTCAAGATTTATTGTTTTTAGGTTATGCTTCGTTCATTAGTGACGAGTATTTCAAACGGGTCTGCACCAGAATGGGCGTGTAGAGTTTTGGTGACTTCTAGTAGTCAGATGCAACAGTCAAGAGGTAGGCGGCGAACATTGACGCCTGCTCCATGGCTTCCACCTGTCCATGAGCCGTCGCATAGCAAAACGCCACTAAGCCCCGATACAAAGTATGATCTAATTATTTTCAGCGTATAAGCTTCATTATTGCTATGATTTGCAGGCAACTTCTAGAGAAAGTACTGGAAACTGAAAACCAGATATTGGAGAAAACAGCAAATGATTCGTTATTAGAAACGGCAGCAGTTATCGCTGAGATTCCTGAAAATACTAGAAGAACAGGATTAGTTGTTAGAAAAATTGGAATGCTGCCACAATGGACTGCGAAAGGTGACAGAATCCTTTGCACACTTTTAGAAGTTTTTGAGGTATGCCAATTTTTAATTTAAAATTAATTAACATTTATTAATTCTAGAATAATGTAGTTAGTGTAACCTCTCCTCAAGAATGGTACAAGAAAAGTGTTGTTGGAAAAAGGAAAGCCTTTAATAGATGTGGGCCGTTATGGAAGGTTAAATTGAATAATTTGTTAGTGTAACGCGTTTATCGTTTTATAGGTCACTGTTGGGGCAGGAAATGCAAATCCGACCCAATATTCGGTTGGATACCGAAGGCAATTTTTACGAGCTGGCATTCCGGTGAAGGAAAAACTTGGTTGCTTTATTGTAACAGAAGATGCTCTTCCGGCTGTTGGACAACCTCTAGATGCTCGCCATTTTACCGTTGGACAATATGTTACTGCTACAGGAAAAACAATTGATTGGGGATTTCAAGGAGGAATGCATCGTTGGGGAATGAGAGGACAACCGTCTCGAAGGTATACGTTTAAAATGTCTTTTTTTTTCATAACGTTAATCTTCAGAACAACGAAATCCCATCGCCGTATTGGATCAGTTGGTTCTGTGGGAGATGCCAGAATTTGGCCAGGAAAGCGTATGCCAGGCCATATGGGTTACGAATGGAGGACTGTTAGTGGTCTCGAGGTACTTAAATTCACATGGCTATAAAAGGAGTTTTCTTTACTAGGTTGTTCGCATGAATATCGATAAACAAGTGATTTATGTGAAAGGATCGGTCCCTGGGGATATTGGAGAGACTTTATTGCTTAAAGATTGTGTGCAAGAAGAGAAGAAATTAAAGGTTTTAAAAAAACTATCAAAGCGTATAAAAACAATGATGTTTTTTAGAAAGGGCCTATGCCAACCTGGACGCCAAGCTTAGAAACAATTGAAGAAGAACCGGAAGAAGTTCCAGAAGGAGCAATTCCAAAGGAACTTCTCTACAATGAAATTATCTCTCCAAAGTTGTTCAGGTATATAATAAGACATCATTCTCCAAAAATAGAAAATTAATCCCGATTAGCTCATTCGTTGTCTTATTTATACTCTTGTGTATAGTTAAAACCACTAAATATGTTGCAGGTTCACCTCGCCATCGATTACCTTCACTGATTCGGATGCCAAGAAGACTGCCGGAAGAGATAAGACAAAAGCGAAAATTGCGAAAGTCAAAAAATGAATGCAATTATAAAATATTTAATAGATTTAGAGTAGATATTGTTCTATTGTTTCTTTTTTTTTGTTATTAAACTGGTTTTCTTTCTTAACATTTTTTTTGTTTTTCGATTTTTCAACGGTTCCATTTGCCGTATTTGTATCTTAAATATCAAGTGTTTCTCTTTTTAAATTCGTTTGGTTTAGGTATCGGCAACATGACGATGATATAGATTAAAATGGCTGATACCGAGGCGAGTCTGTCAGATGCTCAGTGCAATTTAACGGCAAGCACGACTCCAACACGAAGTGTTTGCGATAAGGTATTGAATTTTGTAATTATTTAGCTGTGACGATTCCGAATTTTGTTCAGAAGGATGATGCTGATGAAGAAGTGACAACTGGTAACGAATGCGATGGCGAAGGAAATCCTGCTCTTGCTCAGCCAGCCATTCTGTATCCGAGAAGGTCACCGAGAAAGCTCGATGTGACGGCGTCTAGATTACCCCACAACATTCTCATCAACATATTTCAATACTTGCAAATGAAGGACCTTCAGTCTTGCATGCTCACATGCCATACATGGTCGAATGCTCTTGCTCTTGAGGTAGGTTTAATCGTATTTACATCGCTAATTTTTTTTGTATTAGGATTCCGAAGTGTGGCAGAATTTGATTGCTAAGCATGTTCCTGCAGCAGCTCTCTCTGATCCATTTCTACTCGCAGAGCTGACTTCAGCAAAGAAAAAATTGAGAGCTTGGTGTTTTGCGTGGAATGATTCGGATATTTCACGGTGAGTCATTTGAACGGAATGTGTTTTGTACTATTTTCTTTATAGAAACAATTACATTCGCACTAATGGTTTCACTGTGCACCGACAACCCGTAGCACAATCTACCGATGGAGTAAGGGGTAAACGAGGAGTCTCAACAGGAGTTCATGCTTTTGATATTACGTGGGAAGGTCCACTAGGAACTGTTGCAGTTGTGGGATTTGCGACAAGGTTTGTTTAATTATTTTTCTATTCTTTTCCCAAAAAATCCCTATGTATATTGCCCAAGAAACTAGTTTTTTTTTGAGTTCGAGTTTTCTTCAGAAAATCAGCATAGCACCATTAATTCCCAATTTTGCAGACATGCTGCTCTGCATTGTGTTGGCTATATTGCCTTATTAGGAAGCGATGAACAATCTTGGGGTTGGAATTTGGTCGACAATGTTCTGATGCACAACTCTGAGCAACTTGGAATCTACCCTCGTATCAACAATCCACCCAAATATGAGGTATTTTAGATTTAATTTGTTCTTGGAACATGAAAATGTTGTCAGGTTGGAGAGAAAATTCGTATGATAATCGATTGCGACAAGCACGTTGCATTCTTCGAGCGGAACTCGGAATTCCTTGGAATCGCATTCAATCATTTGCCGCCAGTCAAACTTTTCCCAGCGGTTTGTGCTGTATACGGAAACACTGAGGTTTCGATGGTCTACATGGGAAGTCCAGTTATGGGCTGAATTTTATGTACATATATTCCTTATAATTATATTTATAATAATGTATTGCATGCTTTCTCCAATGATACTCGGCTAGTATTTCGTGATCTCTCTGCTCTCTTTTTTTTTTATCACATTCCTCCTGCTTTCAAGCTTTTCCAAAGTATTTTTTTAATATTGCTATAAAGTGTATTCATTGTTTTTGAACATTCTAAATATCAACGGTTTAACAATCCGATAATTATCTTTTCTGTTTTGTTGTCTCCTTTTTTCACGTTTTTTGTATAGATCTCAAAATGATGTATGAAGATGAAGAAGAAGAGGTAGAGCAGATGGAGGAGGGGATTGACGATGATGAAATCACATCGGAACAATGGCAAGAAGCTTGCTGGGTTGTTATCAGTGCATATTTCGATGAGAAGGTGAGCTTTTTCGAATTAGTTCAATTATACGGATTATTGCAGGGACTTGTACGGCAACAACTTGATTCGTTTGATGAATTCGTGCAGATGAACGTTCAGAGGATTGTTGAAGATGCTCCTCCAGTGGAACTTCAATCGGAGGTTCAACACATCTCCGGCGATATTGAGAATCCGACGAAATTTTCGCTGAAATTCCAACAAATCTACTTGTCTCGGCCAACTCATTGGGAAAAAGACGGAGCGCCGGTGCCGATGATGCCAAATGAAGCAAGGCTACGAAATTTGACATACTCGTCGCCGCTTTATGTCGACATTTGCAAACGAATCATCCAAGATGGAAATATTGCTGAGAAGAACTATGATAAAGTGTTCGTTGGAAAAGTCCCTGTTATGCTGAGGTATTCTTTTGAATTGAGTAATTTGTCTATTTAAAACAATATTTAGGTCAAGTTACTGTGGCCTCTCGCAAATGACAGATCGTGATTTGACGGAACTGAACGAATGCCCATTGGATCCTGGAGGCTATTTTGTTATCAATGGATCTGAAAAGGTGAGGCTTGATTTTTTTTTAACTAAAAATTTAATTATATCGAATGTTTTTAGGTGCTTATTGCTCAAGAGAAAATGGCAACAAATACAGTTTATGTGTTCTCCATGAAAGACGGAAAATTTGCGTTTAAAACAGAATGTCGATCATGCTTGGAAAATTCTAGGTAATAATTAATCCTAATATAGCCATTAACTGCATTTATTTTTAGTCGTCCAGTCTCAACAATGTGGGTTAACATGCTTGCTAGAAGTGGAGGTGTCGGCGGCGGAAAGAAAACTGCAATGGGACAGCGTATTATTGGAATTTTGCCGTATATTAAACAGGAAATTCCGATTATGATCGTTTTTCGTGCGCTCGGTTTCGTGTCAGATCGTGATATTCTCGAGCACATTATTTATGACTTCGAGGATCCTGAAATGATGGAAATGGTCAAACCATCGCTGGACGAAGCGTTTGTCATTCAAGAGCAAAATGTTGCTTTGAATTTTATTGGCGCGCGTGGAGCGAAGCCCGGCGTCACAAAGGAGCACCGAATCAAATATGCTCGAGAAATTCTCCAGAAGGAATTACTTCCTCATGTCGGAGTCTCGGAGCATTGCGAAACGAAAAAAGCGGTAAAAAGTTTAAAAATTATTGTTCGTAAATTGCCTCATTATTTTCAGTTCTTTATTGGTTATATGGTTCATCGTTTGCTTCTTGCGGCGCTTGGAAGACGAGAACTCGATGATCGTGATCACATTGGAAACAAGCGTCTCGATCTTGCTGGACCACTTTTGGCGTTCCTCTTCAGATCCTTGTTTAGAAATTTGCTCAAGGAGGTAATTTGAAAACTATTTTGGTCTTGAAAAACTAACGGAATTTAGATGAGAATGACCGCGCAAAAATATATCAACAAAAACGGAGATTTTGCTCTTGAAGTTTGTGTCAAAACGTCAACAATTACTCGCGGGCTGTCATACTCGCTGGCTACTGGAAACTGGGGAGATCAAAAGAAAGCCCATCAGTCGCGTGCTGGCGTTTCACAGGTGTTGAATCGATTGACCTACACAGCTACTCTTTCGCATTTACGTCGTGCCAATTCTCCGATCGGAAGAGAAGGAAAATTGGCGAAACCGCGTCAATTACACAACACCCAATGGGGAATGGTAACTTTGATGTTTATGCTCGATAGGCTGGTGATTTATTCAGGTTTGTCCCGCCGAGACTCCTGAAGGACAGGCTGTCGGACTTGTGAAGAATTTGGCACTTATGGCTTATATTTCCGTCGGATCCCTACCTGAGCCGATTTTGGAATTTTTGGAGGAGTGGTCTATGGAAAATTTGGAAGAAGTCTCGCCTTCGGCAATTTCGGACGCCACCAAAATCTTTGTTAATGGTGCTTGGGTTGGTATTCATCGCGATCCGGATCACTTGATGTCGACGCTTAAAAAATTGCGACGACAAATGGATATTGTTGTGTCTGAAGTGTCGATGGTCCGTGATATTCGAGATCGAGAAATTCGAATCTATACCGATGCTGGACGTGTCTGTCGGCCTCTCTTGATTGTTGAAGAGCAAAAATTGGCGTTGAAACGGAAGCACATCGACATGCTCAAGGATAATGATGAAGCGCACAAGTTCTCGTGGTCGGATCTCGTTGGTGGAGGTGTCGTAGAATTGATTGATTCGATGGAAGAAGGTAATCGATCTTGATATTCTATGAGAATTCCGAATTTGAAATTCAAGAAACGTCTATGATTGCGATGATGCCGGAAGATTTGAAAACTGTGGAAAACCCATATTGCAACACCCACACCCATTGTGAAATCCATCCGGCGATGATTTTGGGAGTGTGTGCGTCGATTATTCCATTTCCCGATCACAACCAATCGCCACGTAACACTTATCAAGTATGAGTGTGATACACATCAGATTCATTTGGGATTCGATTGTTTTAGAGTGCAATGGGTAAGCAAGCTATGGGAGTTTACACAACCAATTTCCACGTGAGAATGGATACACTTGCGCATGTACTATATTACCCTCAGAAACCACTTGTAACGACAAGATCAATGGAATATTTGAGGTTTTTTTCAATAATTCATTTTCGTTCAATTTATTTTTTTTTTCATTTCAGATTCAACGAACTTCCTGCTGGAATTAACGCAATTGTTGCAATTTTGTCTTATTCTGGATACAATCAAGAAGATTCTGTTATTATGAACAGTTCGGCTATTGATCGTGGATTGTTCAGATCGGTTTGTGGCTCTTTTTAAATAATTAAGAAACCCTTATCAATGCTCTAGGTATTCTATCGCTCTTATCGTGATAATGAAGCGAATTTGGACAATGCAAATGAGGAATTGATTGAGAAGCCAGTTAGAGAAAAATGTTCTGGAATGAGACATTCATTATATGAAAAGGTGAGGTGAATTTTGTGTTTTGAACATTTTCAAAGAAATTCATTTTTATTGTTTTCATTTCTAAACTATACTTTTGAATTCGCACAATATTCCTTTAATCGTCGAGTTTTTTCGAATTTTTCGAATTTTCGTCATTGGGTTGCATTTTTTTAATTTGCCATTTTTTTAGCTTGATGAGGATGGGATCATTTCTCCGGGAATGCGTGTTTCTGGAGACGACGTCATCATTGGAAAAACAGTCGCCTTGCCACAAATTGTAAAACAATTTCGCAATTTTATCAAGTTTTAGAATCGATATATTATTTAGGACGATGATTTGGATGCGACGGGCAAAAAGTATGAGAAACGCGATGCTTCGACTTTCTTGAGAAGCTCGGAAACTGGAATTGTTGATCAAGTGATGCTTTCATTGAATAGCGATGGAAACAAATTTGTGAAAATTCGTGTGCGTTCGGTTCGTTTGCCTCAAATTGGTGACAAGTTTGCATCTCGTCACGGACAAAAAGGTTCGATTTCTGCACGAATATAATCTAATTCCTCATTCCTTCAGGTACCATGGGTATTATGTACCGACAGGAAGACATGCCATTCACGTGCGAAGGCCTTACACCGGATATCATCATTAATCCTCATGCTGTCCCGTCTCGTATGACAATCGGCCATCTTATTGAGTGTTTGCAAGGAAAAGTGAGAAGAAGAGAAAAATTAAATGTTCGTCATTCGCAATTTTTGCTTGCAGCTCTCGGCGAATAAGGGTGAAATTGGAGATGCGACGCCATTTAACGACACAGTCAATGTGCAGAAAATTAGTAATCTTTTGAATGAATATGGATATCATTTGAGAGGAAATGAGGTTATGTATAATGGACACACTGGAAGCAAGCTGACAACACAGGTTTCATTTAAAAAGCACTTCTGTTGAATTCTCTTTATAGATTTTCTTCGGACCCACCTACTATCAGCGTTTAAAGCATATGGTCGATGATAAGATTCACTCGAGAGCGCGTGGACCGATTCAGATGATGAATCGTCAACCAATGGAAGGAAGAGCGCGAGATGGAGGATTGAGATTTGGTGAAATGGAGCGAGATTGTCAAATCTCTCACGGAGCAACGCAATTTTTGAGAGAAAGACTATTTGAAGTGAGAATTGACAATATTGTTTTTTTTTTTTTTGTTGAAAATTTCACATTATTTTTGTAGGTTTCTGACCCATATCATGTCTACATTTGCAATAATTGCGGATTAATTGTGGTGGCCAATTTGAGGACGAATAGCTTTGAATGCAAGGTGAGTTGCTTTTTTTTTTAATATAATTAGTTCAATTGAAATCTGGAGCTGAAAATTTCTTTTCTTATTTTTTATATTGAAAATTGAAAAGTTGAAGTGCTCTTAATGAACTTTGTCAATTAATGTTACGTATGAATAACTCATTCGCTTTTGCATTTTTTTGCCTCGTTTCTCCGAATTTCATTTGATGAATCATTCGGTTATTAATTAAATACGGGTATATTGTAATCGCGGCATTGCGACTATTTTGTGTCGTCCGGTAATGCAAATCTGCGGGGATCTCATTAGACGCAGAACGAGTGGGACACCCCCTTTTATTTGAATATGTGCAGTTGACGAGTCGACTCATTTTTTAAGGCGTGTCGCAACAAGACGCAAGTATCGGCGGTGAGAATCCCATATGCGTGCAAACTGTTGTTCCAAGAACTCATGTCGATGTCGATTGCACCGCGATTGATGGTCGAAGCGGCCAAGTGAACGCGATTATTTTAACCGTGCTATAACCATTTTAAACATATTAATGATCTTGAGCCGCATCCCGATAATTTCAAACATCTCTCTTCTTATTTTCTATATACGGTCAGACACATTTATAATTTATTGATTATTGATTCAACTTATTTATTATTATTATTATTAATTGTTGGATTTGTTTGTTGAATAAAATTTTGTGCGCATTCTATTACTCGATTTTCTTTTTGTGTTTTTTTATCGGTCATCTATTTTTGCCGAATTGATATCTATTGATTTTGAATTTCTTGAAAATTCCTATTGCAACTTTAATTATTATTCAGATAACGTTCAGCATTGGGGTTTCCATCTGAGATGATTGTTCTCGACTCGCGCGCCTCACCGGCAACGCAGGCGCAGCAAATCGCGCAACCCTCGTCGGCTAATATGGAAATTAACACGTAAGAATTTTTTGTTTTTTTTTTTAATTCGCGGCCATCTATCTTAAAATATGAAATGTTTAGCGAGGAAATCCTTCAATGGATCATTGATCTGAAGGATCCGCGTAAACGTGAGACGGCTCTTCTCGAGTTGAGCAAAAAACGTGACAGTGTTCCTGATTTGCCCGTTTGGTTGTGGTATTCGTTTGGCACAATGACTGTTTTGCTTCAGGAGGTAACATTATGAAAACAAATTAATACAGTGCGTTGTAGAATTATAAGGTCACCCCCGAATTTGACCACTGAGCGGTTGCTTTATAAGATGCTAACATAAAAATTGGTACCTGTAGGTAATTTGTCATGCTGAACACGATTTTAACACTGATTTCTCTCAAATTATCGAAATCATTGCGCGGAACTCAATCTCGGGAATGACCTTATAATTCTGTAACGCATTCTATGTATTATAACGCAAGAAATCCTGAAATTTCTTGAATTTAATGATTTGTGTGAGTTTGTAATTATCGTATCTTTGTGAGAGCCTGCTTTGTATGTTAAATCTCTTACGAATTTTTTCTTCATCGAGTAGAATAAAATTTAAATGAAAAAGTGAGGCGTTGCAATTTAGTGTCGGGTTGTATTACTTCGCTACGCTGTTTTATTTATTTAAAATCGAAAATTGGGTTTTTAGGTTGTTGCCATTTACCCAGCCATAATGCCTGCGAATCTTACTGCGGTTCAATCGAATCGTGTCTGTAATGCACTTGCCTTGATGCAATGCGTTGCGAGTCATCGCGAAACTCGGGCGCCCTTCCTTCAAGGTATCATTTTTTTTAGGCGAATTAATGCGAAAATAGCCGATTTTCAGCACATATTCCGCTATATTTGTACCCATTCCTTCACACTACTAAAATATCGCGCTCGTTCGAATATCTTCGTTTGACAAGCCTTGGAGTGATTGGGGCTCTTGTCAAGACCGAGGACAAAGATGTAGGGATTTGGGCCGATTTTAAAATCTTATTGCATTCTTTAGCAGCTTCTCACCGTCATCAATTTTTTGCTCTCCACTGAAATTATTCCATTGTGCCTTCGAATCATGGAGCAGGGAACCGAGTTGTCGAAAACTGTTGCCACGTTCATTCTGCAAAAAATTCTTCTTGATGACACCGGTCTTTCTTATATTTGTCAGACTTACGAGAGATTCAGTCATGTTGCCATGATTTTGGTTAGTTTGATGATTTTACTTGAATATTCGTGAAAATTGTTGTTCCCGTAAATATGTGTAGACTGGATGCAGTTTTTTTGCGACAGCAATATATCTGGAAAATTCTGCTTTTCAGGGTAAAATGGTGTTGAAGCTGTCCCGTGAGCCATCCTCACGACTTCTGAAGCACGTGATTCGCTGCTACAGTCGTCTCAGTGATAACCCACGGTATTCTGAGCGGGGAAAATAGTTGAAATATTAATTTCAATGTTTTACAGCGCACAACAAGCGTTGAAACAGTGCCTTCCTGATCAGCTCAAAGATTTGACGTTCAAAGCGTTGCTCAAAGAGGATCCCAGTAATATGAATTGGCTCAGAAAGCTTATGAAAAATTTGGGTGCGAATTTTTATGAAATAAATATATATGTAAAAACAACGAAAGTTTCAGAATTGGACGGGGTAATATTGAAAGACGAGGAACTCTTGGCTCTATCAAGTTAATTTTCTTTGTAACTTTTGAATAATCGATTCTTTATTATTCCCGTTAGAATATTTCTCTTTCTCTCTCTCTCTCTTTTTTTGCTATATCTAACTCTATATACATATATATATATACATATTGTATCATCAATTCGTCCCAAATGAGTAGATTTATGTGTTGGTAGTATTTTTTTGTGTTGACATCCGTTCGAATTATACTCTTCCTCTTTTTTTTTTCATTTTCTCCCCAAAATTTACTCTTTCGGTGTCGATTACTTGTGAATTTCGTGACGGTTTCAATTTATTTTCGATTTTTTGTCTCCCTCTTCTTCTCAACCTGTCTCCTCCCAACAAAATACTCTTGATGTTTCTTTCCTTCCCATTTCATCATAATTCGGTGGCTTTTATTTGCAATATTCTGATTATTAGTACGTTTTTTGTCTTGAGACCTCGATTATTGTGTGTTTTTTCCCATAAATTTGCCACAACATTTATTTTGAGAATATTTGTTTGTCGAAAACGTGATCAGCACTCGTGGAAGATTGACGTCGGTGATAATGCGTAAGAAGAGGCGACTAGACATTAGTTGTTCTTTATTGCTTATCTCTCTCCAAAAGGAAATTGAGAATTCAATCGGCTCAGTCATTCGAATCCAGGTTGGACTCCGCGGAATTTGGAGCACATCTCGAATCGGAAAAATTATTCAGAAAGAGCTAGATGGCGGACAAATCAGCATTCGTGCCGGTCGAAGCTATCGGCAGCCACAAGGCGAGCGACCTCGATGTCGACATTGACGATGAGCTGTTCGGAAAGAAGCCGCCGCCAGTGACGAAGGCGGCCGCGCCACCGCCACCCCCGCCGCCGCCACCGCCGCCACCGCCGCCACCGGCACCAAAAGCTTCTGGAGGAAAGTATCAATACAAGAAAGCGACGACCTACCAGAAGACGTTCGCCAAGTGATGCGATGACTGCGATCCCTTCAAACAAGTCGAACAATGCAATAAAGCTTCAATTGATTATCTTTTTATGAGTATAAAGAATGTTTGAAGAATAAATGTATCACAGAAAGCAAAAGTTTAGTCGGTTTTCGCACAAATGACAATATTTTCAAGAAGGAACTGCCTGAAAGGCGTTCATTTTGAATGTTTGATATTGTTAGAAATCGGAAGAGATGTGCTAAATGAAAATGTCTAATCACTATTTTCGATATTAAAGGAACATATTCTTGAATGCGCCTTTGATAAATGTACACGTTTATCCTTGAGATTTAGGCCAGTTGATCGAAACCTTACTTTGTCAGTTAGTCGGTTCGTCATTTGCCTGTTGAGGCGCGATCCAAACTTTTCGGTACTAATCTTTACCGTTTTCAGCGTAATTGGTCCTTGTGTAGTTCTTCCAGTTTTATAGGCCAAATCGAATCCGCCCGGATGAGGAGTATTCGACCATTCCCTGCGTGGGATAGTGCACTGACTGAACACCGCAACTGGGGTGGCGAAACTCCTTCCCCCATCTGAGTAGAGGAACATGATAAGATTATTTTCATCGCCACGAGGAGACCCAGCGTAGAAGAAGAAATATTTTTTTTAATAAGTGTAACGAGATGAAAAATTTCTTTAAAAAAAAGATGGTTTTGGTATGAACAGATCACAGGAGTTCACTGAAGCTGTCGTTGTGAGTTCATTGTTAAGCATCTTTAACCTGAGTTGCTGATTCCGATGACTGGAGCATCTTCGACGACCTCTGTGGATATTTCTTTGAACTGAATTAATGTGTATAAGACGGAGATGGCCCATTTGATTTTTTTTAAATGTGGATTTTGAAAGTGTCTCATTGGGCTCCAATTGCAACTGAGCTGATACTGCTTCGAGCTAGTCGAAATCAATTGGAATTGCTCTTCATAGCTGCCCACGATTCTGTGTCGCCTCAGATGACATTTCATACAAATAGTTTTCCCTTGTTAGTCAATACCAAAAAAGTGAACCCGCTAACCTAACGATTTTATAGCGAAACATAACCATGCGTATCTGCGGACGTTTTTCGCAAATAAATATTGTCGGCGTCAAACGGCTGAATTGATGCGGGGCTTTCAAATTCACGAAATCAGTGTAGATTTAAATTTTTCGTTAACTGAATATTAAATGCGCGTACACTATAATGCAATGTACGCAATCTTGCGTACTTGTCGCTGCGTCGTGACGCATTGGCACATAGCCAATAATTTTTTTTTAAATTTCGTCCAGTCGTTTGACTCCGAGAATAAACAAAATTAATTTTGCAATAAAATCAAATTGTTGCGTATTTTCATGGAATTGAAGGCCCATTAAGATGGTCGTAAATTTAATCATTTGTGGGACTATAAATATCGTTGACGGAACAATCATTTTCATTTCGCCATGATTTTCAGCAGAAGTCCTCTCGTCTTCTTTGCCATATTCTTCGTTTCGGTAATTATTTATTATTTGATTGATTTTCTCGAAGAACGTCAATGTTAATTTATAGGCTTACTCAATAAAAATCAAGAAAATTGAAGATTTATCGTACAATGACGAAACCGATGCCGCTTATTATCCACCATACTCATACGAATCATTGAACGGCCACGGCCATAGCCGAGTGACATTGAGAAGAAGAAGAAGAAACGAAAAGCAGGAATTGAAAAGAAAAAAGTTTGTGAAACTCTCAGATTTAAGAAAAACTATAATAATTTTCAGTCTGATTTGCTCGTTTTTCCCGTTTTACTGCTTCGTAAAAATATCTCTCGGAATCGAAAGTGCGATCTAAATGTTTTTTCTGGAATATTTAATAAATATATTAATTAAAAAGCAAATATAATTATAGAATTATCTAATTGGCAACGAAATTTGAAAAAAAAAACGACTAATATTGAGTAACAGTAATTAAATTGACGCAAAATCGCGGATTTCATTCTTTTTTTTCTGATCTTGAGTTTTATTTTCACATCTACCAGACTCTGGTTAATCAAAACCAATCGGATTCAATTTGAAAAATTTAAAAACGGGTATAGAAATAAATTAATGGGATCCGAGAATATCCAAAAAATATGGATCCGTATAATTTTATATACAGAATTGCCGGTCTTTAATTATTGATTATAAAAAACAATTAACATTGAATAATATACTAAAATGATTACTATTACACTTTTTTCAACACAACAGTATATGCATAAAACCATAAATTCGCCAAGAAAACCCAAAAAATTGAAAATAAATAATTGATGAAATAATTTTCAGTTGAGATTACTGTAGATCGAGATGTACGACTCGGTGTACGCACACAATGCATAGAATATTGCTGCAGTTTTTCACATTCGTCATTTTTCCACAATACCAGTGGATTTTGATTATCGCCAAGCCAGCGTTCATTTTTCAAATCAACGCAATTGAAGTGATAATTACGTTGATACCATATCCACAAATAATTTGTTCGTCTGATAATAATCGAAGATGAATTATAAAGATACTCTCGAAGTGCGATCGAGGGAATTCGAAAATCGCTGATGCGCAGAGTCATTTGAATAATGACAGGCGAAAAGTGAAATGTGTGGACTTCCTGTGCGCCGAGATGTCGAATTCCTAGTCGAATAATTTTTGCCATTAACACATTTTCCTCGAAATTTTTCTAATTGAAATCCGATACTTAATGGAATTGTGACTTTTGTTCGCCGAGTTGTTTATATGTAGTATATTCAATGCGTTGCCATTTGCCGTATAGTTCCTATTGATTTGTGGCCGGTATTTTCCATATAAGGTTTTCGGACAATGAATGGGACACCCACCAGCGAGTGGTATTCAAAGGTCACCAACTCTGCCGCCAATCGGGTGGCAAATGGTGCTGCTGCTCGCATTTCTCATTCATTTCTTCTCTTGTCCGCCCCCAACCGTTGCGTTTTTCTCTATTGTGTGCGTTTTTTTTTTGTATTTCGTGTTCCGTACAATATTCATATGCAAATCCGAAATTTTTCCAGTTTTGCCGGATAATTACCGGGCGGGTCAGCAACGCGTCGACGCGTTTTCGATGCAAAAAAAAACGAGGCATCATCACCCGTAGCAAATGTTGATTCACAACATTCATTTTCTCAAAATATATTCGTAAATATGCATTCAAATTTGGGCAAATTTTTTTGGTTTTTCAATGTTGAAATCTCTGTAAGTATTGACACAAAAATCACATTTGTTTCTTCTATTGAATTCCTTTTGTGAATCATACCGTATTGAAAAGCTTTTATTTCATACTACTTAACGTCAGTTTTATAAAAATATATCATAGGTTTCGCGAAATTAATTTTTAAATTGGATTCCTTTCAAAACTTTGGATTTCGGATTTTCTTTTCCATTTCTCTTGTCGATTTCTCTCAACTTCGAAGACGTACCCTAATTATACAATTCATAACGTGTCCAGCATTTTATTTCGTTTTAACTAAAAGTGTTCTTATCTGGTAAGTATTTTTTATCAAGTGACTCATTTCTTCATTCCTTCCTTTTATAACATTTTATTTTTGCAATTAGTTTGATTAAAAATAATTTTTTTTTAACGAAAAAAAAAGTAAAATCTTGGACATTTTCAAGGTTACTGTAGTACAGCAAGTTCGTGTAGTTCATTATTACGACAAAATGCAGACTTCAGTGGAATCTCATTGTTGAGTTCACTTTTGATTTTTTGAGATTTTCTTAACAAAATTCAACGATTTAATCCAGTATGAAAGCACTTTTTCTATTAAAAATTTCCATTTTTTTTTAGATTTTAATGAAAATATTTCATTGCCTTATTTTTTGTGTTGTCTTAATTTATTTCTGGAATTGCTCTCTGATCGCACGTGTTAAACAATTTACTATAAAAATGTTTCGATTTTCAGATTCGGATGAAAAAACTAAAACTAATAGGAATTGATAAAGGAATTGGCGGATCAGCTCGAAAAGAACGAAAAGAAGCTCGTGTGCTGAAATCGTCGCAATCGTTCTCAAGAAAAGTATGTCAATTTTCGATATTTGGGGGTGTAAATTCATGGTCGATCTAGCATATAATGCGATTGTAAGTGCGTTTTTTTTCCGTCGACAGCAGCCCGCGCACTGGCGCGGTTCCAAACCGACTCATCGCCATCGTACAAACCGCGACAGATGTTTGAATGCGAGTTTTTGGCGGCAAAATGAAAAAGTGTGTGTTTCGTGGAGGGTGCAGACACCCGATCGGTGATGCGTACTCACTTACCAGCTGAAGAGTTCCCCTCTCGATTTGCATGCTTTTCTTTATACGGTTTATTAATTGTTTAGCCGATATTTACCAAAAAGGGTCTAAATGGCTTTGCGAGCAATTGTTCCCTAGAGCATTCCTTTCGATTTTCTTTTTTTTGCATTTTGGTCAGTCGAGAAAAAAAAACTACGAGAATAGTATCATTTGTCAATGCCATTTTTATTGGATTCGTGGTGTTTTTTTTTACATCTTTCTTTATTTCCGATTCCTTGCTTGTATGACTCATAGTTCATATTTCGGTTCCGCCCGCAAGAGTTCGTAACTTAGATTGATTTCAAGTTTGCAATTATTTTTCTCCGCAAAGTTCGGACCTCCTCATTCCGAAACAAGTTCATTACCCGTAAGAAACGTCAGATTGTATTGTCGGACAAGTATTTACCTTGAAACTACAACAAGATTAATCGTTATCTTTAATTCCCGGAATATTCAGCCATTTTATTGATTTTCAAAACAACTATAACAATACCGATTCGTTTAATAGTTTTCGAAACCTGTCACCAGAACGCCTTTTCCCATCAAATTCCCAATTGGACCCCAATTTTCGACCACTTTCCTCGACCTCTCCAATATTTTCTGTTCTCTCGCTCCACATCAAGCCATCATTTGATTATTTTAATTATCAAATAGTGCTTTATTTATTTTACTTCTTTATCAACATCCCGGTGTTCAACATTATTGACATGTACTGATTGCTCTTTCTTTCTTTCCTTTCTTCATTCTCTCAACTCATATTTGTTTTTGTATATTTTATGTATGATGATCCCTTCCCATTTGCATATGCTTCGACGGGATGCACCCACTTGAATATGAGAATTTGGACAAGTGTCTGGCGATAGCGATAGGGGGTCGAACGGAATTATTTATTTATTGATAATAAGGTCCCATTTAACAATATTTCAACCAAATTAAGGTTTTTAATTAAAAAAAATTACTGATGTCACTTGCCAACTTTTCAAAGTCAGTATTTGATAAACGCGCTTATTATTGGCAGAAATGTGTTTTTTTTTTCCTATAAAATTGGTCGCATTCAATTGAAACCTTTTTTTTTAAACATTCCCAGCTGTCTATCGATGTTTCGAATCATCATCATATTCAGTTCGAGGTCTCACCTTTGTTTATTTTTTGCATGATTCGCCCTCTTCGGCCGTGTTTTCGGTTCTTAACACTCGTTTATCGATTTCTCTCAATTCCTGTGTGCGAGTTTTTTTTACCCCGCCATTTCTCGTCATTTTTTTTCAAATTTTCCCATCAACGGTCAGATGATGCCAATTGGCCTCAATTTGACAGTCTCTTTTTGTTGCGAATTCCGCCAATTTCTTTCCGTTTCGCCATTTCAGTTGTGTTTTTTCTGTTTCCAGAATATCAATTTTGACGTGTAATGTCTGGAAATGAAGGTGATGCCACTCCACGAGTGGCATCAATGTCTGATTTGTCGCGAAGAGCTGTTATTCGAGCCGATTCGGACAGCGATGAAGAAACGCCGACGTCGCAAAACCTTCTCGATCCACTTCAAACGTTTTTGAGGAAAGCCGACGATGAGCCGAAAATTCAAATGAGGCCGAAAAAGACGCGGGATATGTCGGCTACAGTATCCCATATGATTGACGGTGACACCGAGCCGAATTTCAAGCGAAGAAGTGCCGAGCGACACTCGTTTGCCGATTTTGCCGCTCGACGAAGCCCAATGAATTTCGTCTCGGGTTACGGTAGCGCCCGATTGACTGACTTTTTCTCGTCGGGTCGATTTAAGAAGAAGGATCGACGAAAGAAGATCAACGTTGGTGGTTTGACATAAAAACGCACTAAACGTTTTGTGTTTGACTTTTCTTTTGAAGCTATCAATAATTTGTGTTAATAGTGTTATCCATTTACAACATTTTAATAGGAGTGCATACTGTAGCGCGATGGGCAAATATTATTTTAAAAAATCATATTTTATGGTAGCTCTGGGTTTTTAAAGAGACCGAATGAAACTTGTTGTCAAGTTCCTGAAAAAGTCATGAGAAAAACTACATAGTGTGTGTTTGATATTGGGATTAAATCAAACCTTACTCATGGAAAATGCTCCGTTTTTTCAGAATGGACCATCTGCTTCCGCAAACGACGAATATGGCACGTTTGGAGCTGGAAGTGTTGGAGGATACTCAATACAATCTAATTCTTCTGGTTGGTTTTCCTTTTTTATTATTGGTAATTCAATTGTCGATTTAAACTGTGGGAATTCTTGTATCGTACCACTTCGATCGTAAATCTACACACGGTGCTCGTATTTTAAAATTTTAATTATAAAGATTAACAATGAAAAATTACACGAGTAATGACGTGTTTTCTTTTTTTTTGTTGTCATTCATCCGGCAACCCGATGTGAGTAAGCAAGTATTTGTGCGATGCTGTGCTGATTGTCCTTTCAATGTTTCGCACGTATTCGTTATTCTTTCCTTATGATTATGACTCACATGCCTGCGGAGATGATTCGTCTGACGCCGAATCCGAATATTTTTCTGATCTTGATGAAGGTTATTTAAAAGAAAAATTATTTTCATATTTAATTTAAAAAATTACTGAATTATTTTATCGATTTTTAGCTGAATCATCGTCACGAATTTACACGGAAGAGGATATGAGGGAAGAATTTCGCAAAATAATGGTAATTCCACTAATAATGTCGATATCGATTATACATATTTTGTGATTTTGAGCTCGAGAAAAATGTGCCGCAATCGAAAGTTGACCAATTGGTGAATTCGACGCCGACCGAACAAATGATGACAATGATTCGAAATGCGAAAAGGACTGATGACGCCGCTAAAAAGAAGGTAAATTTTCAATTGAATTGAGCCATTTAAATTTTGATCAAATCAAAAATGCGTGAATTTATTTGATTTTTCAATATTCATTCAATTTCGAAAACTGTGGCCACCAATAATTGTTCGTCGTTGTTTTTAGCAATCACCCGAATCCAATATCAACGCATTGTCGCAAATTTTGAAATCTGAAAATCTTCTCGACTGCAAACAAGATATTGTCACACTGCGAATTCAACTCCAATGCCAATCCGTTTCATTTCTTCACAAATTTGCCGATGAAATTCGTGATGAGCGCGGTCAAAACGGATTCGAGCTCATTTGCGAACTCTATTCGTCGGTTATTCAACGTCTACGCATCGCCGATTGTGGATCGAAGCATGAGCTTGAGCTTATTGATTTTCTACAAGAAGTTGTTCGATGCATTCGAACAATTGTTAACACCTATGTAAGCAATTTGCGAAAAAATTATGAATAATACGTTTTTGTTGTAATTTTTTTTTAGAAAGGATTGGAAATAGTGCTTCGTCGTAAATCGCCAGTATGCTCACTGCTCATTCAAACTCTTAAATGTCTAAACAGAAGGTTTAAAATAGGAGAGATTCGAATGAAAACCCAAATTTGAATTGTAGAAAGTCAATTGGCCAAGAGCAAGCCGAAGTTCGAGCTCTTCGTATTGACGTCGCAACGATTTGCTCAAGTTTGATGCTTGTGTCCCATGAAACGGCGAGCACAATGCGAATAGAAATGACGGGGTATTTCAAACGAAAGGAATTCTGTTCATCATTTTGCATTTAGACAACAGAAAATGTTCGCCGAGCTGACGGCGTTGGCTAGGCAAGAAAGCAAGGCGATGATGTCGAGATTCAGACCTCTCGTGAACTGCCTTCAATTTTTTGGAGAACGCGATTCTCAACCGACGGTAGCCGCTTCAATTTGTGACCATTTCGAAATTGAATTGATTTCAGTTTCGAATTCTTTTCATGCTCAACATGCTTATCAATGCGGTTGACCGGAATGCGCCGGAAGACGCGAACTGGACAGAAGACACCATGTGGCAAATGCGAATGAGATTGAGGAGTGAAGCTGCCAAAGATGGGCTCAATCAATACATTGAGGTATGATGAGATGACGAGATTTTCGGGAAATGTCGATTTTTTTTTTCAGAAATTCACTGCTGAAGGTGTTGATAGTAAAGTGCGCGAGATTGCGCAGAAACTTCAGACTGAGCAGAATGAGGATTTCGAGACACTGGTTGCCAAATATGAGAATCTGTAAGTTTTGAAACAATTCTACAATATCTTTTTGAAAAAATCTATACACTCTTAAAGTATGGTCTCCATTAATTTTTGAATCTCAAAATAATTGCATTTATCATATAAAAATGGCACCTTATTATCAAAATTGAAAAACAAAACAATTTCGAAACAATTTTGATTTAGATTTTTGTACTTTTGTCCGTTTACAGTAGAATTGAAATATGTCTCACAAATTACAGAAAAGCTGAATATGATACGCTGGATGGATGTTTTGAGATGCTTGCAGCGACTGCACAAGCATCAGGAGTTGACAACATTCTTCTCAACATATTGCAGCTTCTTGTATTGACACCGGAAGATCTGAGCTCCAGGTTTCGTTGTTCGTTCATCAATTCTTGCAATTAACCTCGTTTTAGGCGCGCGTTTTTCAAACTCATCGATGTTTGCGTTTCCGAGATTGTGCTCCATCGAGTTCCATTCGATCCGGAAAGCGATGAGAAATTTGTGTTTGAAACACCAATCGCGGACATCATTGAGCAGCTTCAAGATGAGGAAATGTCGAAGAAGCTTCGTCAGGCGACGGCGGCGAAGCAGGAAGCCGTTGTGATGCAGGGAGAATACTGGAAAACGATTCTTGAACTCCAGAAAGAGACTGAAGCGTTGAGGAAACATGTACGACCGTCAAATCATTAATCTTTACTTATTATCTCTATTTTAGATCAACGATCCCAAAGCAAATGCTCTTCCACCAACGACTAAAGTGACGGTGTCCGCACCAAGTGCTTCTAGTTCACTCCCGACAATCACTGGCGGTCCGCCACCTCCACCAGGATTGCCTCCGATCACTGGAGGTCCTCCACCACCGCCTCCGCCAGGCGGTCTTCCTCCAATCACTGGCGGACCACCTCCACCACCACCACCTGGCGGATTGCCACCAATTAGCGGTGGGCCTCCACCTCCACCTCCTCCGCCACCGCCTGGTGGAAGAATGCCGCCGCCACCTCCACCACCACCAATGGGTCTCGGCAAGGGACCACCGCCGCCACCTGCGCCAGGCATGTTTGCGGCACCAATGGCACCGGCGTTGCCGGAATATTTGCCACCGAAGAAGATCAGAAAGGTCGATATTCCAATGAGAAAATTCCCTTGGGGATCGAATACGGTAAGGTTTTTGTCTGATCTCGTGTAATATAAGTTTGATGATTTAGATTAATCCTCGAGATATTCCACGCGATTCGTTCTGGGTATCGACAAATGAAGACGCGGTGACGAACGATCGGATGTTTGAAAGACTCAAGGTTTTTTGAGATTTTGATTGAGCGTTATGATTTGTCAATATTAGAACAAATTCTCATCGAAGCCTGCAAGTAGCGCTGCCTCAAAAACCGATGTCGTTGGTGGCGGAATTACGAAGAAGATCAAAACTCCACAAATTATCCAAGATGACAAGGTCCTACAGCGACTAGGTTTGTTCTAATACTAGTCGAAAATGTTTGATTTTCTTATATTTTTTTTTAGGTATTCTTCAAGCATCGGTGAAAATGACGCATTCTGAATTGAAAAAAGCGATTCTGGAAGTAGACGAGAAAGTACTAACGTGTGGATTTTTGGAGCAACTTCGAGCAGCTCTGCCGCCTGGAGACGTGCTCAAGAAACTGCAAGAAGTAAATAAAAAGCAGTTTGAAGAAATGCCAGAGGGTGAACAATTCGCCACCAAATTGGCGCAAATAAACGCATTGCCTCTTCGATTGGATCTCATCGAATTCAAAATGCGATTCTCTGAAATTCGCAACGAACTCAAGCCGGTACTTTCGTGTCTCTTTTCCGCGATTTTTAAAATAATTTGTTGTTTCTGCAGAGCATGTCGTCTGTTATGGAAGCGTGCGAGGAAATACGCAAATCGGAAGGCCTTCATTTCTTCCTTCAACTTTTATTGGCATTTGGTAATTTTATGAGCGGTTCGTCGAAGAATTATTCGAATGCTTATGCTTTCGAGTTCCGAATGCTCACGAGAGTAAGCTTGTTTTTTTTTTCAGTGAAACCGATTCTGAAATTATTTTCAATTTCAGCTTGTTGACACGAAAGATGTGGATAATAAGCACACTTTGCTGCAGCATTTAATTGAGGAAATGAGAAGAGTAGACCCGAAAAGAGCCAGGTTTTCATAATTTCGCCAAAAAAAAAAGAACCGACTCACAATGACGTACTTTAGATTCGCTTTCAATGATTTCCATCATTGTATTGAATCGTCTCGTGTGAATGCGGATGAGCTTGCAAAAAGCACGAGATTGATGAAAATCAATATTGGCAAGGTTTGACTATCCTGTTGCATTGATTCAATTCTGTCGAGTCTTCTCATCGTTTTTTTTTCAGCTAGAAAACTGTTTGAAAGTTTATAAAAATCAAGGAGAAAACGACAAATTTGAGGAGAAAATGCGACCGTTTTTGGAGAAGGCGACGAAAGAGTTGGCGACTGTCGAGATGATGGCAGAAAAAATGAAGAGCGATTGGAATGCGCTTGCGAAATTCTACGCGTTTGACGTGAAAAAGTATCCGATGGAGGAGTTTTTCAGCGATATTCGCACATTCTGCGAGCACTATGCGGTAGGAATTCGACGTAATAAAAATCCAATGTACATATATAAATCGACGTTAGGCTGCTTGGATGGAGCTCGACGCTGAAATCGAAGCATTGCGAGCCGAGGAGAAGCGTAAGGAGAAGGCGGTGGAGACGCAGCGTCGGCAGAAGGCGCGACAGCCTTTGGGAGAACGACAGGTCATATCTGCACTGGCAGCGGGAAGAGCTGCTCCAAGAACACCGGCGGCGATGATAAAGGTGTCCACAGGTTGGAATCATTCTTATTTATCCCATTATCGGTTTCCATTTCAGCGATTGACAAAGCGGGTGTCCTCGATGAACTTGAACGCGCTACTGGCAACGAAGCGTTCTTGCAGACGCTGATATCGGCGACAAACGCGCGAACGCCAAGAGCTGGCGTCGGTGCGCGATCGCGAACTGGACGAGCTGCTCTTGAACGCCAGCGATCTCGTGGTGCTATTGGAAGTGAAGCATTCTTGAGTTCGATGTCAATGGCGGCTCCTGCGTATCCATCGGCGACCAGTTTTGCATCTTCTGGTGAACAAATGAAGCCGCAGACATCGTCGACGGCACTGGAGCGAGCGAGAGCGGTGGGAGTCGGACTTCCGGGGCAAAGCGAGTTGAAAATGAAAATTCGACGGAAAGGAGCGAAAGCGGTTCCAGTGGAGGTGCGTTCTTATCGATTCTTGTCTTGAGCACTTTTTGTTTTTAATTTTGCGCAATTAATTTTTGGAACAAATTCAAATCTTAAAAAGTACAAATTTTTGCATTCGCTGTTGATGATGTTATTATTAAAAAGAAAGTAAAATCTTTGGAAAAAACTGGTTGAAAAGCATCAAAAAACGAGAAAATCTGCATAGTATCATAGTTTGACACTCCTTAAAAACAATCTGTCTTCGAAAATAAAAAATATGCTCAAAAATGTCAAAACGGATGTGAAATGAAAATTTAGAACAGATAGTAGTTTTGCTCTGCGGCGCAATTCAAATATTTTAGTTTTTTTTTAAACTAATCCAAATATTGAAACTGGAATTTGAATTTCAGAATCTTCCAACGAGGAACTCGCAAGTCTCTCCAACTCACAAGGAAAATCGCGAGCCTGACCAGGATGCGGTGCCTTCCGCACTCACTACCGACGATTTGCTAGTCCGCCTACACTCGTATTAGAATGTTTTTGTTTCTTGTATTTTTTTTGGATTTTCCTGTTTTCCCATGTCTCCATTCCAACCATTTAGGTTCTGTTCTCGTGCTTTTTCTTTGTTTTCGCTATCTAGGGACACCGGTTCGATTTTGTCTGATTTCTAGTCTACTTGTTCGGTTTTTCTTCTTCTTCTCGCTGGTTTTGTTTCAAAAACTGCTAATTATTTATAATTATTATTCTTATTACTATCAATATTATAACGCGGTGTCCGTGTGAATACTGTAAATTGTTTCCAAATATATTTATTTACGGTTACCGGGATTACTATTCTACATGTTGTGATTGTTAAAATAATGGAGAGATCATATGAAATTTAAGCGGAGCGACATTGCTTTCGAAAGCGTCTCATCGGCGAGAAGCAACTCTTCCCCTTCGCTTAAAAGTTCTGAAAGAAACGTTTCTTGAAAGACGGAAGCTTTGACGATATGAACCTCGAAGCGCGCGGCTAAGATTATCCTTGCTCTGTTGCTCCAGTTGGGGCATAAATGCGCTGATTGTGTATAATTTTTGTTTGGATGTTTCTAAGCTCGGATTGCGCAAATGGCTGTAAATGCAATTTTTCTGAATATCATTCAACTTTTTCAAACATTATTAAAATGGAAATGTTAAATAACATCATAGGAATTTTTCTCATAAAGGCTTATGAATCGAAATGACTTACTATCGAGCCGACAATTTCTCAATCAATTCCCGAAGTGTTGCATTCGATGAAATATCGATTTTGAAACTTCCACCGGAACATGTCGGGCAGTTTGGCTGAAAAAAAAAATATAGCACAATGCAAACATTTTAAAAAAATTTTCCATTTTTTTTCATTGAAAATTAGCTAAATTTTTTTTTGGCCCATTAAAAAACAAGAATGTATTTTACATCTTTTTCCATGGAAACGACGCCAGTGAACACTCCGTAGATCTGTGTGAAATTCAGATAATTATTGATAGGAATGGCAACGCTGAAAGCAAAATTCAATGTATAAAAATGAGAAATGCATCAAATGCTCGGACTTTGACGCAAGTTTTAACGCTTCTAGCGCACATGAAGCAGCGATCACAGCATTTGTCGATGCCACAGCGGGAATAATTCGCTTCAAGACCCCCGATGTTAATCGTGGATCCACGCCACGAATATCGAATTGTTTCGCGCGTTCCGATGCTTTTTGAAACACCCATTCAACGTGTTTCGGATCGTCTGCATCCAAATTTGCTCCTGAATTATACGAATTAATTTAGTCTATTGGCAAAAAATGAACACCATCGAATGGTTTCTCGTTGGGCCAAACGACTACTTTGATATATTCAATGCAGTGCTCTGGGAGCCTTGGCGTATGGGCGATCGTGCATAATGGGAAGTTGACCTGCATTATCGAAACTATTAATTTGATTGGCATGTATTTTAAAACCTGCGGAGGAAATAAATCTAAAGTACAATCTATACATGCTGTCATTTTCGGGTAGATCACTCTCGCGTTTCCTTTGAACCCTTCGGTTCCACCATCCACCATTGGGATAATCGTTTGCGGATCGATTTCGCCATTATCGTCGATTTGCACCAAATCGCACAGCATCGAATTGATCCATCGACGAGCGGCGATCGAGTCGAGACCGCATATTACCATTGAGAATTGCCGATAGAATTGCGGTGATTTGTCCTCAATCCGACAGTTGTGCCTTTAAAAAAACATGATATCGGCTCTATTACGAAATATTTGTGTCGAATAAAATAATTACGCCGTCACAGTGCATCCGTCCACACGATTTCGCACAAATGCTGCAGCAACCTCGGCTTTCGATTTGCCAACATCTGACTCGCGGAATAAAAATTGCCTATTTAAATTTGAGACGTCGATTGTGTCCATATCGATGACATCAATGTTCCTAAATCCACTAAGTGCCAGATTTTTTAGCAATTCGCATCCTAAACCGCCGGCACCGATGACTAGAACTCGAGCTTTTTGAAGCGACTCGAAATTCTGCAATTTGGCAATATTATTGAAATATTAGATCCGCATTAAATTTTACTTCTGGTCCTGGTTCAAACCATGGCACTGAATATGGTGTTGCACGATCAGTGAGTCGACGAACGCTTCGCCATCTATCACCAGCTAACGGATCTACGCTTACCATTCTGGAAATGCTTAATATTTAAATTAAAAAAAAAACAAAAACAAAATTGGAAACAATAAGTTAAATCTGGGTTAAGTTATATTGGCGACCAAATATGAAAACTTCTTTAGATTTTTATTACTATATTTTATTTTAAATGTTATATTAAATGTGTGCATTCGATCTTTTTATCGATTCTGATTGAAAAACGTCAATCAATATTCCAATTATTTATTCGGAACGTATTTTAAAAAAATAAAAGAATTGTGGCCGCGATCTGTCGAAAAGACGGCCGAGTTTTTAATTTCAAATAAGTTCGGCCGTTTCATTTTGAAACAAAAAAAATAAAATTTCAATCAAAAAGCAATTCATCCCTTGAATATCGTAATAAAATATGGATAAATGTTTTTAGTTATTTAAGAAATGATAATCTTGGAAAAGCTTAAAGAATTGTTGCTAGTACAATATAAATAATCGTTGATTTTTCAATACAATCTCAATTCCGGTTCGTGAACCCTTTTTTCATACTCAATGTCAAATAGTGTGAGAATAAATCAAAGTTATGATTTATTATAAATTCCTTGAATTTTTTACGTTTTGGTACTAGAAATCAGAAAAGAAACCCGTCTAAAACATTTTCAGCGAAATTTCATGTTTGGTTTTTCAGTTAGTTTTCGATTTCTTGTTTCCGTTCGGAATTCTGTACATAGCATTTGATGTTCACGATAATTGTTTGTTAAAAAATTCTTTTACAGTGTACCGAAAGTTGATTTTTCATCTCGCTTCCCAACCAACTTTTGCGCCTCGCCTTTGATAGTAAACTTTTACAATTCGACACAATCATGTAAAAGATCGCATCGTCGACGGTGTCAAGAAAAATCCAAACGGACATAGGCGGTTTTTGAAACGGTTGTTAGCAGAAAGTGTTCGTTGGTTGAAGAGATGCAGCAATTTTGCGGAACCGGTTGCCCAGAAACTTGGCAAATGTCAACGATGATTTCAGACGGTTTTTCGGGATGCCGATCGCATTGATAACGTACCCTATAAAAGGCGATCGCGACGCAGCCAAAGCGGAAGACAATTTTCGACGTTGATATGATTGTTGATGTCTAATTTTTCGTTGGTTTCGTTTCAGGTAATGAGCAACGCGATAATTGCGTTGGGCTCATCGGCAGCCCTGCTGTTCACCAGCATCGCTCTCTATACAATGGCTGGACTCGTGAATGAAATCGACGAAATGAAAAATGATTTTGATAGCGAAATGATCGATTTCAAGGTATCTTGATTCAATCTCTTGATTCAATTCCATTCGAAACTTTTAGTTCATTTCTAAAAGCACTTGGAATCGGATTGTTGAGAAACATACAAATCCAACGGGTGTTACTGAAGCTCCAGTCACTTTCGAGACATTGATCGGCGCCCGATTCGCTCGTCAAGCATTCCCGGAACAGTGCAACTGCGGACCACGAAGCGAAGGATGTCCACCGGGACCACCAGGTGCACCAGGACAGCCGGGAGCTAAGGGAGCTCCAGGACTAGATGGAGACGATGGAAAGCCGGGAGCTCCAGGTGTCGTCGTCGCCATCACTCATGACATCCCAGGAGGATGCATCAAGTGTCCACCAGGTCGTCCAGGTCCACGCGGACCGAACGGACTTCCAGGACCAGCTGGACCACCAGGAAACAATGGAAGACGCGGCCCACCTGGTCCGCCAGGAGGTCCAGGAACTCCAGGAGAGGAAGGAAATCAAGGAAACCCGGGAATCAGAGGACGTCCAGGACCACCCGGACCACGCGGACAACCAGGAGTCACTTATAATCCAGGACAGCCAGGTCGCATTGGACCGCCGGGACCAAGAGGACCACCGGGACCAGAAGGCAAACCAGGAGAGCCAGGACTCGACGGAGTTCAAGGACCCGTTGGACATCCAGGAATTCCCGGACGTCTAGGAACACCAGGAAAGTCTGGCGACTGCGGAGAGCACGGAGCTGACGGAGAGCCAGGACCAGATGCCGGCTATTGTCCATGCCCAAGGCGCGCTTTTGTCTAATTTTCGTAATAAAGAAATCATCTCGCTTTTATTGAAGGGTTTAAGGCACTTTTGAACAAAAAACACTTTCGAATGAGAGCAATCAAGAAAAAAAAAGTTGGCTACTGATTGATATAATATGTCCAATAAATGATATGAAAAATAACGAAAACGGCGGGGAACAGGAAGCGACACACAAGATCCACCTGAAACAATGATATCGATCGATTGGGAATCAACGAGAAGACGCCTACCTGGGCCGGTGTTATTCCCGACGAGCGATTCTGCTCAGTCTTGAATGGAATCGGAGGCATCGCAACCATCGACAGAAGGGGAATCCTTTGATCGATCTGTTCCGATGGTCGATGATGAACATTGTTGTTCTGAAATGAGGCGATACAATCGAATATCGCAAATTGTGTGTTTAATGAACACCCGAAAAAGGTACGTGTCGATTTCCCTTAAAATTTGGGAAATTTGCGTCTCTCTTCGCCTCAACTCCCACCCGTTTGATGACAACTTGATATGCTTGAATTGCACCATTGACTTCGAGCCACCATGTCAAACTTTGTGCTCTCATCCGTCAACTTGGTACGAATGTTTATTTTTTTCTTTGACACTGAACACACCAAAAAAAGGGGGGCCAAGTTTGGAATGTTTGAAAAGTGACCGAACACGCATGAATGTGCCCATCTGGGGAATTGGTTGGATTGCATGAAACCAGCTGACGAAATCAAGCCCCAAAAATAGAGGGCACCGCCCACGCACCTTCATCACAACGGAACTCTGACGCCGATTTTTGCTTCGTTTTCGGCTTGCTTCTCGCATCAATGCGCCATCGCCTGCAACAAAAAAAGAATGAGCCGCGATTTCACAGTTCACCTCGATTCCTTCCAAAGGTGAACCAAAAAAAAACCAAATATGGATAGAAACATAGGAAATCAATTAAAGTATTGCTTACCATCAATATACCCAGTGATATATTGCGATTCTTCAATTAAATAAGCGAAAAATTGATGTGATAAGAAATATGTTCAAATTTCTACCTGTTTCGTAGTATTGAATTGGAGAAGCTGTCTGTTTTCCCTTCTTCCTTTTTAATAAGTATCCAATTGCGGCATATTCGAGTAGAGAAGCGAAAACTGGAAATGGAAATTGAGATGCTAATCCGTATGGGTTAATGAACCCATTTCAACACAATTCTAAAAATAGCCATTTTTCAAACAAAATTTTTCCCATTTGCTTAAATCTTTTAAAAATTCTCAATTTCGTGTTGTATTTTCCCAAAAAATGACCCTCCAGACGAAAATGCGAAATCAAGTCTGGGCGGTATAAATTTCCTTTTCTGCGAGACCACCAATTTCTGGCTCTTTTTTTTTGTTGTTATTTTTGAGCCAAAAAAAAAAACAACTGACCAATAAAGAAGCAAACTCCGAGGAAAATGTCCAAACTCTTCACGTAGCTCACTTTTGGCAGAGAGGCATTTGTGCTGGTCATGAGCGTTGTCATGGTGAGCACCGTAGTCACACCAATCGTCACCCGCGCTTGAACCGCTTCTCGATTCAGCCAGAATGAGACCCATGAAATGACAACGATGAGGCTCGATGGAAAATAGATCTGACAATCATCGTTGTTCTGTTTCAGATGCTCCCCTGCTCTCACCTGTATCAAATAAAATCCGATGTTCCGTTTGAATGTGAAATACGCGGATAGTCTTGAATAATTTCCAGTCGACAATGAGATCACTCGCTCGATGTGCGTGTGCTCTCCAATCGAGAAATGAGCCAAATGCACATTCTCGTCGATTGTCACCGCGTTCTTCTGATGCCAATGATAAATGATATCCTTGGTTGAATATCCATAGCTCTATAAAATGCTTCATATTTTTAGTAGCCAAATTCTCATTTTCCAAATTAGCTTTGTTAAAAATGAAAAGAACTCACTTCCACTTCTAATGCACACTCTTGTCGATCCAATGGGAACTAAATATTAATATTTCAATCGGTGAAGCTTTTGCGAATTACCGTATGCAAGCTCATCGGACAATTAGCGGTTACTGTAAGTCGAATGCTTCGCAGCACATTGCCATGATTGTCCATTCGGAGAAACGAGTTGTGTGACGTGGCTTCGTGGAAGAACGATTTTTTCTCGTTGGGAAAAAATGTGTCGGGCGTCCAAATGGTTTTAACCATATCGATTCCTGAGCATAGTTAGTATAGCAACATCAATCAGTGATTTGTTCTTCAAACCAATTGTTAGAGAATCATCAACATTGCTTTCCCAAGCTAATCGAGGGTCCTTCCAAATTTGGCGAATATACAAATCGAGGGTGTAATCCTAAACTCTTGACTACTCGAATGTGTTCGCTTCTTTTTCACTTTACCATTGAGACTTCCGAGATTGCACTAATTGAGCTGATGTGAAGTGTGATGTTGACCTCGATGGGGGGTCCTGCAACGATAATTGTTCGTGTTTCGCCATTTTTTTTTTTCGCTGAATAAGAACAATTTTTAGGGCAAAAATCGCGAACAATGCGACAATGAACTCGTTGCACCATGACGTTTTTCTTTGCAAAACCCCCTAGACAAAAACCGGATTCGGTAATTAGTAATGTCCCGCGCGTTGTCCGCAGATGAGAACAATATAGTCAAATTCCAACATTGATTCATCCACCCCCTATTCGCTATGAATTTCCCAAACCCTTTTTTGTGTTGAAAAAGAATGTGAAAGAAGTTGCAGAAAAAGAATCATATTTGTCGATGACAAAAGAGAGTTCGCTGACACAATTCGCCGCACCTCCGTAGTTCGGTCGAATTCGGCGATCGTGACTCGCGATGAGCTTGTCGAGAAGCCTCGTCACATTGCTCTCCAGATTGCTGCTGCTGCTGCTTCTGCAAAAAAAATTTCGGAAATTCGCGAATGATCATTAGGACTCATGAAAAGTGGGCCCATCATTATTATGCATATAGTTGGGAGTAGTTTGTATACTTTTTTTTTTACTAAAAACGGCGGCCACCTCAACGGAAGAAAATCTATACGTCATTTAATCGTTCTTCCTTCTTCACACCTCATAAAACTTGTCAACATCAGACGCCAGACGAAACAAAAAGAAAACGTCTAGCCGGTATCTAATGGTCCGTTCCAGTTTTGAAATAAAACAAACATGCGCGAAATCCCTGAAGAAATCGTGTGTGGGTGTGAAAAGTTTGCATATTTTTTTGAGCCGCTTCAGAACTATGAGAGAGAGAAATAGAGAGAGAGAGAGAGAGCACGCAAAAAATTTCCATAAATGCAAAGTTCAAAAATTGACAAAAATTGATGGGATTTGTCATGTGGCAATGACTAATTATGTAGTTTTTCTTGAAAAAAAAAACAATACAATGAGGAAGTTCGAGCAAAGATTCAACAAATACGAGCTTTATCTTCCCTTTTTCATCCAGAAATCTTGGGACCCCGTTGGCGGTTTGCTCTTATAGGGAGCCTTTGACGTCACACAAAGGAGGGGAGGCGAGGGGGGGCAGGTGAGAGGAAGTTCGGAGAATAACTTCTCGTAAATCGAAACTATTCAAATCGACAAAATCGAATTTGGCTGGAAGCATGATTTATGGAGAATCGTGATAGTCTTGATGAGCGAGTTTGTCTCTTCCAAAGTTTTTTTGAACTCCCCCCCCCCTATCAAATTTGGGTTTCGATGTCACAGGCGAGAAAAAAAATAATGGAAATGGAGAATTGGAAATCCTCTTAGAAAACCGCCTAGCACATCAATTCGATTAGTGATTTGGTATTCATTTGGGTTTCTTCGGACCCCACTTCGCCACGTTATTTCCCCCCTCACCAGTAACTATTTTGTTGTTGTGAAGAAAAACAGCGACGTATCGAATTTATTCGAGTGCACACACACTCTTCTCTTAATCGTCTTCTCCTCCTTCTTCGCGATTTTTTTTCTGCATTCTTTTTGGCTTTAATTGCATTCACTCTCGGAGGTAAATCCGGCCACCGGCTCGACATCATGCCTGGCTCCGGCTCGGCAGTCGATGACGATGAGCGCCAAACTTACGGGATGCGAGATGGATAACGCAAAACGAAACGAATTGTCTTTTTCGCCAGATGGCCGATAAAACATTTTTCGATATCGCTTCATGTTGTTATGAACTATTACAAACTATTAAATGTGCATTATGTCGTAAGGTCAAGTGTATCCGAATTATTTCCAACAGTCGAACAGTTTGCGCAAATGACAATTAATCTTGAAATGTTTTAATCGATTTCGAATTTTCAAAAAAAAAAAAATACAAACAAAAAATGTGTGCAATATTGCGTGAGCGTGTATGAATCTTTACCGTCGCTTTTTTTTTAAATTTTCTTCATCTACCCTAGATTCTTTGTGAAAAAAACTTGTTAAGTGAGTTCACACCTTCGGGCATTTTTTTCACGCAGCAAATTGTCGGCTGCATGTATTACCCAAGGGTTAGAATAGAAATTTGAACTGCACAAATTGGTTTCGATTTGGCTGCGTATCAAACAAATACAAAACTACAGTATTCATCAAAGGTGCACGAAGAAATATGTTTATTTCGTGCCAATAAACAAAACAGCGTTTGGTCGAAATTCGTTGAACTTCTGAATGAATGAGGCCGAAATCTGACCATCCTATATCATTTTTGAATGATTTCCTGCCTACCACTGTGTTTCGAACTTTGTTGGACGCATGAATTCTCGAATAATTCATTTAGAATGCATTCGAGATGAGAAGAGTCATTAGTATAAAGTGCGTCATTTATATGATTGGCAATGATGAAAAAAAAATTGATGAGAGAGGGAATCGTTCATCTCATCCATCCTCATTTTTGTTGTGCTCAACTCTCGAATCGTCATTCGAGTCAGACAGACTCGCAATTGTCTCTTGAGCCATTCTCGAGTTTCGTTCTTCAGGTCCATCGCGAATGAATAATTCACGGATATTTGAACGGCACTGAAGACTGCTCAAAACGGGCGGCTCAAAAAAAATAACGCTCGAAATACAATGATAAATGAGGGTGTTTCTTTGATGATGGTCAAAAATCGAGAACACCCCTCGTCGCTTTGATTCAAGATTTGTTTGGTGTTACATACATTGGGAATACATTAGCGAACACTCACACACATCCAAAATTGGGCTGAGCGAATTGATAGTAATTGTATCAGTCAGTTCGAGTAGAAGGCTGAGAAGAACGCGTGGCGAGAGAGAAATTTTTGAGATTTCCACTATTGAAATATTCCATAAAAAGGAGCATAAAGGGTGCTGCTCCTTTAAAAATATTTTTTTTTACTTTCAAACGTAAACTTTGCTAGGATATTCCAGGATTCTGTTAGCAATTTCTTCCTTCTCCACCCACTCCAATCGAATTTTCTCCCGCAATAACATATAATAACAATGCGATATAATAATTTAATTAAAGGCACACACACACACACACACAGCCGACATGGAATAGAAAGGAAATCTTACAAGAATGTCTAATTATTAAATCATTTTGTGATATTTGTCGGCAGACGCCCGATTTTTCAATTTTTTCCTCTCTCATTTCCTTCACATCGCCATTATTTTTTTCCGTCGGCGGCAGCTCATGAACGCCACATCGAATTTGGGAAGACAGGCAATTTACGCCATCTCGAGAGACGTTTATTTATTGCGATTTTAATTTGAGAAGATTTGCTCAACAAGTCCGATTCGGAATGGAATCGAATCGAGAAGAGACGAATTGGATTGAACGGCGAATTGGGAGAAACGAGGTTTTCAAGAAAAAAAAAGCGCATTCAAAAAAAAAAATGAATCGAATGAAAGAAAAACTCAATTGTCGCTAGAATTTTAATAATCACTCAAATATTTTACAATTTTTTTTCTCATTTCTATTTTGGAATAAAATTATTGTGATTTTCACTAATTACTATAAAAACGAGAAACGCATTTTTCTGGAATTCATATTTCAGTGGGAATTCCAGTCATGGGAATCAAACTCAGCGTAAATCTATAATGGGCTCGTTTTTTTCCAATTGTGATATTTTTCAAAAGCTTAAAAAAAATAGAAAAACAGACTCGGGGTTTGATGATTCCGTGGTTGCTGTCTCGGCATATTCGAGCAATTTGTCACTTTTCATTAGCTGAAAATCCGACAGTTCAAAGTTCAAAAGAAAGGCCAATAAGAAATGGCGTACCGGCGGTTGGTCGCATCGCGCACCGATCACCAAAATTGGTAGAAGAATACGGAGCATGTGCACTACAAACTAAGCCGGCCGTGCGTTTGTTGCGATCAGCTGAGTGAGCAGTGGCTGCTCGAAGAGCCGCGACGAGCCGATGCTTTTGCCACAGCCGAAACCACGCCCATTTCTCGTCATCCGTTTGGTTCTTTTTTTTTGTGAAAGAAGGCAGGGTGAATAGGGCGGGCACAACGCGAATATGTACTTGTTATTAGTAGGAGCAGAAGCAAATGAGTGCAACATAGTTAATTATTATTATACCTACTATAATTACAAATCAAGAATATCCTTGAGGAAAAAGTGCAAATGGATTTGTCGAATGGAGTCATAAGTGGACTTTCTAAAATGACTGACTAAGAGCAAAAATTAACATTGAATGTTTGATGTCTTTTAAATGCGAGCAACAAATTTTGGATTGCCAAGGAAAAGCTCAGTTGCCAACTTTCAGAGATCAAAAATATTTTCTCTCATTTTCTTGGGGCCTCAAATTTTGCCTTATTTCACACTCAATATTCTCATATTTCTTCCTTTCTCGAATTCTTCATTTTAATTATAGCCTTCTAGGCATTGTGTTGGTCGTCTATGATCGTTGAGGTGTCTTATTTCCAAAAATGACACAGTTTATCGTTTCAGATTTCACTGGTACGTCCTGTTACGGAGCCTCTTCCTCATTTTTTTTTCTAAATAAATATCCCTTTCTCTACTTTTCAGTGCGATACGCAATATCACAATTATTATGTTGTTTTTTTTTCCTTTTGCGTGAGTCGTGGATGAGAATGTGCGAAAACAAATCAAGCGGCATTTCAGTAGCTTATTATTAAAACAATCGGTATGAACATAAATGCAGTTAGTAACAAAAAAGGAAAAGAGATTCCGAGAGAGGTTTCAAATCTGGTATGGTAATTTGAAATTTCAATTATTTTAGGTTATCGATTTATGGATTAATATTGCTTTTCGCATATTTGAGTAATTTTATATTAGTCGATGAAGCCAAAGCCACAGTTTCAGACGGATGAATGAGAAAAACACAGTCTCATTTTTTCTGAGTATCCCTCAAATCATATCAAATTTGTCATTTCTTATCTCTAGCTGTGAGAAAGAGGTACGGTTAAAAGTCACTGTACACTTTTGCGTAGGGTGTTTACACATTATCACATTTTTTTTTGGAAAACTCAACGGGCCCGAGAGCAGAGAATTGGTTTTCTTTAGTTTTACCCGCAGGTTTCACTGTTTCGTCGTTTTGAAAGAAATAACAAAAAAATATTCTCATTTTTTTTCCGCGTTTTATGCCAAAACTTGTCTCTATTTCGCCTCATAAGTTTGCTGAGTTTTAAATTTTAATTTAATTAATTATGGTTTTGTTGTGAAAAATAATCTTGTGAATCATCTGTTAACAATAAAGCAAAAATTTATTTGATTTATTTTCTTAGGAATTGTTTTCTTCAGATTACTTCTGGCCTTCTTCGCGAGTTCAATCAAATCACAAATGAGCAAGTGTCGAGTGTTCAGGCCCAAGGACTCATTGATGTTACGTTGGACTTTATCCGAACCTGGAACGCGTCTCTACACGCTGTTTCAAAACCTGGCCATATCCTGACGGCGCGCCGTGTCATTTGCCATCCAAAATATGCAAAAGCCTACACATTTAACACATTCAAGGTAGATATTCGGGTAAACATGCAGAAATTGAATGGCTCAAATTAGACCGCATTCTTTGAATTTATCGAGAGAGAAAACTATCATTCAGACACTTCGACGATTCGAAGTTGAATTAAAAATATTCGAGGGAAATCAAGAAGTGAACACGTGGATCGAAAAATATTTGAAAGTATTGCGACGATTATTAATATCCAATTATTTGTAAATATGATATAGGCCGATGAATTGAAGCACGAAGCTGTCCATTTATGGGAAGATGACAGTGTTCCGCATTCGGGAGATGAAGCGGTCAAGAAGAAATTTCTAACGAAAAAACCGGTATAACAATTAATCAGATCACGGAGTATTGGGTGTATAATTTCAGTATAAGAAAGGATCTGAAAAGTCGAAAAAAGCGAATAGCGATTTGACGAGTCGAAATGAAGTCCGCGAAGAGCAAAAACCACCGGTTTTGATTTGGGCGAGCCATGCTATTGTAACAATGTTTTCTAGCGATCTCTTGGATATTTTGAATTCTAGGTTTCACTCCATCCTGATTTGTTCGATGCCACCAGTTCTTTCTTAATAAATGACGCTGTAACCATAATTCATTTCGATTTTCCTAGATTAGTGTTCAGGAATGCTTCAAAATTCACGATTGCCCGAATACTAAAATCATGATTCATTCCGGAAAATTTGGTTTGATTTTTAATTTCAAAGTTTAATATCCATCGTCTTCAGATTTTAATTGTCTAATCGTTCCAACAAACAATAAAACACTTCAACTGGTATTCATATATGGCGCGAAGAACGTGCGACTTCATTACGATCGCATTAAAGAAACAATTCTCGGTTTCGGCCAACACGCGCCTTGCATCGTCCACAAAGAAGCACTGGTAAGTGCATTCTTGAAAGTTGAAACGTCAAAAAGCAGTTCCACTTGTGAGTGCGGTTCTTAAGCCTTCGAGAAGCATCAGAAACCGCATTAGCGGCGAAATTATTTATACATATTTTTGTCTAATAATTAGTTGTTTTCTAGTCGCCGAACACGAAGAAGCAAACGCGGATGATCTACATCCCGGCATGGAATCCCACCGAGTTTCCAGCGGTCAACATTGCCGAGCATTACCTGGTATCGAATTGGGCTCTGCTCAACAATTCTCTAGAGTATTTTGTTGTTTAAATTTGAACTTTGAGCAATTAATATTGATAATGATTTCGAGAAGCTCTGACTAATGAGGATTTGCAAAACTGCCTTGGTTTCAGGCATGTCTTGAAATGAACTCAATGTTCTACACAGGAGGATTCGGGGATTTGGCACCGTCAGACGCTGAGCCTTCTGCATCTCCAAATCCGCATCGAATTGCTCACATTCAACATTATACGCTTATGTCGCTGGTGAATTCGCCGCACAGTGCTATCAAGTAGGTCCCACCGCGATATCATTATTTCGAACCAAATCAATCTTATTTATGAGAATTGTAGAGAAAAATCAAACATTTCTCCTTAAAATAGTCAATGAAATTGGCGTTTATTTTGTTTTTCGATAAAACAGAAATCAAATTTAAATGAAAAATCAATTAAAGTCGTAACATATTGAATTGACGTTGTTTTCCATGTTAATTTGATTAATTTTTAATTTTATTGAGGCAATCTAACGAAAAATCGGAAAACACGAAGAAATCGTCGATGCAACAGACGGCGTCGCAAGTCTCGGTGAACGAAAGTCAGGAATTCGAGCTCGTCACTTTACCATATTGTGTTTTTCTTTGGGACACGAAAAAAGAGGGGCCAGTAATTATGGGCAAGTAAGAATTTAATTTGAAAATGCCCATAATACATATCGCATTTTAAAGAATTATTGATAAAATGGGCGAGCATGCGAAGAAGCGAAGGAAACAGGCAACAAAAGAGCATTCATCCCTTATTCCGTGCCTCATTATGTAATTAATATTCCAGTTTATTATAAATAATTTCCAGCTTATTAGAAATAATATTTACTATTATTAGTTGTGGAATTCTCAGCATTTATTTTCGGGCGGTCTCGTAGTTGGCAACGAACCAATCGACCGATTCCTTGATGGCTTCTTCGAATGGTGTGAATTTGAAATCAGGGAACAATTTGCGAAGCTTGCCATTTGATGCAGTTTTCTTGTATTGGCCGTCAGCTTTGCTGGTGTCGTAGACAATCTCGCCCTATTTTAATACAATATTAGTTTTGCAATTTCAAATCGTTACCTCAAATTCAATAGCTTTGACAACAGCTTTGACGGCGTCGGCAATTGATACTTCGTCTTCTTCTCCTACCGACAAGATTATTGGGCTAACATCCTGGAAATCGAAAAATGATCAAGGAACATGCAAATTACAGGGAGAGCTTACCTCATATTCTCTAAGAACCCTAACAAAAAGCCGCGCCAAGTCTAAAGAATAAATGAATTGTCTCAATGGTTTTCCTGATCCGAACACCTAAATGATTAAACTAAATTCTTTTAGATTTTCCAAATAAGCCTAATCAGCACCTCTAAAGGAGTTCCATTTTTCTTCGCAATGTAGGCCTTGTGGATTAGAGCCGGGAGAACATGGCCGGCTTGCAAGTTGTAATTGTCGTGCGGTCCGAATACGTTACAAGGAATCACCGAGGTGAATCTGAAGTTAATTGAACTTGAAATACGAGAAACAATTGCATTCAGTTTACTTTTTTCCATGCTCTTGCGCATACCCACGATTGAGAACATCGATCATTCGTTTCGCGTACGAATAGCCAAAGTTTGAGTCGTGTGGTGGCCCTAAGTGAACCTACAATATATGTATATTGGATATTTGTTTGAAAATATTCTCAATATTTGCCATTGTCTCATCGATCGGATAGGTGGTTTTGTCCGGAAAAATGCAGGTCGAAAGACACGAGACACATTTTTCGACATTGAATTCGTGGCAAAGAGCAAGAACGTTGTCGTTTATTGCCTAAAATTGAAAAATAAAAAAAGCAAGGAATACAAATAGAAAGAATTGAGTGAATAATGTTTTTTTTTTAACTTGCCATATTTCTTCTAAAAAACTGTAAATTGTGGGCTAGGTTGTGGAAAAGTCCGCCGACCATCGCTGCGAGATGAATAACATGAGTTGGTCGGGTCTTTTCAAAAAACGCTCGCGTCTCGTCAAGATCTTCCAGATTGCAGTCGCGACTTCCAATGAAAATCCACGTTTCGTTCGGCTGTTTTTCAGTAGTTTTAACGACCTGAATGTTTCTCGAATTTTCTCCAATTCTCCAAGAGCCTCTTACATGCTTGATTGCGCTTCCGACAAGCCCGGTTCCGCCGGTGACCAAAATGACCTTCGAGCCCATTCTTGGTTTCCTAAAATTTGATTTTTCAAAAAAATTGAAAATCAACGAATTGTCGCTGAAAGCGGTAGCTGCAATGTGTTTGTGTGTGTGTGTTTGTGCCACGTTTCGATAGGCAAATAAAGCAGCGAGACACGCAGAGAATATGCACCGACGCACCTGCATATATCAATTGAACGGCAGAGAAATCACACAGGACTTTATTTGGTTAAAATACATGAATACAAGACTTCGTATATCAAATAATTAGAATTAAAATGAAGAAGAATGAATGAATGAAAAACGCATATTGGGGGAAGGGGGAAGAATAAACAGTAAGATGATCACAACCCGAGGAAGTTAATCGAGAATTAGTAACGCCAGGGTGAAATAGAGATGGGCAATTCGAAATATATATATTTGATTTTGCAATTATTCGGCAAATAAAAAATTCCCAAATTTCCTATTCCGGCCGTTTCTCCGCGTACTTTCTCGTGTGCTCTTCAGCGTTCTTCATGAATTTCTTCCTATCTTTTTGGTATTCCTCGGCCACATCAGCGCGAATTGGATGTGACGGCTCTGGCTCGTTGATCAACGAAAGTAGAGCCATCATAACTGAAAAATGGCGGATTTATAAATAATGTTATCCTTATAATTAATTACCCTGCTCGGTTTTCGTTGCTGGCTTCCAGAGGTCGGCGGTAACGATTGGAAGGCAAAACTTGCCCTCCTCGTCGATATTCGGATGGTAAATTTTAGTCTCGAAGACAATCTTTGGCGGCTTGAAGGGATAGTCGACGGGGAAAGTAATACCCACTTTGAATGCTCCCTTGTTGTACGGTTCCTTGTCCTAAAAATTTCTCTAATTAACAGAAATAAATTATATTAATAATATTACCGGAACAAGAAGAACGGTCCATTTTAGAAGATTGGTTTCGTCACATTCGACATTTTCGTAAGCCTTTACACCGCAGTTCTTTAAGTCTCCAAGCTCTTTTTGGAGTCGTCGAGTTGCTGACATTTTAATCTGAAAAAATGTGCTTCACGTTACTTGAATGAGAAATTGAACAATGAAAAAGAAAAATAATTAATGTTTAAATAACAAAACAAATCGATTGTCTATGCGATAAAATATTATGGCCTAATTATTATGAGTTACATTAATTGAAAACAGTAGATGAAAACTGGTTAAATTTCGAAATTCAATTATACTATTCCAGAAAATTCGAGAGCGATAAAAAAATAGAAATCAAATAACGAGCGCAATGAGTAAAACCGCCGCGAATGATAATAACACGAAACGGAAAAGAACGCCGGCAAGTTAGCAGTTTGGTCTGCACACACTTGACGCATTTTTTGCGGAACACTTATTCGCGCGATTTCAAAAAATTATAAGATTCAACATGAAATGCAATCATGAGTCGATTCAAAAGACGGCGTTCAAAATAGTCCAATTGATGATTCTGAATTGATTTAGAATTATGGGTGCAAAAGAAAATCGGGTCTGAAAAAGAGGGAGCAAAAGATTTTTAAAAAAATACGCAACAAAATAGGTGCTAGAAATCAGGAGGGAGGCAAAAAAAGAGCTGCATAAAATTATTGGCGAAAAGTTTTTTCGACGCTAAGAAGCTCATTTGTTTTTTTTTTTTTCTCGCAAAACCAATAAAACAAGCAATGCTGGAAATATTTCAACTCGCCAACACATAAAAATATGTAGTTTCGTCACATGACGAAATTATGCAATTTAAAGTAGTCACGTTGTATTTGGATAAATTTTAAAACAATTGTTTTTCTTGTTTAAAAAAAAAGATAAATATTAAAAGATTGTTCTATGTGATAATTGAGACATTTTTTAAGAATTCGCTTTAAAAATCAATTTCGGTTTTCCAATATTTAGCTCAATTTACCTTATTCGTGTTTGAAAGTTTAAAATATATTTTAAAATCTGCTTTTCGATTCGAATCCATTCAAGTGAATTTTGTTCTCAATTCAATAGAAACATTTTCACCTGCAAAAGATTGATCGCACAAAAAAATGCTGGTTGTTGGTTTTGAATGTTTGCTCGCGATATTATCATCACTTCGCCAGTCGTCACAATATTTTGTGACCACATATCAGCATAGAACACATTTGTCGTTTCATATATAAAGACTGCGGCACTTTGATTTCAATTCATTGCGTCATGGTTCACTACAAGCTCACCTATTTCAATTCGCGCGGATTGGCCGAAGCCACCCGCGATATGTTCCATCTGGCCGGCGTCGAGTTCGAGGATATTCGGATGAATCATGAAACTGATGAATGGGCAAAACTCAAGCCACGTAAGTTGGGAAATATGAAAAAAAAAGAATTTCGAATAAAAATGAGCGTATTTAGACACCCCATTCGGACAAGTTCCAGTCCTTTCTGTTGATGGATTCGAAATTCCACAATCGGCTGCGATTGCGAGATATGTGGCCCGAAAATTCGGTATTAAATAAAATGTTACGCGTTTTGTTACAAAAAATATAATTTAAGGATTCGCTGGAAAAAACCACGAGGAAGAAGCTTGGGTTGATGCGTTCATCGATCTTTTCAAGGACTTTGTAGGAGCTGTGCGAGAGCTTGCTCTTGCAATTCGAGAGAAGAAACCCAATGAAGTCATTGTAGGTTTTGGACCTATTCATACAATAAAAAATAGTTTTAAAAAAATTACTCTTTTTTTTCCAATGCAGCGATGCAAAAATTAAAATGTGTACTGTAATTAAATAATGAAGGAATCTGCGAGACCAGACAATTTGTTGCCGTGCGTCTTTCTTATCAAAGTTACGGTATTATTTTTTTTTGCTATCATTTTTGATAATTCTGATAAATTCAAATCGCGAATGTTCGAAGTGATAAAGTGATTTTGAGGAATACGATTCCTATAAAATTTAAAAAAATTTAAAAAGATAGGTTATGCAAATAAAATGAAATAAACTAAAAGGTTTTAAAAAAATTTAAAGTCGAATAAAAAATTAACACCGTAACTTCGAAAAACGACGCACGGATGCATATTGTCTCATGGGTCTCGCAGATTTCTTCATAATTTAATTACAGTACCACTGCATCGCTGCATTGGAAAATGTGCCAACTTTTTTAAACATTTTTTTATTGAATGAATATTTCCGTTATATTCAAGGCTCATGAATCGGCACTATCCGCATTGAGCGTTTTTGTAAAATGGTTTTATTGATGGGAATTTAGGAGAAATTACGAAACGAGACCTACAAACCCGCCGAGGAGGTATATTTCGCCAATCTCAAAAAACATCTCGCTAAGGGCAAATCAGGTAAACATTTTCTGACTTTTACCCTATATTTTGAGACAAATAAATTTAGTATTCCTTGTCGGGGATAGCGTGACAGTCGCTGATCTGTTCGTAGCTGAAAACTTGTTCACTCTTGAGAAAAATCATCTGATTGATTTGACAAAAGAGCCCGAGTTGCTGAAATACAAGAACAAGATCTTTTCGCTGCCAAAACTCAAGGAATGGATCGATAATCGACCAGACACACAATTTTAATTATTTAGTATGAACGCTTTTAAAAATAAAAGAAAATTTGTGTACGTCAGCGATAAAGACACTTGTGGCGTTGTCATGAATCATGCGTCCTTGTGCTATAAAGTGTTTGACAACGATTTCAAGTTTAGCAATTTTATTTTTAAGGTTTTTATGCCTAACTACTAAAAGACGATTATGAAAAAATAAGTATATTCATTTGTACAAAATCCCTGATTGAAATGTGTCTACACAATTATTATTCTAGCGACATGTTCCGCGTTTTGAGGTTAACTACTTCTCAAAGTCGGTCGGATTATATGTTTGCCGGTTCGTCGTATGTCCAGCTGAAGTTTGTGAGCATAAACAGAAAGGCTGATTTCGTGGAGCTCTCAAAGAAGGCCTCTGCTCTCTCAGGCACAAACAAGTCCTCTACCTCTCACTGCTAATTGTTCAATGACCGAAAAAACTAAACGAACGGGTGGCACACAGAAAATCTCATTGCTGAATGATGAAACACGGAATGGTCATGAACTTCCTCGCCTCGAGGTCTTGGCTAAATAAATGGAAGTGTGGATTAGGAATATCGTCCAGTGAAAGGCGCACCACGTAAATCTACCCGCATACAGTAATCGCCGAACGGCGACATACAAATTTCGTATTTCTAGCACAAGCTAAACAGTCATACCAGAAAGGTCAACTCCTTTCGATCAAATTAACCTCATCGAAAAGTGTTTATTTGATTATTAATTCAAATTGCCATGCTTGTTCCACCCGACGTTCCACCCGTCGTTCCACCTGTCGTTCCACCTGTTGTTCCACCAGAAGTTTCCAGTGTCGACTTGTCTATCAACGATGTTTGTCCTCCGACTGTTTGTGCTCCGGTGATCTCAGCTCCAAAGCCGACACCAGTCAGCCCTCCTGTGGTTCCAGATGCGTCGCAACCATAACGTTTAAACATTGCACGATACCTAATTGACACTATCAATTAATTGGACGTTTTGTTTATGATACCAAACGCTATAGAAAGTTCGTCGGAGTAGATACATGATTGCTCCCCCAACAAGAACAATTAAAAGGGTTCCGATAACAAATCCGAGATAAATTCCGAACAAAAGCCATTTGCCTTTCTTAAATTGACTAGAATATTCGCGAGAGTGCTCAGAAATCGAATCTTTGATATAGACGATTTCTGGTGGTGCCGTCGTCGACTTTGGAATCGGAGCTGGCGGTTTGGTTGAGGTAAATTCTCGTTCCGATTGATTAAAAGTCTTCTCCAATTCTTTTTTGTCAAAAACCTTTTTGCTCGCATCAACTCGTTTGACATTCGTTGATGTTTTCACAAGAGTCATTGCAGCTTCCATGTTCTAAAAGTATTCATTGGTCCAACAAAATTTATTTGAAAATGGCGAATAATCAACTCACGGTGGGAATAATTCCGAAGTTGTCGAGAAGTGAGTCCTCTGACGGCAGAAATACGGCCACTTGACGGAACGTTTTCGGATTGTACCCATCGGATCCGGTGAATGAACTTTGTCTATATCTTGTGAAGAGCCCGAGTTGATTCTTTCCATTTAATGGCGTAAAAGTTACGGCGAAATTGTAGAATGTTGGGGTTCCTTCTTTGACGTTGTCTCGAGCACTGGCTCCGAATCGCATTCGAACCGCCAAATCATTATCCGGCCAAATGACGAGTCCATTTCTCAAAAGAATTGTCATGATTCGATCTGGACGACATTTCGGAATTTTTTTCGTATCGGTGAAGAATTCGGGATCGAAGCACAATTTGACAAAATCGGTGCTCCGTTTCACATAGAACTCAAGAAACCAAACGGCATCTTTTTTGAATGTGTATTTGAGTATGGTTCCTCGATCGCAACTCAAATCGCATTGCTTATACTCTAATCCATCCATTTTGTACGAGTCGAGGAAACATCCATAGCTCGCTGATATAATATAATCAGGTTCTTCCTAAATACTCCGCATATTTTAGATATCTTCTAAATGTTTACTTTTTCTCCATAGAATGAGCCATAAATATCGAAAACTCCAAAATTGTTGTCCAGGGTGTAACGCGCAGCAAGTTCGAAAACGCCCTCCTGGCCTTGTATATCGACATGACAATACGGCTCGTTGAATATCGCCAGCTTCAAGTGCTTCGATTTTCAACTTTTATCCAAATTGCATTACCTGCGTTTCGACGTCGTCGTATGTGAATTGATTGCACAAATGAGGCATTTCCGCGTCGAACATCGGCTCAGTAGGCTTATAGCGAACTGCTTTCTTCGATTCGACCGTTTTATCGAAATCCAAAACCTTCGCGACTCCATCCATTGAATATTTTTTCACATCTTCGCTAAAATTCGCCCCTGCAACCCGAATACTTCCGGTACATCTGATCGGTCGACAATTCGATTTGATTTTCATTTTCTTCTTCAAAAGCACCACTTGATGCGGATAAACGACGCACGGCGTAAAATAGTCGGTCGTTTCATCAGGCTGAAAAGAAATGAAAGTCGAATTGCCAAAAGAAAGACCTACGAATCCAATATTCTTCGTTTTGATTCCTTTGTTATTACCACATCCCAAAGATATGCCACCGACAAAATTATCAAAAAGATTGTTGACATTCGCCTTTCCAGACACTGCTGGTATCAGTACGCTATCCGGTCCTTCGCGAGAAGGCTCTTGGTTTTCAACTTCGATCGGATCTTTTTGCTCAGAACCACTAGGATTTTTTTCTTCAGGCTCAACTGATGTAATATTTCCGGTTTCGATTGAAGTGCTATTATCATCTGTGGCGGCAAGAATCAAACAAGGTATAAGAAGCAATGTAATCGCATCTAAAAGTGAAAATTGAAATAAATCGATTATTTTTTTGAAAAGTTAAAAATCAAGAAATTACTTGAGATGAATGCGCGCTTCCGTATCATTGAATCATCCAATTGAAAGATTTTCCTTTATTTGGTCCAGTTTTCCTCGTAATGACATGCTAACTCGATGAGCGTATTATTAGTGTCACGCAATTGATGATTATCACATAATGCCTAGATAAATTACATTTGTCATTAAAGAAAAAACAATATATTTTGCAAAATTGATATAATTATTTCACGTCATATAACTATATTATAAAAAAAGGAACATAATCATATTTAGTAAGAGAACAAAGAGAGAGGTGTTTGGGTAGGTCTTGCAATGGAAGTATTTGATTTTTCACACTAGGGCTCTGTTAAAATGGGGTTGAATGGATCTAAAATTTTTTAACGTGCTCCTACAATGGGAAACCTCCACCTTAAAAATATATGTACCGCAAAATCGAGATGATGGAAATTTTTACCGTTGTGGCGTCCATAGCGCTTCTTTGTCTTGAAGATCCTTAAGCCTCGTGGTCCTTGTGACAGTCAGTAGCGGCGGCAATAGCGGTGTCTAAGCCTGGGGGAGTGAGATCCGCGAGAATGAGCCCCGAACTGACTCAGAACATTTTTATAAAAATCTTTTGTATAAAAAGTTTGTTGATAACATTGGACGTGGTCCTGCCATCTGATTGAACCGTCGGTAGTGTCTTCTCTCTTATACTACGAACCATTATGATCAACCTTCTTTATCGTACTTGGTTCTGGCGTGCTATCATTTTTGTGCAACTTATATTGTTCTGCAAGTACTATTACAACCAAAAGTATGCCTCGAGTTGATTTTTTGGTCTCTCAGATACCACACGCGTTCAACTGCCTTTGAACCGCATTGCTGGATGCGACAACCGTGTATCCGGTGCACTTCCTTCCGTCCATTGCAATCGGGTGGCTGTTTCGTCGGTCGAGATTCACCTCATACTTCATCCAAGGGCCTATCGTGTTATTTTCACAGTTCACCGGCTGTGGTGGTCCGAACCGAATTCCAACCTTCTGCGAACCCGCAGATTTTTGCGTTCTGGGCTGATTGTCCCTCCCAATGGTAAGAGTGTTGCCTGAAGATGGATGGTAAAATACTGGAGATCCTTGGTGTGGTAAATCAGACTGTGCTCTTTGGTGGCTTGTCGTGTCGGGGCGAATAGTCAACGTCATCATCTCGATAGTACTGATTTCGTTGTTCTTCGTATGCGCGACCGATCAGCGCCGCGATATCCTCCTTGCCTTCGTCGAATGAATCCTCCTCGTTTGTTGTTGTATCCTACGTGTGGTTGCAAGCGTTCAACTCGTCCTCTTTGTCCATCTCGTCTACCTCGTTGTGATTGGCGATTATTACGCGAGCAATCCTGTTGCGAGTTGTAGGCTCCAAGTTTCTGGTTGAGCAGCTCACTCAGTTAGGCGACCATTCAGTTGTTTCGGTCGGCTTCCAGAAGGGATTTTTCCCTCTCGCCTTGTTTGATGGATGCGTCTCGATTTTTTCGTAGACAACCTAGTTATGGTTTTTAGCGAATTGGCGATGAAGAGATCGATCCTCAGTTTCTTTTTTTTTCCACCTTCGTATGCAATAGTCGGCACACGATAGATGCCCTTGGTGGAAATCCTAAGCTTCTGCCTTGTCGAGATCAAGGTTCTGATTATCCTTGAGGGTGTCTATGAGTCACGTGATAGTTTTTGTTCAATCATGCGTGGGCGCTTCTGACAATGTTTCACATTTGAGTTTGAAGCCCAAATTTCCGGAAAATTGGGATCAAGGTGGTGCTGAATTCCGCGGGGGTCCTCGAGTCGCTTGAGGATGTATTGACGGACCCATGAGGCGAAGTACTCGCCTTTTCCCGCCATCAAAATTTTGAAAAGTGACTCCATCGCTTTGATTGCGGCTGCTACGATAATTCGGTGTTTTGGGGTCATTCTCATCGGGAACGTGGCGAACTCTTGTAATTTCGTAGCCATTCCGATGGGACGTTTTTGCTAGACTGGCAAAGATATTTCTCCAGTTTTTCGGTGATACGATGATCGTCTTTTCGTCTGCACGTCGGTTTATTTTCCATTCCTCGCAAATCTTCGCTCGTGGACTCGCTGCATCGCGTAATTGATCTGTTTTCTATCGTACAGTGTGGTAGGGGAGTTGACGTGTCGGTTGGTAGGGGTTGATTCCAAGGCCTTCCTAGAGATTTCCACGCGCTTACGGCTCGGATGAGGGTGTTTCGAGAAAATGATGCACGTACTGCTGTTTCTGCGGTTCTCGCAAGCCTTCTGGCTCTTGCGGTTTCCGCTAATTTGTTAGTCCGAAGGTCTGGTGTGTCGATCGCCTGCTGAACTCTTATCACATGCTACTGGGCGCTTCTCCTGTGTTGGCGGCAAGAACGCCAACGGAATAAACAGAAACTGGCCAGAAAATAGCTCAAAAATTGCGACGTAAAGACTTTCCATCCTCTTTCTTCTTCTTCTTCTTGACAACGAGGTTTTTTCGTTTTTTGATACTTGATTTTCCAGTATGCAGATCGTCTTCACGATGCGGTCTTTTCGGCTTTTGGAAGAGTTAGCATTGGTTGATTTCCCAATTTTTTTATTCGCTTCATTCGTGATGCTGAGTGATAATATAGTCAAATATGTCGAGGGCAATGCTGGAAAATTGACAGGAAATGCCCAATGTAGACTCAAAAAGCCGTGGAAATTCGAGCCCTTTGTCATGTTGCACCGTTGGAATTTGGTATTTCATAATTGGACAGAAATCAAGAATCAATTAATCAAATACTCTGTTTCGTCCTACTAAAATAGCTTCAATAACACACTCCGTTACTATATTTTCGAAGATAGGTCATCTTGGATATGGTAGATTTTTCTAGAAGCACCTATTCTCTATAATTCCCGTCCTTATTCGTTCTGGTTGTTCTTATTCTTATAGGTTTCTAATAAAGCAACCTTCTTCTACACTCGTGTTCATCTTGGCATCTCACTTCGAGTTGCACTCACCGGCGCTCCACACGCGATCAAGACCAAAACCACAACAACTTTATTATGACTAAAACATCATAATCCCAAACTATCCCCTCCACCAGAAGTTTCCATCGTCGACTTCATTGATGTTTGTCCGATTGTTTGTTCCCCGGTGATCTCAGTTCCAAATCCAACACCAGTCACTCCACCCGTTTTCCCAGATGCGTCGCAAGCATAACGTTTGAACATTGCGCGATACCTAATTGATATAATCAATCAATTCGTGTCTCAACTTATCATACCAAGTGATATAGAAGGTTCGTCGAAAGAAATAAAAGATTACTCCCCCAACAAGAACAATTGAAAGTGTTCCGATAACAAATCCGAGATAAATTCCGAACAAAAGCCATTTGCCTTTCTTAAATTGACTAGAATATTCGCGAGAGTGCTCAGAAATCGAATCTTTGATATAGACGATTTCTGGTGGTGCCGTCGTCGACTTTGGAATCGGAGCTGGCGGTTTGGTTGAGGTAAATTCTCGTTCCGATTGATTAAAAGTCTTCTCCAATTCTTTTTTGTCAAAAACCTTTTTGCTCGCATCAACTCGTTTGACATTCGTTGATGTTTTCACAAGAGTCATTGCAGCTTCCATGTTCTAAAAGTATTCATTGGTCCAACAAAATTTATTTGAAAATGGCGAATAATCAACTCACGGTGGGAATAATTCCGAAGTTGTCGAGAAGTGAGTCCTCTGACGGCAGAAATACGGCCACTTGACGGAACGTTTTCGGATTGTACCCATCGGATCCGGTGAATGAACTTTGTCTATATCTTGTGAAGAGCCCGAGTTGATTCTTTCCATTTAATGGCGTAAAAATTATGGCGAAATTGTAGAATGTTGGGGTTCCTTCTTGGACGATGTCTCGAGCACTGGCTCCGAATCGCATTCGAACAGCCAAATCATTATCCGGCCAAATGACGAGTCCATTTCTCAAAAGAATTGTCATGATTCGATCTGGACGACATTTCGGAATTTTTTTCGTATCGGTGAAGAATTCGGGATCGAAGCACAATTTGACAAAATCGGTGCTCCGTTTCACATAGAACTCAAGAAACCAAACGGCATCTTTTTTGAATGTGTATTTGAGTATGGTTCCTCGATCGCAACTCAAATCGCATTGCTTATACTCCAATCCATCCATTTTGTACGAATCCAAAAGACTACCATAACTCGCTGATATCATATAATCAAGTTCTTCCTAAACACTCCGCATATTTTAGATATCTTATAAATGTGGCCGATGCTCACGGGGGCATTCTACAAAGTCTCATTGGGGGAAACAGTTTTATCTTTGGAGTCAACGAGAATGCTTCAGTGAGCATGTTTTAGGTGGGTTTATATTGTTTTTCTATATTTTATTATTGCTTCTATAAAATGTAAATTATCTGCGTCTACTATTTCATCACGTTATACTCGCTCTCACTGTTATGGTTCCTCTAGATTTACATGTAAAAATGATTGAATATCGGCATCTCCAAGTACGTGCTTCGCCAAAATTGCGTACGAAATGGTACCCACGATAAAAAACACGGAAAACCGAACAAAATCGACGATATCATGGGATCGACGATATCAATGCACCCTAAGAATGCTTCTTGCCCAACAAGCAACACAAGGAAAAAACTAGACGTTGAACACGTCGACTTGCTTAAGAGAATAAATCTGTTGCCTCGTATGAGATTTTTTAGAATGCCCCCCCCCTTGATACACACAGTCGGTTGACCCCTAAGAGACATTGCCTCCTTGGAGCAGATGACCCCCAAGAGCTCGTTGCCCCCTATTTTGCTGGCCCCCGGGAGCATCGGCCTCTAAATGTTTACTTTTTCTCCATAGAATGAGCCATAAATATCGAAAACTCCAAAATTGTTGTCCAGGGTGTAACGCGCAGCAAGTTCGAAAACGCCCTCCTGGCCTTGTATATCGACATGACAATACGGCTCGTTGAATATCGCCAGCTTAAAGTGCTTCGATTTTCAACTTTTATCCAAATTGCATTACCTGCGTTTCGACGTCGTCGTATGTGAATTGATTGCACAAATGAGGCATTTCCGCGTCGAACATCGGCTCAGAAGGCTTATAGCGAACTGCTTTCTTCGATTCGACCGTTTTATCGAAATCCAAAACCTTCGCGACTCCATCCATTGAATATTTTTTCACATCTTCGCTAAAATTCGCCCCTGCAACTCGAATACTTCCGGTACATCTGATCGGTCGACAATTCGATTTGATTTTCATTTTCTTCTTCAAAAGCACCACTTGATGCGGATAAACGACGCACGGCGTAAAATAGTCGGTCGTTTCATCAGGCTGAAAAGAAATGAAAGTCGAATTGCCAAAAGAAAGACCTACGAATCCAATATTCTTCGTTTTGATTCCTTTGTTATTACCACATCCCAAAGATATGCCTCCGACAAAACTATCAGAAAGATTGTTGGCATTCGAACTTCCAACCACTGCTGGTATCAGTACGCTTTGCGGTGCGTCGTCATCCGATACTCTATTTTCAGAATTGTCCGGTTTACTTTCTTGAGAAGAGTTTGGTTCACGTTCTTCAGTCGTAACTGATGTTCCATTTCCGGTGTCGATTAATGTGTTATTGTCATCTCCGGCCAAGTTCGAGTTGACCAACAATGGTATAAGAAGTAGTAAAACCGCTTCTGAACTCATTCTTAGAATTTATTTCTTTTTATAAAAAATTCATTAACATTTCGCTTTTTTTTTACATTACTCATACATCCCTGCATGTGTATTTTTTTTTACATTTTTGCATAAATTAGTCACTTCCAGATTATGGTTTCAGTATTTAAAAAACCAGTTTTTTGACATTTTAATCAAAAACATCGTAAAACAATTACTTGAAATTGTCACATACATCCGTTTCAATCAATCATAAAATTAAAAAAAAATTCCTTTGTATTGATACATCTAATCAGTAATTATCAAGTATGCCACGCAATTATAACGTTTATAAATATCACGAAAAATGCAATTTTCGCTCAATATCCAAAACAAAACTTGATCTAATTTGAGGTAATCATGCAATACGCTATACCTCCGAACCATATACACAGTTTCGTATCAGATTTATCACAGTTCAGGATGCAATATATAAGAATTTGACAAGAAATTGAATAATAGTGTAAGTGAATTTGAAGACATAATTAATCTATTTACATTCTAAACAGCCTAGAGGAACAAAATTGGTTCGAATATTTAGTGCTTTTTAAAATATTTGTCGAGGAATTCGATAATTGAATCATAGATCATGAACGTGATTCCGACATCGAGACAAACGCGCGACAATCGTGGAACGGTTCCCTTGTAAAAACTGGAAAATAGCGCTTTTGATAAAATCATCTGCAATAAAAATGCTTACGCAAAGAATCCCTCCTTCTTCCAAATTTGAACCGCACAATCCAAAGTGTTCTTGTATTTTTGGGCCTCAAGACCTTGCATTCTCGTCTTCACAACATCAATAGGAGTATTTCCATAAACTGAAGCCGCTCCAGCAATTGCTCCCATTAATCCCACAATGGGTTTCGATATTGGTTTTGTGTTGTCACCATCACGATACCAATCCTAACATTCAAATATATGAACTGCACAGGCAGCAATAATACCTTGAGTGTTTCCATAACAAAAAATCGGATTGCCTGGTTCGATCCTTGCTTTGCCATTGTCGCGGTAACCCCCTTGTAAATTCCTCCGAGACCATCGCTTTTAATAATACTTCCAACTCCGTGCAAGAATCCTTTATATTTTGGCTGCGGAAGGCCTTGATCATGAATGAATTTCACCTTGACAGTTTCCATCGGAGTAACAACAAAAACGGCTTCCGAAATACCTAAGCAATACAAATAATTATTATCGATTGGAAATTACAGAGATACATACCAGCACCAAGTCCGCACATGAGACGCATGATAGGGGTCAAGTTTCCTCGTTCATCCACAGCTTGCGATTTGAGATATTCAAAAGTTCCAAATCTGAAGAAAATAAATAATATAGAATACAAAAGTCAAAGAGAAATAATAGAAAAGAACAAGTTGCATTTTATTCAAGCTTTTCACTTGTTTTAAGATTTTATTGTTAGAATCAAATGACTGATCATTGAGAGAAAAATTCGTTCAGTTGTTTGACGCCGACGAAAAAAAAATGTATTTTTTAATAAAGAAAAATTGAATAACCTGAAAGACGATTTTGGAATGGATCCATAGAGAAGCACCGAAAGACCACGATAGAGTCCGAAGAAACCGTGCCCTTTGACAGTCTGCTTCACACAGTCAATTGGTCCCTTCAATAGTGATATACAATGACGAAATAAACGATAATGGTTGCCTTGAACTTAGGAACAACCGCTCGTTCGTCGAGTTGTAATTGAGTTTTGACATATTCTGTTGGGAATGTGATGCAGATCTCAATACCACCGGTGATTCCACCAATAACGATTCCGCGAACCGTCTTTTCGGAAGGCCCATATTGCTGCCAGAGCGAGAGGGGTCTTAAAGTCTTAAATAAATTCTAAAATTTATGAAAAAATGTCTACTTTGCTCCAGGAATTGGTTGAACTCCGTTAGTGTTCATGGCCTTAACCGAATCGCAATTGAATGGAAAACACCGCGTTTGTGGAAAAAATCGATTTCCTGAAATCAATTCAGAATAAATAAAATGATACCAATTATGAACGGGAAAACAAACAAACGAGGTGAACGAAAAGAGAATTCAACACGAAACAACTTGCGTTCTATTTCTCGCTATGGAAGAGAATTGGAACGAAAAAGATTGAAAGGATGAGAGTTGCGAGATTTTTGGAAACTTTATGAAGAAAAGGCCGAACGAATTACGTCAGAATTTGGTTAGGAGCACAAAAAAGAAGTTGTGCCACGAGGCTTTGCGCGCGAAATCATCAACTGAATGACTAATTTTTGAGGAATTTTCAGAATATTTACTCAACCAAATTTCGATGGAATCGAAATGTCCCAATTTCCTTTTATTCATTGTACGCAATATTGCGTAGCGTGTTAACACACACCATTGCTTATAGTATCTCATAAAAAAAACGATTTATAATATTTTTTTTTTGAAATTATATCTGTTTACACAGGCAAAGTTGCTATTTACATTGAGTGTTGAATTTGAACAATTTTTAATTTTTGCAAAGCCAAAAACACCGAAAAATTCCCAATCGATGATAATTGCCTCTTCGAATTTTGTGAGCAAACAACATTCATCTGTTTATTTCAAAAATCGAATAGATCAAAATCCCATGATGAATTGTACTCTAGGGATTCTAAACATATTTTTAAAAGCAAAGAAACATTCCAAATATTCATTTTTCAGGAAAAATAACTGTAGTCTACAACAGTGGTGCACACATAGTGGCATAAAAACACAGACAAAAACGATTAAATGTTGTTTTCGTATTTGAAATTTCAATAGATTTAACCATCAGATAAGTACTCAATTTTATTCGAAATGAAGTTTCATTGTTCTATAAAAGGTGGTGTGAGAATTAGTTCGCCTGATCATTTATTCGTTATCAATATTCCATCGAATCGACAAAATCAAGCAGGTGTCAATTTTTGAGGAAAAAGCCAAGCTTCATTGAAAAAAAAACGTAATGCTAATATTTTCAAAACATTATTTTATCTCACGCGGCTGTTTGAAAACAAATACAAAACGAACAAACAATATGATGTCGAGTTCAGCAACTCCGAAATTTGTCGGAAGATGCAACTATTGATAACACGATTCTTTTTGGCTAGATAATTGGCCAGATTTCATTCGGTTTGACCTTTTATCTATCTCCGTAATACGATGAGATCACGAACTAAACTGACGCATAGACCTCGATTATTACTGGCGGGGGGAGCGTATTTGGAGTTGCGGTAAACAAAAAAAAATGAAAAAGAGAATTGAGCAATGATGGCACCACGGAAACCCTGATAACAGAGTGTGTAAACTGATAAAGAAAAATCAATTTTTCCTGAAGAAATCTAATTTCCAAAATTGATTTTTTATCGATTTGGAGAGGAATGAAGAGCTGCCCCGCACGAAAATGGTTATCTCTTGATTTCCTCGTTTTTGGGTCGCTCGACATCCAAGGTTAACGATACGAGGCGGAGAATTTGGAGGACTAAAAAGTTTTGCGGTTAAGTTTCGATCGACAGGAAGGACATCACAAATCGTTGCACTTTCTTTGTTGCAAAAACGATGACAAAAAACGCGTTTTTCGAGAATTTTTGATCGATTAGCTTGGTTTTCAAATATTTATCGCAAAAAATGGAGCTGATTCAGTCGGAAATTTGATACTATTCGAGAGGGAGGGACTTCAGCAAAAGTGGGAATTCCTAAATGAATTCTTCTACTCGTTATGACGGATAATTATTGATTTTCGATAAACACTTTTCAAAGAATCTCAATAGTCACGGAAATTCGCCAAAATTGAATGAATATCTTCATACAATTCAATATGTCAAAAGTCAACTGACCTTCTGATTTAAATATAGAAATATCGTCAGGTATTGCGTCTCGTCCGCAAACACCGAGACTAAAAGACGGAACAATTTTATTTTGCCATTCTTTTTTGTAATTGTTTGGGAATTGTATTCGGGTTTTTCTGGTTCTAATAAAACGTTTTAAAATATGTCTTTTTTCAGCATGTCGGGTCTGCTTAGTCGAACGGTTTCGCAAGGAAATTCTGTGATTCGTGCATTTCTAAACGTGCGAACTCCTTTCACACAAGAAGCTGCTGGATTCAAGGTAAGATTTTTCTGTAAACCAGTTGGCAAATAATTTGAACATTTTCCAACTGAATTAAAAGTGAAAATTGTAACAGTGCAAATTTCTAATGGATCATAATTTAATATTTTCGTGCACTCGCAATTTTTTCTATTCAACACCGACAAATTTTATCAATACTTACATCGAAATTGAAACCAACAACTACACAGTCTCAAAAATTTCTAGTATGATGCTTGACTTTCGGTATTTTGATTAAAAATTTAGTTTATTTCAACGCTGAATGAAGTATTTCAGGTGAAATCTCGTCTGAAGTTGCGTTGTCGTAGTTGCTACTTCACACGCGTCGACGGCCGACTCCACGTCGAATGTCATGAGAATCCCCGCCATAAGGCTCGCGAAATCTTCGATGTTAAAAAATTATGGTGAATTGTTTTGTTGGTTTTAGTTTAGTGTCTAGTAATTTGTAAATAAACGGTTTTCGTTGAAATCAAATAATTTATGGGACTCGTTTTAACAAATTATGCGTCTTTAATGTCGATCCGTGATATTGATCCCGTCTATTGCTGCGACAATGCCAGAAATGATCGCTCAATTATTGTTAACCGGGACGAAATTGTGAGGATTGCGGTAGAAACGAGTGGCTATCGCGGTAGTTCTGCACAAAATTCTGCACCACATCGCTATCGGATATCGCTGAAATTCAAAAATGAAATATTGTAAGTGGATAAACCGTTACATTTGAGTTGTTCGACGCGATCCTCGGTCTCCTCGATTTCGCGACTGAGATTCTCGACAACTTCTTCGAGAATAACTCGCTCCTCGCGAAGAACTTCGAGTTGTTTCCTGGAAATAAAAACGTCGATCATGCATGGTCAAAGTATTTTGTGTTTTGCATTGAAATATATACACATGCACCTATCCATACTTAAGACGGTTTTAATCCGATTGATAGCATCGGTTTCGATGGGGCAAAGTGCGAATTTCAAATTTTGTCGAAAAAAAATGTACGCAAAAATTGTTTAAAAGCAACTAGAAGGTACATATATTTATTCTTCTGATAGTCAGCGGGTTTTTTGAGCTGAAAATAAAATGCTGATTCTTCTTTTGAATTATGAAAATTCAATATCTTTATAAAAATGGTTTTAAAAAATTCATTTTTGATTGAAATATGAAAAATTCTAATAATAACGTTTTTGATTTTTTTTTCGTTTTTTTTTTAATTTCCATTGAATATTTTGTTCTTAAAATAGCATGCCTTGCTTTGAGCTCTCAAATATCGATTTTCTAACAAAATTTTATCAATATCAGCAAAATCAACAAGTGGACACAATTTTTGCGTGCATGTGGCCAGCGTTCTCAACCACGCACATTTTAATGATGAAAATTGTCATAAAAGTGGACATGTGACAAGAATTGTATGAATCACTCACTCTTTGTCATGTATGATTTTCTGAATTTTCGCCTCCTCATCGCCGACGATTCGACCGAGAAGCGGTTTGGCGAGCGTTGAAGCGAACAGCAATAGTAAAAGCAGAAGCTGAGCAGTAGTGCGCATATCTGAAATATGCAACCGGATTTACTATTGTTATAATTTGCGATATTCTGTTAAAGACGGTGAGTATCAAAAGAAATAGAATGGAAAATGATAAGAGGAAACGCGGCAACAGTGCGTTGAAGCGCCCACCAATAATCCGATTTGAAGACTGTAGCGACTTGAAATATTGGAAGAATGTGTGCAATTTCAACAACTGTTTTGGAATTTGGACCTGCCTGGTGAGATTATCGAAAAATGACCGCAGGCGGCGCTCATCGACCGAAATTTTCATAAGATGAAACATGACAAATGGTAATTGTGAATCACATTCGGGAATCAAAGAATTCCAACAACGCGAAGGGAGACAGTCCGCGTCGAAGTTGCAAAGGGTCTGCTAGCATCAAATTTTAATTTTTTGTTAAATTTTACTAATTTTTTAAAAAGTTTCGGAATTTTCTCCCAAATTTGTTTCATTGTCAATTTTTTTGAAAATTTCTATGATTGAAGAAGTCCGCAATCACCATGACGCAAGTTTACAATTATTTCAATATTTGAATATCATCCGACGTGTCCAGAACATTTTTGTTTTCATTACGGTAAAAAAAATGTTTAACTATATCGTCGTTATGCAGACACCGGAAATCATAAAATATCTACATTATTCCGTACTAGGCAATAAACTTATCGCTACGTCATTGCGAAATAACAATAAAAATAAAAATTTCTTTCGACAAACAACTGGCAATTATTTGAATATTTAAAAAAAACCGCATCGATAATTTCGACGGAATGAGTTTTGATGGCAATTTCTGGAACGTCGAAATGACAAGATATCAAATAAAACATACAATGTGTACAAGTCGTAAATGAGTTCAAAAGTGCATTTTTGATCTATAGTTTTTTTTCGAAGAGTCTGAAAAAATCAAGAAAAATAAAATCAGAATATTAATAATTTAGTACGTTACCGATTCCGAAACGAAAACTATGAAAAACGGGGACTGGGAGATAGAAAATTCGAGAATTTGAAGCCGATAAGCATTGTCAAAAATTCAAAATTTTGCCTTAAGTTTTCTCTACCAAACGCCGTTATTTTTGAAAATTGTTCAACGTATGCTCAAAATTTTCTCGTAGATATCCTTGAATTCAATAAAATATCTCTTTCTTTTTAAATTTTTCTCAAAATATTTTATTTTTTTTTTAAATTTTGTTTTCAACGTAATTCATAGATTCGATTGGGACAAATAGGGGACATCTTGTTTGAGACAATCCGTTGAACTTTTTAGGACAAAGCAAGTTAGTCGAAGCGAAAGCCGCGCACCGGTTTAGCCCGACACGCTAATTTGAGGGCGATGTGTGAATGGAGTGTCGTACTAGTAGGGTAAAAAACATTTTGGAACAAACAACGGCAGCTTTTGGGAATACCAATAACAACCGCAGTTCGTCCTTTACGAATTGCTTAGAGCATTCAAAACAATCGGGGCTCAACCTACAGCAAGTCTGTGTTCACCGAAACGCCAAAATGCACGTAAGCAACGGTCACTTATGTATTCGGCGTTTGAATCAGACAATTTGATGACAATTCGTATCCAACAAAATTTCATAAGACTCACGTAACGATTACCGTAACCCAGTTACCGTAAGCCGACAACGAACGAGTGGCGAGATTGATAATCGGACAAGTAAATGCATTTATAGGCGGCGCAAAAACAGCAGCGATAAGAATGAAGAATTTATGGAATTTTTGCACTCAACTAACGAGAAGCTTACAAAATGACGCAAACGAGAAACAATGAGACGGTGGAAGGATGAGCTGAAAGCTGCGTATTCCAAATATTTGCAATTGAATTGTTTGATGAAAAATGAATTATTATTATTATTCAAACAAAAAATTGAAAATAAACACCTGAAAACTGATATGCAGAACAAAAGTGTTCCCGCTATTTTCTTCAAAAACGCCTTTTGTATACTTCTAAGATTTCATACGACGAATCAAATTTCGCATTTTATTGAGAACCATAAATGGGCAGATAGCGAAGCAAGAATTCGAAAAATTGAGTTTTGCGAACGACAATAAAGATAACACGATGATCGACTCCTTTTTTATAGCGGTCGCGAGCTGCAATTTTCACAAATTGAATATTATTGATCGAGAGGCGCCGATGTGTCTCAATCAAGTGTGAAACTCAAAATTATTTAAAAATAAATCTGTTATTTTTTCATTCATTTCTTTACAGGATTTTAAAACTAAATTGAATAATGCAAAAATTGAAAATCTGCGATTGATCATCAACAAAATCACGTTCTTCTTTGGGCCCACAGAGCACAATTTTCGAATGTGCTCTTGCAAGAAATGATTTCGCATCGAAACACCATTAATGGATTGTCCGACACATTATTGATATCGATCTATGTATGTGACTTTTGAGCTTGTTTAATTGCTCTCTGATAATAACCTAATTATAGAAAGGTCAATCGATATGTAATCAAATTTAATTTATTATTTTGAAAATGTGTAATTTGAAGAACAAATCGTGTTCCTGCTCGACAATTCCAAGAAATTTAAATTTTTAGATTTTTATAATCATAAATATGAGAATCTGAATTTAATATGTAGATGTCAACATCCAATTGGCTGAATAGATTCAATGCTAAAACTTTGGTCCAATTAAAACAGCATACTTTGATACATAAAACTGAGTAATAATAATCTGTTCTTAAACATTCATTACATTTCTTTAAAACCAGATAATACCGATTAAAATTCTTCAGGAGACCAACAAAATATGGAGCCACTAGTAAGCAACCAATTCTTGTGAGTTTTCTGCTCAGAGAGGTCAATCATTGGAGGTTTCTTAAAGAATCATCGATGAAATATTGAATATTAGATTAAGTGAAAAAAAAAAAAAAACAAAAAAAATGCACTCGTCAAGACATTAAAAAAATAGATTATAACGTGATAACTTAATAAAAATAATTTCATTTGTCTCAATTTCTAAACTATGGACGATCAGATAATCATATGTAAGCTACATAAGTAATAAATATTGTCCGCAGATGATTAATCATTTCAGCGCCATATCGTTTAGCGGTGTCGGCCTTCTTTATCTCGACGGCATATTTGGTATGCTCGATTCTTTGCGTGTTCCTCACCGCTTTCAAGGTCTACCACTATTTTATGATTCGCAAATTTTCGTTTTCGGAAATCAAGGTTTACACTCAACTGAAATCGCCGCCCCAATACTCATTCGTCGTTTCAGACAACCGTCTCATTCGTCGGCGTATCACTTGATGATATTCCGAAACGTCGCATCTATGCAGCGACCGATTCGAAGATCGAAGTTCTTGGCGGCAAAGGCAACACCGAAACGAATGTGGAAGTTGGAAGTGGGACTGGCACCAGCGCTGAACGATTCTAAATACTAATCAAAAGATTTCATTTCGTGGCTACAATTCTTCACAGATTATATTGTTATTGAGAACAAGAACTACATTTGTATGCTCTTCTAGCTTATTAAGCGACCTCGGAAAGCAACCTGTGAGCTCCGCCTACTCGCTTCCCTCTCGAGTTCGAGGTACTCTGTCCCAAACATTTTCGATGCTTCTCCTTCTTTTTCGTAATATTTTCGATATGAGCGTTTGAAAGATCAAATCAGACTATGATTATATTGGTATTAAAGCGAAATTCCTTGAAATTCGTCATTCATCATGCCACCCACGACGATTTTTTTTGGTTCCTCTTTCACTGGCCATATCAGAGAATCGACTCGTGCCGCCTTGTACATTCATTTATTCATTTGATTTGTTGTCGAAGAAGAAAAAGAGGAAAAGCCGGCTTAGATAGTCCATCTTGAAGTGTTCAGCGCCAACAACCAAAATCAAATAATTCTTAATGGCCAGCCGGCCGAAGCCGCATGCGACACGACACAAAAGATTACGAGTTAACAATGTTGGGTGTATGTGTGTATATATGTTTTTTTTGTCATCGTCGTCCCGCTGAGCCGGATGTGATGCTAATTCTTTTGCATTTATACTTTTGCCCCGCACAAAATCCCCCGCCGTCCCATTTTTTTTTTGATTTCATGCATGCCGCCCGTTTTCTGTCACCTTGTTTGGAGGTGTGCCGAATCGCTATGGTTTCTGTGCGATTAGAGATTATCCGTTTGCAAATGTCTCGGAAAAGAAAAAACGGCACAATCTTCTCAAACTCTTGGGATTATTCCTGGCCGCCTCGCATGCGTATGTGTGTGTGTGTGTGTGTTCGCGTCCTCTTCTTCTCCTAATCCGCGCTTCCGTTATTGATCGAAAGCTTTGTTGCACATAATTATTTTATTATTATTAGTATTATTATTTGATTAAATTGTCTAATTGCCATCGTTTTTGGGTGCTGTCGTGTCGGCGGAGTCGTTGCAACACTCGTCCGCCGCGCCCTTCCGCCGTTTACCATTTCCTCGCCAACGCCAGCCAATCGTTTCCGAGGCATGCTCCTCTCGCCGGACCAGTTCTCTCGGCTCACGGAGTACGCCATGTGTAAGTCTGCTTGTGCTTCTGCAGAATGTCCAGATTGGCTTTGTTAATATGTCCAACTATAGAACGATTCGGAATGCCGACATAGCTTTATGCACGTTGAGAAAGGGGAAAAAATTTTGGACATAGGAAGCGAATTTAAGGATGCGAAGAAAAAAATGCGAGAGGAAATTAGAAATTTGAATTACAGTATTCGATCAGAAATTTTCTTTCCCCGGATACGAATTTAGGTTAAAATTTGAGAAAAGACGAAACAACAACCTACAATCATAATTTATGACACCGGAAAAAAATTGGAAATGGTGTGAAAACGGCGTGCCCTTTGAAGCATAATTTCATTAATTTTCTGGGTGTTTCCGCTCGCGATTCTCGACGAAATTTCTAATCTGATTTTCTGCGAATTTCGCCTCGAATTTATAATTAGCGATGAAAAATAAAGGGTGAGAAAATACGAGGGAGGAATGAAGAAGATGAGAAGAATGTTAAATTTGCACAAAAAATGAACTTTCGCAAATGATACATATTTTGATCTACAAATTTTTTTTTGGAATTCAGTTGAATCGTTTTGACCACTTTATTGAACCCTAGCATTCTATTTCGTAATTGTCTTGATTCTCCAAAACAAATTGCGAAAGGTTACCGGAATTTACGACATAATCTTCGGAAATTATATGCATAATAATAATAATAATTCAATAATACACATATATCAATAAATTTTGAGGGGGCCGGCGGAAATTGTTCAATTTCCCCCAATTGAGCCCGCCGAAGAAAAAAAATCAACGAAGATTCCAGATTCTCGTCGCAAACTCAAAGATATGCTATCGGATTTTCAAGTCGACGGCAAATTCTACACGTATTTGTCCGAAGACGGCCAAGTAGAAAATCGTTTGAAAATTATCCGAAGCCTCCTAATTTAGACAATTAATTTCGCCGGCTTTCGCGCGTTTCTTCTCGATTATTTCGGCTCGGATTTTCCGGCGGAATTGATCGATCAACTATTCCAATCATTCAAAAATCCACCAGCCAAAGGTTCTAAACAAAATGAAAATAATAGTAAAAATAAAAAAATAAAAAATGTCAGAACGTCGTACTAGTCTTTTCGAGGAGGCGATATCCTCAGTAAAAGCGAAGCTCAGCGAGTCGTTGACTGGTAGATCAGAAAAATCGAACATCAGTCAACAAGATCCACAGGCGCTTGTGTGCATTCCGGAAGATGGTTCGATAATTATGCCAATTAAGCCAATTAGCCATTTTATAGAAGTTGTGCCTTCAAAGCCGTCATCGCAGCCAAGCTCGTCGCAAGAATCGCGAATTCCACTCAAGCCCCTCATTTGCACATTATCGCTGCTTGAAGCCGACACTCCCGAAAATAAATTAGACGGTAATTAACACCTACAATTACCGCAATTTTCAAAAAAAAAAACAAATTCCAGTAGTATTCCATATTTACGATTCCGATGCGAACGGATTTCTCGATAAAAGCGAGGTTGACGGAATTATTGAACAAATGATGAATGTTGCCAGATATCAGCAATGGGATACGATTGAGCTGGAGCAGGTAGTGCAGCTCCTCCCCACGAATGCATCATGAAATGGATATTAAGATTGTCCGCCAAATGATGATCGACATTGACTATGACAATGATGGGATTGTCTCGTTCGAAGAATGGAGACGAGGCGGTCTTACCAACATTCCATTATTGGTGCTTTTGGGATTTGATAGCGTAATATACCAACAAATTTATACGAATTTTTGAATAATCAAATGAATCAAAGGAAATGAAAGAGGATGGATCGCATGCGTGGCGGATGAGGCATTTCAGCAAGCCGACATACTGCAATGCGTGCTGCAGCATTTTGGTCGGATGGGGTGGCAAGCAAGGCCTTTGCTGTTCGTGTAAGCATCCTCAACCAATTCTAATTACATTCCATTCATATTTGCGTTGTGGGTTTTAAAATTACAGTATGCAAGTATACGGTACACGAGAAATGTGTGAGATCGGCGCAGAACAATTGTATTCGCACATTTTCCAGTCGACAGCAGGGTAATAATTGGGACCCTCTGGATACATCGATTTAAGAATTTCAGATAAATTGTATCATCATTGGCAAGATGCGAATGCGACGGCGAAATGCGTCAAATGCAAGGGAACCGTCGGAGTATTCCAAGGAAAAGGTTGCCGCTGGTGCCATAACTATGTGAGATTTGAAGCCTAGGCGGCACAACGCGATTGTCTATATTAAAGGTGCATCACAAGTGTATGTCGGCACATCCACAAGAATGCGATCTTGGAGCATTGGCGTACCATATCCTGCCACCAACTCACATATTCCCAGCATTCCTCGAAAGGAAATCGTCGACGGCGAAACACTTGAATCTCGGAGCCCACTGCACGAGCCTTCTACAGGCTGTCTCGCCCCGTCATAATTCACGTCCGCTTCTTGTCTTGGTCAACCCGAAAAGCGGCGGGAAGCAAGGGGTTCGAATTCTGCAAAAGTTCGAGTATCTTCTCAATCCGCGTCAAGTCTATGATTTGAGCAAAACCGGACCGGAGCCGGGGTAAACCCGACGAGATTTGAGCAATTTTCAAAATTTTTGTAGTCTTCAATTATTTTCAACACTTCAAAACAGCAACATTTTGGTTTGCGGAGGCGATGGAACAATCGGATGGGTGCTCGAATCAATGGACAAAATGTCATTTCCGCACGGTCGGCCACCAGTCGCCGTTTTGCCGTTGGGAACCGGAAATGATCTAGCACGATGTCTTCGATGGGGCGGTGGATACGAGAACGAGAGCCTTCACAAAATCCTAGAGAAAATTGAGAAATCTAGCCTGGTAGTGATATTTGAAACATTTTCGAAACGCTCCTTTAATTTTCAGATTGAAATGGATCGTTGGCAGATCAATGTAGAATTGACGGAGAAGAGCGGCCGACGGCCGAGTGAGAAGGCCGATTCTCCGCCCTATAGTATTATTAATAATTATTTTTCGATTGGCGTTGTAAGCAAAAAAAATTTTAATTTAATTTCCAGTATATTTTTGATACTTGTTCAGGATGCTTCAATTGCCCATCGTTTCCATGTGATGAGGGAGAAATTTCCGGAAAAATTCAACAGCCGAATGCGAAACAAATTGTGGTATTTCGAACTTGGAACCAGCGAAACTCTATCGAGCTCGTGTAAAAATTTGCATGAGCAAATTGACATTTTGGTAATGAATCTCGAATTCGTGTGCGCAATTCAATCATATTTCCAGTGTGACGGAGAATCAATCGATCTCGGCCAAGACGCATCGCTTGAAGGAATCGCGTTGCTCAATATTCCGTCAATTTATGGCGGCTCGAATTTATGGGGTCGAAGTCGAAAGGCGAAAGGAAGAATGTCTGGATTATTTCCAATGAAAAGTGCAGAGAGGGTAACAAAAAAACATGCATTTTTCAAAATTTCTATTTTTCTTGAAGATTCAACTTCAAAGTCGCGTTCAGGACATTGGTGATGGTTTAATTGAGGTAAATTGAAGCTGTTGTGTTGTGGTGTTGAGGATTTCGATTGATGGTGTCGACCGTGAGAACACCAAGTTTAGTAATTTGAGTTTACTTTGAACTTCGAAAAAAGAACAGAAAGAGAGAGAAAGCTTCTAGAAAATTATTGTTCTAGTAAGAGAGATAGTGTTTACAAAAGAGAGACTCAGACAAGGAGAGAGTGTGGTGTGTGCGGAGACGCAGACATCGAAAATAATAATTATGAGAATCTGGAATATTGTGGAACTTTCCACCACAGAAGCCATTTTTTCAAGCAAGCTCGGAAAAAGGACAACCAATTTCAGCTTGTCGGCCTTGAATCGGCGATGCAAGTTGGCCAAATTAAAGCAGGAGTTCGAGATGCTCGCCGATTATCGCAATGCTCTACCGTCGTTATTCAGTAGGAATCGTGTTGCTCATAACATCGAGAATTGCTCATTTTTCTAGGACTCATAAGTCGTTCCCAATGCAAATCGATGGTGAACCTTGGATGCAACCGCCGTGTATCATTCAAATTACGCACAAAAACCAAGCGAAAATGCTTGTTGCTCCGCGAAAAAGGAGCTCATGGATGCTTCTTCGACGACAATCGACTAATGATGATAATTAATGTATTTTTTATCTCTATGAACTCAAATATTTTAATTTACCCGATTTTAAATATAAATAAAATAATAATACACATTAAAATAATAAAATAACGGACCATTTATGAATAAAATTGCAAACAAGGGTCTTCATTCTCAACTTATCCTCGAGAATAGTGTTGTTAATTGATATTAATTAGATTTATTATAACTCTACGTTAATTTTGTTTTAAAAATTTAAGTTTTTTTATGTTATAGGCAACATCCAAAACAAAACTGTATAGGAACTTATTTTTAAGGCAATATCTATACTCTGGTAACTCAAAACCAATCGGATCCGAAAGATTACAAATCGGTTCCGACAAAATTCGGCTCCGGAATCAACCCGATCCGATTGGTAATTCTACGGATAAGATTTGTAATTGCATCCAATTGGTAATTTATCGGGTAAGATTTGTGTTTTTTCGGATCCGATTGGAAATTGTTCAGATTGGTTTAGATAATTTTCCAAATTCCTCGGATCCGATGTTTGTATTATTTCTGATCCGATTGGTAATTTCTCGGATTCGATTGGTTTTGAGTAACCAGAGGATTAACCGGCTCGACTAGAAATAAGCAAAGTGAAAATTAAATCTATATAGATTCTGAAGTCGAGTAAAATTTGTTTTAATATTTATCTATGCATAGATTCGAACAAAACCTGGCATTGTGGTATTCGAAAATTCAAATGTAATTTATTTAAACTATCTTAACCGCAATGGCAATCGTCGTTCTCTGGAAATGTTTTTCTTGAGGTTGCAAGTGCGCCCTATCGCACAAATTGTTTTCGCCGCCGCCATTCAAATTCCGATTACTTTCCGTCGCAGTTCCTTTAATTATTGGTTAAATGGACAATCAACAGCATTTGCCACAGGAAATCGGATCAGTGGATGGTGAAGAAGTTGTATTTGGCCAGGTTAAACAAGTATTTTTTCATAAATAAAAATAATTTTTCAGTGTGAACAGTATATTGAATATGACAGTGCTATAAGTTTGTCTCAAGAGCGGAATTTATTATTTGAAGTAATATTGTTCGAGATATCACAAAAATAGTTATTGGTTTGCAGTTATATCAGCCTGAGGAAACTGAAAGCGGCACGTTTCTTTGCAAAATATGCATGCGAACCGGAAGTGTGAGTTTTCAAATAATTTTCAATTTCATATTTTGTTTTAGGAGGTCGAGTTCAATGATCGGAGCTCGTTTTCTGCCCACAGATACAAATGCCATGGATCTTTTAATGTATTTCGCTTTAATTTATTTTAAAATTGAATTTTTGTACAGAATAATATCATGTGTCCCGTATCAAATTGCCGTGAAGTTTTTGCATCTTTAGCAGTTATGAGAAAGCATTTAATTGTAAGTTTTGCATTGCCAAGTTTATTTCAGTTTCTCTCTATTTTTTTTAGAATCAGCATCATTTACCTCTTGAAGTCCATCAACAAACATTCTCCAATATTGGAGAATTCGAAAAGTTTCGCCATTTGGTTGAAGCTTCGTCGGGTTGTCGGTTTATGATGCATACGAAGCAGCCGAAATTGAAACGACAAGTTATGCATTGTTCTAAAAGCGAACACAAACTTGTAATTCAAAGCAACAAGTACACATTTTTTATTATTAGAGACATTTTTTCTCGTATTTAGGCACAAATTGCCGCGAGTTCGAATGGAGAAGGAAGGAGCATGCTGCCCGGCGCATATATCATTCCGAATCGATGCAAAATCAGGGTAAAAAATTTGTGTCAAAAATTTTCACATGGACAATTTTGTGAAAAATGGATTAATGCGCATCAACCCCTCTCATTAATTTGTTCAGCGCTGACAAAAACACATTTAAATAAAAAATGTATATATCAAACATACGAGATCAAGCTAATTGTGAAGAATTCAATAGGAAAACCAAAATTTGGATGGACAATTTCTGTTGAAAATAGACTAAATTCAGAATAAAAAAGACCTATCCGCGAATAAATGTTTGTGTATTTTCAGGGAAGTTCATTGTTTCTCGCAGCTATATCATATTGGTCATGCTCCTAGTGATCCCGAAAACCTGACATCGACTGAAATAGACATGAGACCCATTGAAGTGCATTTTCCAGAAAGACCTAATTTCTACGGAGATAGGCCAATACAATTTCTTCAGGTAGCATTTTCAACGTAATTTATTTGTATAGTTTAATATTCAGATTGACGTATTTGATATGCATTCAGCGATTTACGGAGCCGCCGTTTATGAGCATGTACTTCTAATCAGCGATTTAAAGGTGATTTTTCGATTATCTATTTCAACATACTAGTTGCACTTATTCTAGACGGGATTTGTCTGGGCCCGAGCTTTAACAGAGTGCTCGCGAGCCATTATAACAAGAGTATTGACCGCCATTTTTGCCGAATATGGAATTCCTGAAGGATTCTCGACGACCTACGCTCCGACGCTTGTTCGAGATTCCATGAAAGCAATCGAGAATGTGTTTAACAACGAAATTCGAGAGATTTGGAATGAGCCATTCAGCTATGAAGATTTTCAACATTGGCTGCTTGACAAAGCTGATGAAGAGCTTGGAAGCACCAACCGATGGGTTGAGGTGCTCCAGTTCGTAGTAATGGAGCACAATCAGAAAGCGGAACCCGGAACAAGAAGTAGCTTTGAGGTTTGTCTTCTTGAAATTTATTTTTGCATTTGATATATTCTTTTAAGAGAATGTTTAAACGAAAACCGCCAAAATTGTATGAAATTGACAATGGCGATAAAAACGAAAAATCGAAGGAGGACGATGAAAAAGCGAAAGAAAATGAGCCGAACAGCGAAGACGAGGAGCCGACATCAATTCCGGCTCAATATTCGGCAGGCGAACGTGTTTTCGTAAGTTAAAATTTTGTTTTTGTTGAAATTGCATAAAATAAATGTTTCCAGTTAAAGCGAAACATCCAGAAGCCTGGTCGGGGCAACACTCTTCCATTCTTATATGGTTATATTGCTGATGTTGATCAAAACTTTCCGCATTTCCCTTATAAAGTGCATTATTCAAGAAATGAGAGTCCATGGCCAAGCGAGGTCAACATTTATGCGTGGGTCTCCCCCTATGATGTTATTCCGACGACTCATAAGCTTTTAGAGCTCAGCGAAAACGGTAAAATTAAAATTTTGTATTGAATTTTTGCTTCAATTTCGCCAATTTAGACGCGGAACGTCGCAAACACTACGAGAAATTGATTTGTGTGTGTAGCGGCGAAAGTCGAATGAAATGGAATATGGAATCAATGGGCAATATGGAGAAATGCCCATTCCCTTGTCCACTGTATCGCAATGAATTGTGCACAAATCGTATGTCGAGGGCGTGCTGCAAAGCGGAAGGCACTCTTCGTTGCCATTACCATGAGATATACCCGGAACAGGAAGACTCGTACACCGTATGTCATTCTTTCGCCTTCTCATTTCCGCGTTGTTCCCCTTTTGCAGAAGCTCGAACTTGCACTAGTGACGTATAACAAGATCATGAAAGAGCAAGAGCAACAGGCGGCGATGCAGCAAGGAATGCACGACGTGAATTTCGAGTATGAGAAATCGGATTATATCGAAGAGCAGCCGTCAACGTCGGATGATCCTACGAAGAAGGATGAGATGGAATTGATTGAAGAGCAAGAGTCGACGGTGGTGAAGTCGCAGCAACATCAGCAGAGGGTCTCCAAGAAGGCGAATTCGCAAGAACCTCAAAAGGTAATACTTGAAATTAATGCTTTCAATCATAATCATTTTTATCAAAATGGGTGTTTAATTAAAAAAGAGAAAAACTGCTTTTTTAGTCCAGTAGTAGTGTGAAACAAGATAGAAAATGTTTTAAAAATTTCAAAAAAAAATCGCTAGTCAGCAAGCGTCACAGTATTCCTCAACTATTACATAAAATGTTCACATTTCCTCAAGATTGGAAGGAACTATAAATAAATATGATATCACCCACGTTATGGCGTGAGGTATAAATGACTATAAAATAAATGAATAGTGTTAATCATTAAGAAACATGAAAGACACAACTAATCTGCCTACACCACTGAACATGATTTCTATTTTATAAAATACAGTAGGGGTATTTACCAAAAAAAATCACGTGATATTCGATAAAAATTACGATAATACACGCAATTTTTTTTGAGTGTTTGATAGTGAATTGATGGAAATCTTGGTGTCAAAAGAACAAAAATTAATCTGATTATTGTCAATTCCTACGGTTGTCACGTATTCGAATTTGTAGAGATTCGACGCTGAAACGTCTGGAAATTTCCAAAAAAGGAAGAGGAAACGATCTGAAGCAGTCTCGCCGACGCCTTCTGTGGATTCGTCTCGCCGACAATCTGGACGACGAACGATTCGACCAAAAGTTTATGATGATTATGTTTGATTGCCATATTTTGTAAATAACTGTTCACTTAATTTATTGCTTTAAAATTGCCTATATTTAATAAAAAATAAAGTATCGTTTTTTTTTTGAAAAGTGTTATAATCCATGTGTTCCGGGTTGTGATAGGAGGAATCGGGTGGTTTTCGACGGCGATGCATACAGCTGATAAGGCAGCCAATTTAAGAATAATCATTTGGTTTTTGACTCAATAATTAGATTTTACGACCTTGTTAATTTTTGTCGAGATAACTAGCCGACTTCCGTCTCAATGCTCACCAACACATGATGGCAAATGGCTGTGGATTACGGTATCTTGTGCGTCGGGTCCCGCGACGAATTTTTTATTCGATTCCTTCATTTTTTCAGACGATCCTTCGCATTTTGTCGCTCATCCATTTGGCGTTCGTCGTCGCCAATCTTTTCATTGTCGATCCCAAATATTTACCGCCGTTGTATGCTGTTTATTCTATTGGGGTTCGTTTATTCATTTTTTTTTAGATTTGGAAACGATGTTTTCGTTAAAAATCAAAGAACCTTCTAGAATGACGTGGGTAATTCTAGGCATGTGCCTTTAAATTCATGGCATGTGCCTTTAAATGCGATTTCAACATATGGCCAAAAAATCGTCATTTTTTGTTGATACGATCAATATAATCATTTTAGTTATATTTTGTAGTTATTTGAAAAACTATAAAAAATCACAACAGCGCACGCACGCGAGCCGCAGCGCGTCAAGTCTTGGAGAACCCGATTTTCTTCAGCAATTGGCTAATCTCCTTTTTCAATAAAAAATCGAAATAGATGGATATTAATAGAAAAATATTGTCGGCGTCAAACGACCGAAAGAAGGCGGGGTCTTCAAATTCGAGAAATCAGTCTAAATTTAAATATATCGTTGACTGAATTTAAATGCGCGTACACTATATTGCAATGTACGCAATCTCGCGTACTTGTCGCTGCGTCGTGACGCATTGGCACATAGCCAATAAATTTCAAATTTTGTCGATTCCAACAATATTTAAAATTGAAAATTTAATTATATGAGGTTTTCAAGTACTTCATTACAAAGTTTTTTCAGATAATTTGCTTCTTCACATTGTTAATTTATTCATTCACCCGCTATCGACTATGGTATTTTTGTGTAACTCTTGCCCTGCAGGTAAATTTGCAACCAAACTTGGAAACTCGCCAATTTCTTTTTCAGATTCTTTATATTATTGGTGCCGGTTATTTCGCAGCAATATCATTAATGGGATATTTCAGTGAGTAATTTCTGTTTTGTCAAAAATTCCAAACGAATGTGAAATTATACTGCAATTAAAACTTCTACAGAATAGGAACTATATAGCTTCATTAATTTTCTTCCAGTTTTTCTTTTTTTTTTTCATCTTTCATAATTGGATGTTTTTTGCTCATATAATTTCAAAGTTCTTGATGTGCACATTTTTTTGTGCAGAAAAAAATCGTCCAGAATTTAAGAGTTTCTGCAGAATCTCCTAAAAAACCGCCCGCTCAGCACGATGTTTTGCGCAAAAAACGATGGAGCAAATCTGAAATAACCATTCCCAAATATTTTAAAGGATTTTTCGAAATATTTAGGAAAGTTTCTCTTTAATTACGATTGCGAATTTCGATTACTATTTTTTGTGCGAAATTAGAAAATAATTCCAAACTTTAGTAAAAACACCTTTAATAAAAGTGCATGAGAACAGAATTATAAGAAATTTCGTTGAAATTTTGATAAGCGTATCCTGTTTTCGAATAAATTCCAAAATGATAACAGCTTTGTCGTTGACAAGTTGCAGTTTTTCAGCAAGCTGCAACAAATCTCCAAAAATATTAATTGAACAATTTCAGCAATTCAAATGGGACTGCTTAGTATTGTTTTCGCGACGAATACCGCCGTCATCATCACCGACGTGATCATCATTATCGTTATAATCAATATTCGTTCGGAGCATATCGAAATTCAACAAGTGATCCCAAAAATGCGTCAGCGAAGCGACGTCGAAAGTCAACGTCCGAGTTTTGTGAATCTGAAATATTGAGAGAAAAAAAAGAAACAAAATAATATGTGTCGACTCTTTTATGTAAAACATGCATAAAATTGAGAGTAACTGTGAATCACAGGATTAAATTGCATTGTAATTAATGAATAATAAATTAATTGGTCGATTACGCATTTTTTTCACTTTTCGCCCATTCTTTTCTGTACAACTATGCATGATTCTTGATGTTCGATTGTGTGTTTCGGCTAATGAGATCAAATTGAGGTTATCGCGCGAAGAAGCACGTTCAAATTGGCTTGGAGCAATGCCTCGGAGTTGGAAATTAGGCTCATTTTGCGGCGAGGCGTCGACATGTTCGCCGACAATGTCGCCGAGTCGAGTTTCGACACCAACGAAATGAGCGAATCGAAGGCCTGCGCGATTTCCGTGTTGAGAAGCTCCGAATGATAGACGGTCGATTGGGCGGCCATGGTGTGCACACTTCTGCTGAGGGCCTCGCTTGAAGCGACCGCTTCGGCGAGCAGTGGCCCCAACGAGCTGTGCGATGGTCCCTGGCCCATCTGTTTTGTAATCTGCGAAATTCTGCCGATGGCTTCAATCGCTTTCTGCTTCTCCGCCTTCATGTCGATTTCGAGACTCTCCGTTTTCTTGTCAATTTTTCCGCATTTCGATGCGATCGCTTGAATTCTGAAATATTGAACCATCAATGGGAAAATGGTGAGTATTTTATTAATAAACTTTCCTCGCGTGCCAATTAATTTTTTATTGTTGTCCAATTAAATTTGTGCTCGAAAATTGGCAGTTAATTAAATGTGACTGTGCTTTCCAAATTACACTCACTGACTTTTCATCAATAAGAAATTACATTACCTGGAAACTGCGGTTTGAACATCGAACTCATCGTCCACCTCGTTTTGTGTTGTGAGTTTTCGAGACGGCGATTCGATTGTATCAGCATTCGAGAGCACAGATCGACGGCGATTCGAAAATGAGTTGAGAAGAGACGATTGCGAAACGGTAGATTTCCATGTTGGAGCCTCGAGTTCGCTGGAAAAAAAAGTGGCATCCCATTGATTCGAACGAAATTTTTCGGCTCAAAAATCCCACGACTTTATGAATTTTGAATTGTTTTTTGCTCGAAAACGAATATATTTCTCTTTTGTGACCAACAAAGAAGAATGAAAAGAAATAAACCGCGCATACGCCAATTTTTGTCCGGAATCCAGGCCGGTGAACTCGGCGAGACTCATTCGTCGCACTTGAACCGCGACCGCATCGGGCGACGACGACGATTCCTGAAAAGCTTCTCTTGCTCATTCAAATATTAATTGTTTGTGGGGGGTTCTTTTTGTCTCACTCGTCAGCTCATTAATACCTTGTCACAAATCGAATTCGATCGTCGCCAGAATTCTTCGATGTCTTTTCTGTTGAGTTTGGTGGCCATTATTCTGAAGAGCAAAAAAATAACTCCGCTGATGGCGAATTGCAGATAAAATGGATGAAAATGTCTCTTGAGGAAGGAGTAGCGATTTCGAAAACAAACAAACAAAAATGGGGGAGAGAGGGATGCCCAAAAATGGGAAGCAAAAAAAAAATAGTGGGCACACGATGGCAGCGGCCTCGCACACTAATCTTTAAGAATTTGATACCAAAATTCAACAAAGTTTCGCCGTGTCGGATTTCATTGCCGGCAAGAAGACACATTTATTTGGTACGATATGTTCGAAAAATAAAAACACAACGAAAATTCTGGTCTTGTATGAAATGGTCCCATGGGTCTCGAAGAGATATCTTGAAGAATGGAACGAACACGTGATTCCTAAAAGAGCACGAATGCATCGTGTAGGTGTTGCCAACAATTTTTTTGATCTCGAATTTTCTAAGAGTTTGATTCGCTGGTTGTCCGTGGCACTGAATTAATCGAAATTTGAATTTCCGCCAGATGAAATACAATGGTCCACAATTACTCAAGGTTATAGATTATTTGTGATGATGATAATATATGGCAATTAGAGTAATTTGTTTTTGGAACTACACACACCCATCATACTGAACTTTGTCCTTCCCATCAAGTCGTCGGCGAGAAAATTACACTAAATTGGTCAATTAGATCGGAGACCGAGATTTGGCAGAATCCCGCGAAGATCTCGAAAAAAGCGACATTCTGATTTACGAGCTAAGTAGACAAAAAAACATGTAGAGGAGATGTTTATTATTCACAGCTGTGAGAATAACTAACTAACAAACCAAAAATGGAAATGGAGGTGAAGAAATAAGAAAAATGAAGAAGAAGAAGAAGAAGAAGCAGTAGTAGTAGCAAAAAGGGAGGAATGAAGAAGAAGATGAAGCGCAAAAAAAAGAAAGAAGAAGAAGTGAGATGCTCGTTTTGGGGTGTGTCTTCTTCATCATATAATAAATGAGAAGAGCCGAAGTTGAGTACGACTTGAGAACATACATTTGAACGATATTGCGTGTTCGAGGCGGCGAAACCAAAAACGAAATGAGCCAACGAAAAAAGTGAATGGGATTGGACGGGTTGCGGCTCGAAATCGCATTATTCGAGGCAATTCATATAAAGCCGAAGCCTAGCAACAGCCTGGTTGGACTTTTATTGCTATTCAATTTTTTTTTTGATAAACCACCTTATTTTATTTTAGCGGGCTTCCCTTTTTATATGCACGCATAAATGAAGATATATATCAAATTTGACATCGTCATAATTGGGAATCATTTTTCGCGACGTCTTCGGCTTTACAGATGAAAGAACGAGGCGACGTCGACAGAAAAAAAAGAAGACGGCTTGTTGAAAACAAGACATCTCTGGTAAATGATTCCTAGTCGTATACGAAAAAAGCGAATTTCTTCATCGTATAAGATAAAATTAAAATCGTATACGTTAATGGTAATCGTATTAGTTAATGTGAATCGTATAGGATCGTATACGATTCTGATGAATGGTTTGTAATCGTATACGAAACATCCGCATTTCCTCGTCGTATACGTTATTGCAAGGATCGTATACGATTTGGATTTTATCACAGTAGTGTAACCACCACAATTATACACTGCGGACATGCATTAAAATTGACGTCTAAATTCGAAAAACAATTTTCGAAAATTTTCGAATTTTTTTATATTCGATTTTTATGCGTATATTGCGTTTTAATATATATACTTTCCAAAAAAATCGTGCATTTTACTGGCTCCGCTCTAAGAAATCTATATTTTCTTTGCAGATATGTCGCAAAATTCAAAACTATTTGCATATCGAAAGCGATATCGTTACACCACACGAGAAATCATGGAAAAAAATATATAGGGAATATCGGAACGAGACAGAAACAGGTGATAACAACAGAAAAAATGAAGAAAATAACTATTTTCAGAATATAGAGAAACTTAACATCAGGTATAACTAAAAGTAAAAACAGAGCAAGATTTAATTTCTATAGATTCTATAGAATCGTCTGAAGATGAGCTCACTTGCGCGGAAGAAGATTTTGTGTCAATGTCGAGCTGTGACAACTTGCAAAGAGTCATTACGTCGAGAGGTTGTTACCGTTTTTGCATATTTTTGAAATTATTTCGCTTTAGGCCAATGGGAAGCATTATCTTCGCGAGATTTTATTTTCACAGTTTGAAACGACTATTATCGTCAGAAATCACAAAGGGAATTGGGCAAAGAATGTTGCGGAAGTATGCTTTATTATAAAATTGTACACCGTAGAAAAATTTTAGTGCTGCAATTTTGCAAGATTTGACGACCGAAGTTCGTGCAAGACTTGATTCGGACCCAACGAGAAAACAACATGATGTGTCTATCGTGAAACTGAGAAAACTGCTATTTCGATATTCGGAGAATGATGATATCGAAAAAACGACAGATGTACCACTGAAGTACTCAATGCTGGCTCAAAAAGGCGATTTGTTTACTGAGAAATACAGCTATCAAGGCTCACACTACTCAATACAAAGAAATATTGCTTCGGATAATAGCGTCGTGATGTTTCGTTGGCGAAATTCACTGCAATATGGCGATGTATTGGGATTTCTCCTCAATGAGAAGTTCGGTGACCGGGTTATTCTACAACCATACATTCTAAATGAAAGGAATCATGTTCACGGTATGTTTTATTTATTGTTCAATCATTCCAAATGTAATGGTACCAGATTCCGCGAAAAAGCATTAAAATCATCAAAAGCCGTAAAAAAATATCAGAACTCGTCAAAACCGGCAAAAACCATTATAATTATGGTTACCGCTGTTTGAGTTTTTGGCGAAATCTGCATAGTACCACAATAGAAACTATAGAAACCCTATACTTCCAGATAGAAACTTTATCCCAAAAATTCGCGGCAAAGCCAAACAAAAACAATGTGAGTATTTTTTTAAATTTTGCTATTCTCTAAATTTAGATCGACGTGATCGCCGTATACAACCCTGAAGCTCTTAAAGACGCAGAAATAATTATTCCATCACTGGATGGAAATAGTGGGTTTTTTGTGTTTCGAAAGCTTTGAATTTGTATTAAATCTTTTAACAGGAGACATCAACGTGGCCCAAATATTTTTGGAAATTCCGTTCATGAAGGCAGCTCTGAAGCATGTGATAAATACTACAGTCAACAGATTTGTCGATAAGGTATCTTACAATTATTTAATGTTGCAAAAAATATCTTCAGACAATTCCCAATAACGATCGTGTGAATTATTCAACATCGTTTAAGCCAACTCCGCCGCACGCAACGCTTCCAGTTCGGTTTGTCAACACAGCGATTGGTATGCTCAAATAGCGCGAAAAATGTTTAAAATATGTTTATATTAATTTCAGCTGTTTTACAAAAGACGGTTACCATCGCTGGAATGGCTGACGAAACGGCGAATTCTACAATCTCCTATTTGGTACACGGTCATATGACCTATCTCCTGTGAGTTTTCACTTTTTTAGTGGGCCTATGCAGATTTTGAAAAGAAACGCAGTAAAAACCTTTTAAAGAAACTCGACAACATTATAAAGATTCGGCTAAACTAGTCTTAATCAGATTTTTCGCGTTTTTCTCCAAAATCTGCACATGCCGAAGACTGCCTCATGATTAATCATTCAAATGAACTTAATTCAGAAACAATTCACGATCGAAAGCGCGAGCAGTGGGTCTTTCTATTTTTTTTTTTAAATAAACAGGTATAGAAATCTTTACATCATATATTTAAAAGCGTTAAAATGCCAAACGAGTAGTGTAAAGTGAAATGGTATACGAAAAAATCTCAATCGAATACGAAAAAATCTCAATCGAATACGAAAAAATCCCAATCGAATACGAAAAAATCCCAATCGAATACGAAGAAATCGTTACCGTATATGAAGAATTGTAGTCGTATACGAAGAAATCACAATCATATACGAAGAATTATAATCGTATACGAAGAAATGCCAATCGTATATTAAGAAATCCCAATCGTATTTGGCCGCGTTTGAAGAGCGATATCAGCGTATACGATTGAGCTTTCTTCGTATACGACTCGGAATCATTTACCAGAGATTTTAAAGACGCGACGAGAAAAAAACACGCACAAAAAAAAGAACGAAGGCAACTTTGGGAAATTCAATTTTTGTTGGTGTCGCGCCAACAAGCTCCACCCCGCACCATCGCACTCCGAAGCGACGTTTGACAGCGATGGAAATGACACGGTTGGGATGCGACAATTATCGGGTTGCCGTTGGAATCGCATCGCATCGCTTGACGTGAATTATGAGCAGTGTTTAAGTCGCAACGACAATACCGTAGTTGGACGAAGAGAACGAGAAAAAGCATAGATGCTTCGGGAAATGATCTTTTAGGGGGCCCGATTTTCTCGGAATGGATTATGGTAGTCGAACAAATTCGAAAATTTCAATTATCGCGCTTCGCATTTTGATACATATTTCGAGAATTCTGTTGGCTGCCAATCTTTTCACGGACAACATCTTTCGTTTTTTTTTAATTGCTATAATTAATTTTAATGCTCACTCCAACTTACGCGGCTAATTGTTTTACATGCGAAGCAAGTGCGCTCTACGGCACACGAATCAAATTCATCAACGAGTGATCAATTTTCTAATCTATTTTTGGCCGAATAACACCTACGCGACATTCTTTTCCATTTTTCTTAATTGAGATCGAATTTGAGTTTTTTTGCGAGAAGTCAACGATTGGTCTCGAATTTCGATACTAAGCACTAGAGGTCGAAGCATGATTCGACCCGACTGAAATAGATATTGAACGGAATTGGAAAAGAACTCAAAACTCCAACATTTTCTGGTTCAATTGACATGAAACGTGAAAAAACCGAGGTAAAATATAAATAGATTTCAAGCATACGCATTCTCGTAAATCATATTTTATGAATTGGGCGAACCAGAAAAAAAAAACCAAATCGCCGGCTGATAATGCTTACTGAACTTTGAATATAAACACATGCACACGTGATGATGATAAGGAAGAAAACGACGAAATGGGTGCGCGTAAGAATTGGAATATGAATTTTAAAACATTCGATCAGAACTCAAAAAAAAAGAGAGAAATTCAACCACCGCGGGGGCTTTTGATTTCATTTTTTGTTTAGGTGGAAGTCCAAAACATTTCTTGTCGGAAGTGCCGAGATTTGACTAGTCTGACCCAACACGAAGAGAAACAAACGAATTCCGTTTTGAGGGGAAACGAAATCGGTGAAGAATTCGATTACACTCTACAACTACTCGATTTTGTCGAGTTTTTCATTGAAAATATTTATTTATGTATAGTTATAATTGAAAATGAAATTAAAAACCATAAATCATGCTATTTTGCTCATTATTTTGAGCCGCTTTGATCTCTAGTGTATGCGGAAAACGACGAGAAGATTTCTTTTCGAAGAACGTAATAAACCATGGTGTTCGATCATTCCAACTTCCGAAGCACGGCGGTTTCGAAGAGTTATTGCACACGAGACCAATTCATATTTGTTGTTCAGCGATTTTTGGGTTTTTGAAATCAAAATCGAGAATTAAGGTTTTTTTTATCATTGGGAATAGGGTTAAAAATTTTCAAAGAGAGAAATCTATTTTTTTAAAGAAAAAATAACAAGTTTTCTAAATAATTTCGAAAACTTTTTGGCGATAATTAAAGGCACACAGAAATTTTGTTCGGAGTCTCATAGCGACCAATTTTGATAGCCGCTTTGTTTTTCGAAACACACAATGTATAGTTTGGTAAACTATGCAGCACGGCGGTGAGCAATGTCAATGAGCAATCGGTTTCTGTTGTGAGAATGATTCATAATCAATCAATACAAGAGGTGGGCTGCTCATCAACGGAAATTGAATTCAACGTGCTCGTCGAACCAATACGATTTCCAGATTCGTTGGAGTAATTCCAAATGTTCTTCCTATCTTCTCCACAATTCATTCTAATCCGAATCGAATAACCTTCAAGAATTGGTTGCTCACAAACACGAAAAGACTCTTTCAAACATCTGGGATGGGCCGGCAGATTGAAATTGCCGCCCGCGTCTCCAGAGAGAATGAGAAACCTCGAAAATAATCAACTCGACGAACCCGAGTTGCTCAATTCAAAGAAAACAAAAAAAACGAGTGCCGCTATAAGACAATAGGGTCATTTTGTTTCAACGACGAACACATTTTATTCTTCGCTTCGGGACACAATGGGTGGACGAAGCCGACGAAAAATGATGGGTGATGGCCGCGACGGGGTGGCATGACAGACAATTGAATTGACAATAAATTAAATGACAACCAATCGGTCGATGTGTCGCTTCCAATTCCTTCTTTCTTATTAGTGCGAATCCTGAAAAAATAAAAGCAGGGAGTTGAAAAAAACAGCGAATCGACGTACCATCATTTGTCGACCTTTGGTCTCGATTGGAAGACTCAGCGACGCAATCAATCCGACGACAGCGGCGGCGCCGTAAATTCCAATCGGCAACGACAAACTATGTCCCGACGCCACCTGCGCGACAAATGGTGTGATGATTGCGCCGATTCGCGCCATCGCCGAACACGTTCCGAGACCGACGGCTCGCAATGTCGTCGGGTACACTTCGGGCGTGTAGACGTAGGCGCATTGGAACGCGCCGGAAATGAATGCGCGCGCCACAAATATCATCACAGTTACAGTCACTCTGAAAATATTCATGGTTCTCATTTATATTAAAAAGAATATTTTTTTAATATCAATGACTTCTTCACTCGACATCCTACATAGTAGAAATTTTTCCAAACTTGCATTTTTTAGTCATCTGTTGAAACATTAAATTGATAAATGAGAATTCAATTCTAACCGATCCAAGCACAGGAAAAGAAGGAATGTGAAAATGGCGAAGACGGCAAACTCTAGAGCCATCGTCTTTTTCCTTCCAATCCATTCGATGATGAACACGGTAATGACGAGTCCTGAACCGACAAGTCTGTTGGTCATTCACAATTACTGTCGCATACCAGGAAATTCGGCAAAAGTGGTTTGAAGAAGGTCCAAATAGTCGGATCTAGTAAGTGGTTGGCACGTGTCGATTTCCGTCGAATTCGATGATATTCCACCATGGCATTCGTCGTGAGATTGAAACAAAACCGTTGTGAACAGAACCATTCCATAATAGGCGAATGCGGTGATCGACCTAAAATCAGGAAATTCCGAAGTTTCGGCGAGTTACACAACAAAAAAATTCCAACCAAATCACCCATAGGAGAATTGTGGTGGTTCTCAGACGACTGAAGAGAAGATTCGATACTGATCCTCGATTGTCATCGGTTTTTGGTGTCGACACGAGTTTTCCGGCAGGAAGTTGCACTCGGTTCTCTTTCGCCGCAAACAATAGGGTTTCCATTGCGTTTTCCGGCGATCCGGCGGATAGTTCGAAACGCGCGGATTCCGGCAGCCACTAAAAAAATTATAATAATAGAAGAATGTCGGAATTGAAGCGAACAAATGATAGGCAAGCGAAGAGGCCGAGCGGAAGGGATGAGCAGAAGATTAGAGCTCGCCAACCCCATGTCTCCATTATGAAGTAAGCGAGGATCGCCTCGAACACGGCGCCGATTGCCCAGAATGATTCGATGAGGACCACGCATTTCGCACGATGCGAGCTGGGCAGAAATTCGGCATAAAGCACAACCCTGAATGTTTTCGAGAATTGTCGAAGTCAACGCGAATCGCGAGCGTACGATTGCGGCACACCGCCGATGCCGAAGCCGGTGAAGCAGCGCATCATCAAGAACGTGTACAAATTGGGCGAAAGGCCGGAGAACATGCCCATGAAACACGCCAGAATTGTCGAAAACGTCAGTCCCTGGAAAATGTTTCTTTCTTTTTTCTCCTCGACAATTTCTCACATTTCGCCGACCAACTCGATCGCAGAATTTTCCCCAAAATGTGCTTGACATCATCATTCCGCTGAACACGCACGTTGTCACCAATGCCTTGAAATCGAATGCGATTCTCGTGCTTGATTAGCTTCGTTACCTGCTGCACTGGTGTTATGTTCCATTCGCACGCGAGCGCGGGCGAAATGATTGATAGAAGCATCATTTCCATCGCGTCAGCCATCTGAATCCATCGAATCAATCAATATCAACACTCAACCAACCCATGCGAGTCCGGTGAGAATCGACAATTTGATTTGGAATTTGCCAAATCCAAGAGCTTCGACCGCATCGTCAACCGTGAATGTCTTTTCTTCCTCATAGCTGTTCGTTTGGTCCGACGGCTCGCCGAGCACTCTACGATCGTCGAGATCTGAATAGCGAACCGTCCAATCATCACCGACATGTCGAATTCTGAATAAAGTTTTACTTTAAATTTGCCATGAACTGTCCGCAGGTGAATTTACATATCATTCAACATTTTACTCTTATTTAATATTAGAGAAATTATGTGGTTTTGTGGCAAAACTAAAAATGTCGATTTACGGGCCTACGTATCCGGATAGGTTAAAGGCGCACAGTGTGCATCGAGACCTCTCCTTAAATTTGTTTGGCATATTGCCAATTTTCCGCAGTCAACAATAATTTATAACTATAAATATATCATATAACTAGTAAATCACGTGAAAAAGTAATAAGTTGAGGATTGAATTAAAAATGAGCGCCAAAAAAAACACGAACAACTTTAATTGGGTCTCGAAACGAAATGCATAGAATTTGGGAATTTGCTCCGCTATTCGAAATGCATAAAAATGCCTTCAATGTTCGGCGGTCAAGTTTTCTGGGGAATAGAGAAGAACCCACTCCTTGATAAGCGTCTTTGGAGTCATATCGGTGTAGGCATCGGTGAGCTTCGAAGCCTCAAGGACTTCTGTAATAATAGCCTTGTCGCCCATCACTCAACCATTCCACTATGACGAATTCACTGGCTGGAATCATTAAAATCTTAAATAGGCGAGAACGATAGAATCATCGAGACGAACTCGCATTTTGCTCGGCCGGTTTTGATTGGACCGACCACGCAATAAATGAGAAATGCCGAAAATAGAAGCAGGGAAACGAATAATCGAAAAAAATGGGTTTGAAAAGAATAATAAAGAAAGATGTTATTCGAAATAAAACATTTATATTTTTTTTCTGATGAGAGATGCTGACTGGCTATCGAATTTCGGTTTGAAGAAGCAAGAAAAAATGAGGGCAGAATATTTATGATGAATTAATGAAAATTTCTTAAAATCATTTCTGAGAGACTTCAATTCAGCACAAATTTATTAGTATTAAAGAATTCGTCAGGTTTTGATTGGATTGTGACCAGTGTGTATTCCCGCGAGGAAATTTCTCGAGAATACCCCGGGAAGTATGCGTTTTAAGATTCCCGGTATTCCTCGAAAATTTCGGGAATTTTTTAATCTCCACAAAATTCCCGAAAACTCCCGAGACTTCCGGGAAATTCCCAAAGACTTTCGAAGACTCTCGGGAATTTTCGACATTTCCCCGAAGAAAAACTGCTCGCGAAAATTCGGCACCTCATAATTCACGGGAGCACACACCTCTTTTTTTTTACTTTTCTAATGCTTAACTCTACTTCGTATTTTTTGCAAAATCTTTGTTCATCAAAAAAAATGAAGGAAATGAAAAAAGAAAATATTCAAACCGGCGAGTTCCATTTTTATCTGGGCACACAAGGACCCAAATTTGCACACATTTCATTTGACATCTAAAAGTATGGGCCATATTCAGAACATCTCAGATTAAAAAAAAATTTATCGATTTTTCAATTTTTATGTTTTTTCAATTGACACTAAACTTCTAAATATTATATATATGATGTTTAATAAAAAATCATCTGCGGACAATTTTGAACCGCATCCTAGCATATTTGCATACACATTAAAGCTTGCAAAACGCTTAATACGAGACTTCCGGCATCTAGAATAAAAGGAGAAAATTCCGGTAAATCAAAGAACAAAAAAAAACAAAGCTAGGAAAAATCGTTGACGCGATATTAGTTTGTTTCGAAAGCGATTTTTCTTTCTCTATTGTGAGCAGCCGTTAGCCAAAATGAGACACTGCGCAATTGTCTGTCGCTCTCTCGATATGACGCACTATTTGTCGCGCGCCAGCTCACACTCGAGCTTCATGCAAATAACGCAGAAAACACGTGGTTTCAAAGACACGAAAATAGGTGAAAAATGGCTGAAAAATAACGAAAAAGCGCCAGTTATATAAGGTGGTTGATTGACAACTGCAATGAGCATTTTTCTTTTTTTTTTCGATGAACAGCGAGAAAATGTTGGTTTTACACATTCATTTTCTCTGAAACGAATAATAATGAAGTCGGCCTGAAATGAAAAGAATGAAGGCAATTTAAAGGCTACTGTACTCTTTTGGATAATGAGGAAGAGTCACAATTGATGAGCTTCATTAGGAGCTTCAATGGATTAATCTAAAAAGTTGAGACTTCAACTTTTTATTTGATTCCAGTCGAATCGAGCCTATTCAGCGCTTTTCTCGTTTTCTATAGCAATATTTAGCTAAATATATATTTTATGCGGAGCTCCTAAAATTCGAATGCGAGCAGGAATGGATTAATTCGATTTCCCCCCTTAGGCATTGTGGATTCTGTGCAAACAACGTCGCAAAAAATAACAATGTTTATTTTTGTGGGATTTTTGATCAAAAAAAGGGCTGCACACGAGAGCGTGTACTTAAACAGAATGATTAGTTGTACAACACAAACTGATGGTGCTCTTTGTCTCATCGTAGCAATATCAAAATATGGTTACAGAAAAAAATGCGCTGAAAGAAAAATGAAATGCGATAATACCACAAACATAGCGACAAACCTTATTTTTTATTACTTCCTGCCATTTTTCAGATTTAAAAAAAGAGAGCTCTGCCTCTTTCTTGCCAAAAATTCTAACATTGCCTCGATTTTTCTTCTTCTGTGCTCTCCGGCAGAACAAAATAGGGCGGTTTCTTTTCAAAAAAAAAAAAAACAATTCCCTCCAAATTTACAATCGACTCGGATTAATGAAAGAAAGCTATAAAATTAACAGGAATTCTATAATAGTGAACGAATGGAACGAAGAGGGTTGATTCGACAAAGCCAATCACTCTTATTGCTTGAAAATCTACAAAAGTAATTTTATTGGGCGTGATAAAAAAAATGTGGTAGCATGTGACATTCGTGGATATTATATGCATCACATGTGGACGGGTACATTGTTGTTATGCGGCATTTTTTTCCATTAGAAATACAATGTTCAATGTTTCATGGCGATTACGCGAGTTGTACCAAAAGAATGTGTTTGTTGCTGTTTATTTTGGAAACATCGCCCACCCAAACATTTTTTTTCGTTCACAATCTTCAAAACTGGATACAATTTTTCACGAGTGGATAAAAAAAATCACAGATTCCCTTATTACCAATTTTCCAACGTGTGGGTCTCGTTTAGGGTACGCGTCGAAAGCGTCGAGCTCCGGGCGAACTTTGGCGAAAAATTCGCCGAATAAAAAAATCGACAATGTAGCCGAACGACAACTGCGGTATCGATTTACAGACCGGGAATGTGAGGGAAAGACCCTTTAAGAGATTTGAATTTCTCCCGATCCAGGAATCAGGAAAATTGCGGGCAACTCGGTGAAAATTGGCGGGCCCCGCGCGGGTGAAAATTGAGGGGCAAACACTTTCGTCGAGCGGAGCCCTCATATCACCGTCGTTCTATCAATTAATTGATAGAATTTTTTTAAATAAAAAAGACGAGAAGTCCACTATCCAACAGAAAAAAACCTATTCTAACAGAACACAACGAAAATGAACGTAACCCTACTATTTGAAAATCATTCTTTGCTGCTCAATATTTCGAGGTTCATTTCGATATGAACGTCCGCCAGACGGAACACTTTTTACAGATTTTCACATATGACCCTCTTTCGAAAAAAAGAGACCTACCTGTTCGCGGTGGAAATTCAAAAAATCAGAATAAAATTAAAGGAAAAAAAAAAACAAAAACAAATAGAGCAAATGAGTATCGAAATTCCAGAGTATCGAAATTCCAGAACGGCAACAGAAAACAGCAAAAACGGTGGCATACTGAAAATATTCCATATTATTCTCGAAATTCACAATATATTTTCGAGATTGGTCATCAAGAGTCAGGCCAATTTGACAAAAAAACTGACCATATTTTTCTTGCAAACACTCGAAAAATTGTTCAAATTTCAAAAGCTTAACAAAAATACGAGCGATAATACAATTTTTTAAAGTAAAAACCATATTTTCAGACTAACGTAACCATTTGGCTTCGAAAAATCGAATAAGACTCACATTTCGCACAGATTCCTGTATTTGAGGCTGTTGATGAGGTGAAGCTTCAGTCTTTTCAAGTTGGGCAATTGAGTTGAACAATGTGACACAACGTTCTAAAAATACAGAAATAAGAAAACAAAAAATTACAAAAATAAAAATTTTTGACCATTCTCAACTTCTATTTTACTAAAATTTGCTTAAAACGGAAATAAATTACATTATCATTTTCGATTATAGCACAAAATAGTTGGTGTAATACAGTAATAATCAGAATCATCATCCAATCAAGAAAAAAGGGGGTCTTCCAATAACAGACCCATGTTAGCAAATTTTGATTTCGTCAACAAACTGTCGCATTGTCGTAAAATCAAATGCGGCTTTTATTGAATAATCAATCGAGAGACACGCCCACTCTAATAAAGATGTGAAGAATTCCATTGTTTCGAAATGAAAGTTTTTAGTTTTAAATCACATCATTTTCTAGACGAACTTTGCAAAAAAAACATTACTTGAGGCATTACGACGACCATGCCGAAGTAGGAAAAATTTTGTTAATTAAAAAATTACTGATTTGATATCACATCTGAATTTGGATTCTTGCTGTTAGTATAATAACAAATGAGCTTAAGTAATGATTTTAACTTTCACTCACATCCGCTTAAGAGAAAATTAGACTTACACTATTTTCAGACATACGCTCACACGGAATAACATTTATCTTTACACTCAACTAAAGGATCTTATCAAAAATTGAATATGAAGAATCGAACAACTATGATTAAACTAGAATTACAGTGGTCTGGGAGCAAAACGAAAGCGTAGGCCATGCATAAGGATAGATTAAAGGGACACGCCAAGCAACGAGATCTCTTTTTAATTTTTTCTCATTTAGCCAATTTTCCGCAGTCGCGCGACGTCGAGAATATATGTTTAATAATATTTGACATCTTTTTGAATAAGTTTTATTAATTTATTAAGTTTTTTTTTCGTTTCTTTGAGTCACAGGAAATTTTTTTGTGTCAAGTAGAACATTCAAAATTACTAACCTTATACGGAATCATTTCGACTCGCCTTATAAATAAATTGGGAATCCCGCTTCTTACGGGGATATCCACAACCATTGGGCGATTTGATCCAAATTGTGATTCATTTCAATGATCTGAAATTAAAACTGAAACGTAGTAGGGAAAATGAAAAATAAAATAAAACAGTAAATTCAGTTGAACACCAATTAGATTACTAAGCCAGGTTTTAATGGTCACATCTCACAATAAATTTTTAAATTTGCAGTTTTTTTCGCTAAAAAAGAATAACGCAAAAATGTTAAAATTGACGCACAGACATACTGTTCTCAAATCCATTTGCTGGTCGTACAGCACTATTTCACATATCAAGCGATTCCGCTTACTCGGTTGAACACATTTGTTTTGTGCGGAAGTTGATTGAGCAATTGAGGTAAATCACAGCAGTTATCTGAAATAAAAATGAATATATTCTTAAGTATACTTTAAAAAAATTAAAGACCAACACTACTATGAGTGACTCGAGTTTTTTTTTTCACATTCAATACGTCGGAATCGTAACTCATTGAGCAAAACTGGTTTGTTTTCTAGCTTTCTGAAATATCCTATTGATAAAATCAAAAAGATTTAATCAAACAGATTCCAGAGGATTAGGGTATTCAGAAAATTTCGCGCCAAAGCGCCCCCAACTCAAATGAGCTGTTGTGAGACAACAACCGACAGACTACCCCTAACTAAATAAAGCATTTTTTGCTGGCGGGTTAGAGCCTCCGAGCCCCTGGACGTTGGCTCCCCCGTCTGGATAGTTGTCAGCTTCCAATCACGTAGCAGCTTTTTTGCGAAATTTCTTCGCCCTTGAAACCGTTGAAATCCAAATTGTCGAGTGCTGTAGACGGAACTTTGTATTTTGCCTGCAATACAAGAATTTTAATACAGTTTCATTATAGACGATATAAATAAATCGCAAAAAAGTGAAATTAGTAAAATATTTATAACAAAATTAAATTAAAACTCAGAAAATCGTGTCGTACAAAAAGCGGGTAATGGTTTTTTCGGTGAAATGCCGACGAAACTGTATTTGAGGGAGTGAGTGATTTCAAGAGACGTAGGCTTTTTTTTTCACCGCCGTTTTAGCGAAACACGCTTTTTTCTGCTGTTTCCGACACATCGACAAACTGAGAATTGAAAATGAATGACAAAAACGTGGCAATTGAAAACGCGGAACATTTGTGATTACTGTAGAACAAAATCTGTATACAACAAAATTGACGAAATATGGAACAATTTATATTTTTTATTGCAACTTGTCGATTTTAGCTAATTTTCTAGGTTTAATTCAAATTATTTCAACAAATATTATATATATATTCTTCATATCACTTACAATTTTCTGTTTCTTTCATCTTCATTCCTTTTTTCAGATCTGCCTGGCGAAATGATGAGCAATGACAATAAAAACGTCAATGGCGAGAATTTCAAAATGAAAATGTGGAAAATTGGTAATATCGGCCACGTGATTCATTGTTTTTGTTTAATGAATCCTTTACTTTTACTTTGTCACTTGTTAGTCGTTTTGTACTTCGTCTATTAAGCTGAGCGTGCTCGATTTCAAATTTGTCAAAAAAAAATCAATCTCGCTCGAAATTTTTAGGATCCCGCGATCATTATTTTTTTTATAAATAAAAAATTTTTGATTACGCTTTAAAAATCGCGAAATTTTAATTTATACCGACTGGAAATCTTGAAGAAAGCCTTGCTTCGAAAATTCCGTTACGAACCAGCTCTATTCAGAAAATGGCTAATACCGTTTATTAAATCCATTTATTTTTTCATTTATTCACACGAATAATAGATAAAAACCATACATAAATAAGAAAGAGAAATTAAATATTTCTAATAGGGTATAAATATAGTCGGCCTCCGGCGACTAATGTGCAAGGGTAGATTTACGCGCATGCGTCTTGAAAAGGTCAAGAGCGACATTTTCACGTTCTCTGGTCCGCCTTTCGTCAAAGTTCTCACTCTAAATGGGCTTATTTAAAAACATAAAAACTTCGAACGAACTGCGAGAGAAGCGGGTAACTTTCGTGCCTAAACTAAATATTTAAATATTCATTTAAATAGACCAATGTCAAATTACAAATAGCGTTTTTCATCTCGATACACCTTCATTAGTGAGCAAACGCCCATTTTTGCACGCACCTTCGAACATACTGAAATACAAACAGATTCAGTGCCGATTTATTCTTCGAGGGTGCACTCTGGTTGTAGAGAATTCTCCACCGATTTCGTTTCCCGCAAAACAGAATTCTTCTTTTTCATTCCGTGTTGCGTCAGAAGAGTCAAATCTCGGCACTTTCGACAAGAAATTTCCAAGATTATAAAATAAATAGAATGATAGTAATCAAGATAATAGAATAAAATCAATTTTATTCACTCGAATAATTTTGCATAAATTTATAATACATAATTGATTGGGTAATTGTCGGCGTTTAATTGCTGCTGTTGCAGTTTCTGTCCGATATCACCTCCATACTCGGTCGAACCGACGATTTCTTTTTCTTTCTTTCCGATTTTCGCTCGGTCGACCTCAATCTCCTCTCCGATTTTCGTTCACTCGGCATGTTCTCGCTCAAATTCTGACTACTTTCCGGCTCTCTTGGCCGTTTTTCTTGCTAAATTCAATGAGTATTAGTCTGACTAAAATTATCACCAACTTCGACCGACCCGTCGAGCATCCACATTGGCTGTTCCATTTCGTCATACGTGAGAACCTCGATCGAGAATAGCTCGTTTAGTTTTTCGATGAAATCCGTCAAACTCGGCTTCGATTCCATCAGAAATGGTACCAATGGCAAAATTCCGACGCTTCCACACCAACTGAATCCATCTAAAAATGTCTAGCATATTTCTTTGAAAATTATTAAAAATCAAAACCTTGTGATTTGAAAAATTTCTCTTTTGCATCAAGAATTTTATCAGCATCCCTGTCATTTCTCCATGGAAGTGTATTCTCGCATGTCAAAAATATCATCTAAACAATTTTGAAACATTTTTCGTGTCGAACTATTTACCGTAAATAGCCATGCTTCAATATCGGCCCATTCGTCAAACTCTTGATCTTTCTTATACATTACCCTTGGAGAGAATCGATCGCATCGAAACGTTTTGCTATTTTTTGGTTTCGGCCTTAATCAAGTCAATCAATTTTCATTTGTATCAAATTTTTGTTTTACTTGCTCGGAGTAACATGATAGAAATCGATCAACTTCAAAACGAAACTTTGTTTGACTGCAAATGACGAAGGCCGGAGATCCAAATGTAAATAACCCCATGAATGAAGTTCTTTGAGTGCTTGAAACGAGTAATACGTGATGAGGAATGTCGTCGGAGCGCTAAAATTGTGTGAAAATTATTGCGCAATTTTCATTTTTGTGAAATCGCCTACTCAAACGGCCGATAATTGCTATAATAATGAGTTAAATCCTTTCCAAAGTCTTCAACAATCAAGTATCGAAAATCATCATCGAATCCAACATCGGCGAGTTGCGAAATATAGCCTTCCTTCCGGAATTTGCAAATATTCTCATATAAGAAAACTCGCTCGGTCTGAAAGACAAAAAATCGCCAAAAATTGAATGTCTGAAAAAATCTCACATTGAGATCAAGATCTTGTTGTCTGGGCTTCTTCCGCGATTGCATTTTTGCCACATATCTTTTCTGTGTTGCCAAGTCTTTCACTAGCGCATTTATCTGAAACTCAATGATATAGTGAGGGCATTGCGCTTAAATTATACGGAAGTTCCTTCCGATAATGTCGATATGACATCGTATTTTCTTGTCGAAGTGCTCAGAACTGGGGGCAGTGGTTGAGAAAAATTGAAAAGCTGTTCAATGCATGTTTTTCGATGCGTTATATCTCCAACCTTTTTATCAATAAATGCTACCGGAGTTGCACTCTTTTCAGTGAAAACTGCCTCACTCATCTTATATGAAGAATGTAGATAAATGGGAAATAATTGTTTCTCATTATCACTACGCTTAAAAATTGATAAATTTAGCTGAAACGAATTGTGCAAGTCGTACTGAAGAAGCTTGCCGATTCACACTGACACTCGAACTTCCCGAGTCTTCCTGAATTCATCATCCAAAAAACGCGGTGATTTTTCTAAGTGAATGGAATTACCCGATGTCTTAATTGGGAAGTACATCGAGGAATGTCTTTGAATGGTAATAGCATTAGCGAATCCAAACGGCAAATTCAATTGTCAAGTTTTACTAAATGAAAGTTGACGCGAAAAAATGATGTGAAACGTAATAATGGATTTTTAAAAGAATACTTTAAGAATCGAAAATAATTGGACCAAAATATTTATTGAATCGAACCGAAATCCACTTATTTATGTGGTCTTGTCGAGTTGCCAATATTCAAAACCAATGCGCTGCGACCACCCATTAGATAATGTTGTTCATTGTCGAATATCTGGAAATTTTTTTTAATATCTTGAGCTCTTTATATTGTAAAACGAGTAATTGTTGAAAATAAATCTTACATTGGGGACGACGAATGCAAACATGCAGAAAAGTAGGGAAATTGCGAACAGGAGACGCATTTTCGAATGAAATTCTCGGCGAATCTCGTCTTTTTTTATACCGCTAAAATTGATGACGAATTGTGTGGGCTTGTAATATTATTTAATATGGGAATGGGAACGGTCGCTATTTTTTCATCATGGTCATTAAGCTTCGTGATTGCTTTTCGGCATACATTTGATTGCGCAAAAATATAAGAAATTCATTTTTATACATTTTATAATCATGATAATTAAAATATTCATTTTATTTTCAGATTTCTTTATATCTATTCAATGGCATTCTCATTCTTAATAAATTATAATTCCAGATTTTAAGCAGAAGCTTTTTTCCGATGCACCAGATGGAAAGAAAAACAGTTAAAAAAATAAAGCTGTTCAAACTATCGAATAGAGTACAATTGTGCTTGTTTTTAACAATAATGAATAATAAAAACAGAATGAAAGTATTTAAAGTAGATCAATTGAAAAAAAAACAGCATGAAATATGATTTTCTACATTCTATTCTTTATTGTTTCCACCGTCCAGGCCATCGGTGAGCTTCCGCGAAACCAAAAATTCCAAATGTATCGTTTTTGAGCTCCGCGAAATATTCCAAGCCAAATCGGAAATTCTGGAAACGATCTCACAAACCAGCTCGGCTATCAAACCCATGTTGCACTGAGACGCGTTGGAGAACTCGAAAAATCGATTGGAGATGGCGTCGGTCAATTCGGAGAAACCGGAGGAAGGGCAGCGGTTGAATTGGCCGAATCATTTGGCAAGACTGTCAGAGATGTGCCAAGTAGCATCAAAAATCGCTTTCAACACAATTTTATAATTTTTCAGATGGAATTGGCGAGGTTGTTAATGGAGTCGTCACTGGAAATCGTCGAGGAAAACGAGAAGCAGTGGATCAACTCTCTGATTTGACTCCAGTTCAGGAGGTAATCCTCACAAGAGAGGTCTTTTTGCTGTCCGTCTTGAAATGTTTTTATTTTTTGCATACAGATTCTTTAGATAATTTCCAATCGAATGAACTAGGTCCCGATCTAAAAAAAAATTCTAAGACGGACAGCAAAAAGACCTCTCTTGTCAGCCATTGTAAAAGAAAACTCAATTCTCTTAATTATAGTATTTCGTGTTGTTCATCGTCTACAAGAACTTCGTTCAAACTGGTGAAAACTTTTGCGCAATTCACCAAGTTATCAAACATCTTGCCAACCGTGTTCCCGAACTTCACCAATGTAATTCTTCCAACCTTTTCTGAAACGTTTGCTTTCTTTCAGACATCACCATAATCGCCGAAATTCTGAAGGCTTACTTCGGTACATCACACCAATTCTGCGAGAATCCAGCCGATTCCGCCGACGCTATTCAAAACGCTATCAAAGAGGCATTAAAAATGTATCCCAACTAATATTTGAGTAAAATGTGGGCAAATAATTTATTTCATAAACTTTTATATGCAAATTACAATTTACATTTTGTTTCATTTATTATGTTCACATTTGACTGGAATGTTTTTTGGGCAGATGGCACATGAGCTTAAACCTGTCGCTGAAGAATATTTTGACGTCGTCGTTGCCACTCAGCATTTATCTTAGTGACAGCGTCGCGACTCGCTGTGTATTTTGCCAGTGAGCATGCAAAGAACATGGACGCAAAGTAGACTTCAAGTTATTCAATTTGAACCATCAAATGCTTCAAAAACGAAAAAACTTACTTAACATGGTTATTATGATAAAGGAATAAAGCCAAAACCGGTTTATCGGGTAATTATTAGTTTCGAGCAGATCTTGCAATAGCGAACATCTCTGATCGTCTTGGCACACTAAATAGATTCTTAAGCTCAATCAAATTCTCTAAAATCTTACATTTCATGTTCAACTCCAGGACGAATATGGCTACTGTATGGGCAATTATGAAGCCAATCTGAACATATCGGGACATGATTTTATGCGATAATTGTTCAATTACCAATGTCATCACATGGACAAATATTAACGCATAAGCTTCTTTATAATGTGCAAACCCGAAGAATCCATTCGCCGCTAACATGCTCACAATGTACACCAGAATTAACCCGTGACATTTCGCTGTGAAAACCATGAGCTTCACAATATCAACAAGTAAAATTGCGAGCATGATCAGCTGAAAAATGATCGAAATTAGCCATTTTCTCGATTTTTATTCTATTCGTTCAAAAAAATCGAAACAATCTTTAGATCATGTTCGATTTCCCATTCCACCCCCACCCACCACAACCATCTCTCGCGAAACAGAAAAATTCTCAAGAACATCTCGTATCAGAAACAAACAACAAGTACATGGTAATAAATTTCGCATTCAAAGTGTGTACGCAATAAATATCGTTTTGCGAACACTTCAAAATGAATCGATTCTCAACCCGATTAGTCCAAGCAATAGACAGACAGCGAAATACCACCTAGACTTTGATAACAAAAGTTCAGCTCGCTGTTTTCTGATAGCGTCAAAAAGGGCATCACGAAACACGAATGGATGATAAGAATCCAAAAATTTTATGCAAAAGCTTCCCATTGATAATTTTTGCATGCAAAATTGAGGAGTGATTTATGTGAAAACTGTACATAGACATACCCTTTTCGATCTACTCCTGAACATTGGCGGCTTCTGAAATCAAGTTTTATTTTTCTTCCATTAAATCTGAATTCAGATTCAGAATATATGCTTACAATTTCCAAGACATCATTCCTCTTGATAATTTTGTTCATTGGAAATCTGAAAAACATGAAGCCTTCAAAAAACGGTAGAAATTTGTTGTAAACATTGATAAGAAATGAGTAAGTATGCAAATGCGAGTTGAAATTGACTCGAACGTGACATAAAGAAAACTGCAACATCTGTCATAAAGTTTTATCGAAAACCCAAAAAAAATGATGGTGTATATAAACGAGAAGTCAACAGACAACAGAAGCAACAGGAAAAAAACGGAACGATTACAGTGCGTTAGACTGATAAGACCAAGGGTAAGAGAGGCATAATAATCATAATGATTTAAACTTCGGGATAGAGCCTGTCGGTGCTGCGTCCGTCATAAGCATCCGCATTATAATGATAGATTCCTTGGGTGGTGTCGGCGAATTCGGCGGCAGCGCGAGCATACGCTTTCTTCGACATCACGTAAGTCAAAACCGACATGCTGAGCTCAATCAAATAGGAGATCACTGAAATGAGAGGACTTCATATTTTAATCGATGTTCGACGTCGAAAAGTGCGTTTCTGCATAATTTCCAAATAAGCAGCGAAGTGTAAGCAGCATTATGAATAGAATCTCAACGGTTAAAAAAAAGCAACATTTTTGGAGCCGGGACCACAAACATCATAGCATGACCGACGCATTTATCAAGATATAGGAGCGCTATATAAGGAACGCTTTCACGTTCTCTTTTTGTTTTTGAGTTTTAATTTGGTTGTTTCTTCTCTAGTGAAAACGTGCACCTAGCTTGTTCAACGACACAACAAACATCCAATAATTTCAAGGAGCACATCGGTTTCAACGCGAATAAACTAGCTCAAAAAGTTATTTGCGAAAATCAGGTTCTCGGCAAGATTGGTGCTTCTTTAGAGGTTTTGGAATTCCTTAAAAAATACGATATTACAAGAAGGGCACTCTAAAACACTGAGTAATCACCTTAATTGGTCAATAAGATCTTAATGCGAGGGATTCGAAGGAAATAGTCAACACATTGTGGCGGTTGCGACATTAAACTCGCATGATTTTGGACATACATTAAAATACGACAAAAAATTTTAAAGATTTCAAATACATTATTCAATTAATTTCAACAAATAACGTCCAAAAATATAGCTAAAATTAGTGTAAAAGTACAATGGTCGATTCGATATTTCAACTGGCACCTTTTGATTGGTTTGTTTTTCGGAGCACCCTTGCGCCGCACGTTTTTAAGATAAAAAATTGTTTTCCAACAATTTTCAAAAGAGCAAAAAAAAACGAATGTAATGTTGGTGTCAATCGCCACTGAATCCAGAAACTCGACGTTTTATCAAACATGACGTAAAACATATTTTTTTGTAGAACAATATCAACAAGTTCTAAAACTTCTAACACATCAAATAAAAATCAACGATCGAAAACGTTCTGGCCGACGGTGAACTGCGCGAAATAATGAGGCAATAAATTCTCATTGTTTTTTTTTTCTTCTTTTTCGTGAAATTTGAAAAAAAAACGACAATCTCATAGCAAAAAAATTCGCTGATAACGAATTAATCATTGCCACTCGTACACATATATACACACATTTTTGAAGCAAACAACTCTGTTGCTCGGTTGTCTCAAAATTATTGCACACTCATAAAAAAAAGAAAGAAAATTCGTACTTTCAACAAACTTTGTTTAGCCATGAGGGTTTCGCAGAGATATACGAGATTTCCCTGATTATTGGCAATTCTGCAGAGGTCGATAATTTGTAGACAAAGTATGAAAAACAATCATCTTTTTTTCAAAATTTATTGAACAGAAATGCGAAATGCGAATATTGCGTCACTGAATTATTCTATTTCAGGCTGTCGCATTAATTAATCATTGTTTCTACTTTCAGATACGCAAGAAATCATATTTTCTACATGACTTCTTTTTCAGGAAAGCTTTTTCATGTAAATGATTAGGTGAATCAGGTTTATGAATTCTCATCCGACAACAAAACTTGTATATTTGCTCTCACATTTCTGGGGGTGCGAAGTCGACCGATAACATATGATTAAGTCTAATTCTATTCATGCGAACGAGTTTTAAAAGTTTATCCCTTCCCCGCCGGCCGCTCGTACTTCTAATCAACAAGCACCGGGTGGTGCATAATTATAGGTTTCGATAATTGGGCCTCCAGAAAACCCACACCCGATAAATCCTTTCGGCTCGTTCGATGAAAAATCAATTAAAGCTATCTTCAATTTTTTTTCACATCAGGCGACTTTTTGATGCCTGCAAAAATCCGAGCCGGACCACACATTGCGGTCATGTGTCGGTCGGCGGGAGAAAAATGTAACAGCAAAGGAATCAAAAATTATCAAATTTTTGCAAAATTGCACATAAAAATAAGGAAATGGCTCAGAGAATACAAACGTGCAACTCGCACCACAATCTTCTCAAATGTCAAATTTGGAAGCTCTCTAAATGTTAATATGAAGCGTAATACTTTGTAGAATAAAAAGAGTGCAGAGTTTCACGAAAAAAGAAAGTGCAAAGTTTAAATGATTCAACAAAAAATGCTCACCTATGAAAAGAACGAACAATGCAAGCCAATACCATCCCGAAAATGCGAGACCCTCTTTGAAGTAGATGGGAGAAAGGATTGCATACTTTTGAATGTCATTCTGCAGATCCGGTCCTAAAATGTACTTAGAAATTACCATTTTCACAGAAAAAAAATCAATAGATTATCTTGAAAGTGATAAATACTTACTGAAAAGAATCACAAAAGCGATGGCAGTGGTAAACACGTGGCAAAAAAGTCCGATAAACTGAAAAAAAAACGATTGAATTAAATAAACAAAAACATAAATGATTATATATAGGTATGGTGTACCTGAATTAAAATATGGATTCCAATAATGGGAGCGATCTCGTAAATATAGCCGAGAGTCACAATGCATTGAACAGCAAACTGAAAATCATGTTTTCCATTGTAATTAGTCCAATATTTTAAAATTATTCATTTGGAGGAATTTCAAGACACAGAGAATAATAACAGCAAATACTCATCACTTGTTTTTCAACTCCCCCACCATTGATTGGGTGAGTCAATGGTGAATAAGCGTTCATTAGATATCCGAGAACAACAGACCGAAAAAATATACAATTCAACATTAATATTTTTCCGCGCACACATTGCCAGCTCCAGATGTGCGCGCCCGACTCGCCGATATCAATTACTCGCGTTCCGCCACCATCGCTCGAAACAACGCGCTTTTATCTCATCCGCTCGCATTCATGAGACCTACGCGCAATTTGTTGCCCTTTGTTGAACATCAAAAGATGCACCGGCGCATTGAAGAAATGAACGTCGATTTTTGATTTATATTGAATGACCCTCAAGTATTTCGCGTTTCCCGCATCCGTCATATGCTTACTCCGGAAACGGTATAAGTAATAAATATTTGGGGCAATTTTGAAACCGAAATACACAGAATTGCTATCACGAGACTCAAATTAGGTCCCAGAATATACGTTCCGTATAAGTGATTTTAAAATTTCTTGAAACAGATTTGCGAAATGTTTAAAAAATCTAACCAAAATCGGTATCGGCATTTCTGAATTATTGAACAGCAAAACAGCCAACAAAATGAAAATCATTGCTTGCAACGTGTCCATGAAACACTGAAAATTTAAACTTTTGGAATTCAAAATTATACACATAAGTCAAACTCACTTTCGCCGGTAAACAAAGGCACGTGGTCGGCTGTTTCTGAATAAAATATAAATACATTTCAATAAAATAAAAATTCCCCGTAATACGGCGAATCGTTCACCAAAAACAAAAGTCACTCGTAAAAAAAATAACAAAAATCAATATTGACGGGAAAATAATAAACAAAGACAGACAATGTGCACAAAAACTCAAAGTCCAAATAAGTTAAATCGATAATTTTCAAAAAAACAAAACAAAACGAAGGGGTTGACTTTAAACTATCATTATTACATGAAAAATTAGAGAATTTCCACTATTAAAACGGTTACACCAAAATAATATCATTGCCATCGAAATAAAGAAACAAACGTCATTTTTAATTTGGAAGCAGAAACTTATTAGTGCGTTCTCTTTTATCAGTGATTGCCTATTTAAATAGTAGTTTTTTTTCAAATCGATTTTTTTGAAAGAAAACCAAATAATTACTTACAACATTACACTCGTTGGGGCGATAAGTGCGAGCCATTGTTGGTTGGTTTTTCTATTTCCTAAGTAGAATTATGGTAATTAATGATAATTAGATATTGATATGTAATTAAAACAAACTAATATCTTTTTAGAACAAAAAATATTTTATATTGCCGTTTATTCAAGACAAAAACAACATAGCAAAACCAAAAAAGAATTTGCGTAGGTTAGATTAATTAGAATTGGAAGAGCAAAATCATATTTGCATTTCTTTTTCTTTTCGGCGTCGAGCCATGAGCCGGATTCCAGAAGATGTTCATCAATCATCGTCCCCTGAAGCCTGTTAACAATTTAAAAACTGTTTTTTAATTAATTTCGCTAGTTTTGCAACGTAGGCTAATTAACACGAATCAGCGATGTTTGATGAGTGGCAGCCTCGTAAATGTGGCTGAAAGCCTTCGTGTTCAATTTTCGTTGCGAGGGGCAATCATCAACATTATGTAATTAATGCTTTAAGAATTTGTTTGGTATAAGCCTATGTAATTCACACAATTTCTAATTTAATCGTTGCATATTGGATAAATAGTACCTCTCAGTTTTTAAAGACGTCGTCGTTATCAGCCCAATTTTCAGTCAAATGATGTGAATCTGGTAGTCGGGAAGCTGAAATCAATTATTTATTCGAACAATGAAAACAGACGTCTAGCCAAAATGTAAAAACATCTACGTAACCGAATAAGCGTTAATAAAATATAGTTGTTTTTATAGACATAAAAAAAGAAAAAAGTATAACATAAAGGAACATTGGAAGAGAGAAAATTCGAGCCAATTGAGTTCCGTTGTCTGATTTTTCAATATACTTGTACTTCTAGTTACCAAGGAAAAATATAATAAAGTCAAGTATTGGAACTTGCAAAATTTCATTTCGAATTTGCATATTTTTCAGTTTATGAGATTTTTAATTAAACTAATACCTTTTTCCTTATTTAATGAGAGCATAAACAATAGAATATCTGAAAAGAGAACTATTAAACTAATATTCTACTTATTCCTTGTTGTCTTTAAAGAATAAAAAAATTAATAAAAGTAAATCTATTGTATTAGAATTTGAGAGCAAACCAATAAACAGAATACAAAATGTTTAAAAATGGCAAGTTTGACTAAATCTAAAAAGAATACAGAGATGTAATAATATATATTTAGTATGGTAAAGCTATTAGAATTGTAGGAAAAATGATGACAGCTATGCCGTCGGTGAGTACGAGATTGCGGGGAGTTCGGTTGGAGCCGGTAACGAGATCATGTCGTAAATGATCAAGTAGCTAACGAAGACTTCACACATGTACCCTAATAAAAGTTTATTTTCCTAATATTGTTAGTATTGTACTTACAGCCAATCACATTTATGCAAGCCATCAGCTTTTCAAATGAGTCTATTCTGATGGAGATATTTTCGAAGATGTATGGATCAAGTGGGAGATTGAACTTCATATATATGAAGGCGGTCACCACAATGTACATTAGTGCTATTGACTGAAATTGAAATTTGAATTTCTCGCTATTGATTATAAAGTTTACCAAGACGTAGTTGTGAAAGTAAACCATACTTTTATTTCTCAATACGAAACCGAGAAAAATGTAACATTCGGCGAGGCACTGGAAATTGATGTGTTTTTTCAAGGTCTGAGTCGAGTTAAATTCGAACTCTTCAAGTTCGGTTTCACTCATTATAATGAAGCACCATTGAATTGATCATTATCTCGAAATTTGTCGACTTGCAAAGTTTCAAATTGACTTTTATATTCATAAGATACAAAATTAAGTTCAGATTTAAAATTTTCTGTTCAAACTTACCCATATCAAGAAGAAAATGGAATGAGGATTTCGGTATAAAGCGGTGAAAAGAAGGAAAACAATAATGAATTGAAAAACCGCACCAATTTCCTAAAAAAAATCATAAATTCGACTATAGCGTTAGTAAAACATACGAAGAAGTCAAAATTGAAATCATTTTTAGAAGTTGCCTGAAAAAAATGAAGTAAATCAACAAATAAACGGTAATTACTTACAGATTGAGTACTCGCCGACTTCAACGACACCTGCGACTTGTTCATCTGTAAATAATAGTTTAATATTTAAATGCGGTACAATAATTTAAATAAATTAAAAGCAACAAAAAATTTCGAAAATTGCGATATTTTTATCACTTCCGTTCATTAGGATTTCGTGTTTTAAAACGATGGCACGTTCATACTAATCAAACATTGAAGCTGCTAGTTCCACTTTGGTCTCATTTACGAGAATGATTTACGGGTTATCTTCTTTTTCACTCTTTCAATCCGCCAAAACTCCAGTCGTTTTTGATTTATTTCTGATACATATGGTGACAAATATGTGCAGAAAAATGTATAAATTAAAGGAATGAGTCATAAATTTAATACATGAAAAAATTCAAAGCAAAAACGAAAATACTCGAAAAAAAATCACGTGAGACGAAAAAATCTAGTTCAAACTACCGTATACACTTCTTTGCAAAACATTATTTTAAACATTGCGTGCTCCTTTATTCCCTACAGTATCCATTTCCACTGCAACTGTGCTACAGACGAAAAATGGTGAAAAGGTGGATGAAAAATAGATTACTCGGAAAAGTAGATAAAAACTAGGAGAAAAATGGGCGAAAAATAGATTATCTCAAAAATTGGTGAAAAATATACGATAAATGGATGACAAATAGATGAAAAATTGGGAAAAAATAGATAGAAGATAATGATAAGAAATAGACACTGAAAGGGTGAAAAATAGATGGAATTGTGCAGTTGATCGTAATGTGAATGCAGATGGCGCCATGTTAATCACAATTTTTTTAAAAATCAATTTTGGAAATGCCTAAAACTCTTCGCCATCGATTACCCAAAGAAGGTCTCAAATTGAGGAAAGGTAGGTTTGTTTCGTATATTAATATTGCTGATTGTTTATTATTTTAAGATCAAATTGCTGGTTCGCGATGCATGCCGACCAAACGTGTGGTCTTTGCTCGAAAAAACGCCCGGCTTTCACTTCGAAACAAATCGTCGAACAACGAAAATAATGAAAATGATGCATCAACAACATCCTTTCTCATGAGAGAACGATCTGAAAGCGAAATTGAAGAATTCTCCGAAGTAGTCGGGCCGTCATGCGTACCGAATTACCCCGCACATGATCGTGTATCGGAATTGGCCGATGAACTATTATTGTGCATGTATAGTTCGGTACTCGGAAAAGATACAGAAAATGGTAAAACTAATACTTTTCCAAAGACAAAAAATGGTTGCAGGCTTTTTTGAGACGACTGGCAACAATTAAAAACTTCATCCCGATTGAAAGAGCCCGCTCATTGTGGTATGATTTCAAGAAGAATATTATGAAGCGTTCAATATGCGAAAAGTGTGGATGTCGAAGAGAGAAAGAATGGTAAACACATATACCACATTTCAAACATTATTATGATCAATTTCAGTTGCGGCGATTTGGCGACTTTTCTTATGCTGCCTCTCACCGAACAAATTCGCGGGATTGTGGAGTCGTCCTTTGACGATATAATGGAAATTCGAAAGAAATTGAAGGAAAAAGCACCAAACTTCACACACAATCTTCAAGGAAGTTCTTTTTCCAGTTCATGGAAATACGAGGATGAAAATCATTGTGATCTGAGCATGGTGCTAAGTCTGGACGGCGTCAATCCCCGAGGACATTTCAGGTATTATTATTATTTGTTTATTAAAGATGTGCCATTTAGAGGAAGTTTGTGGCCAATTACTTTACAGTTAGTGGATTTGCCTACAATGAAGTCGCAACTTTCAATTAATCTTGTAGTCTGTGGAATGCTGCAATTAAAAGCTAATAATCCAACAACCCTTGTTTTGAATACCGTCACGGAAATTATAATGAATCGATTGGAAGGCGAAGGGTCAACATTTGTTGTAAACAATATTTTATTTTCTCCATACCTCGTGTCACTCGTTTCTGACCAACCAGTAAGGATTAAGTGATAAAAATTTCTATAGATTTCAGTTTAAGGCAAAAAGAAAAATTCTTGGAATGAGCGGTTTTTCAAGTCCACAAGCTTGTTTTTATTGCGACTCTCACGGAACTCTGCACAAACCACTACTACTTGGAAACGGTAATAATCAATAATAATTTTAAACCCTCTTATTCATCGCTTATATTGATTTAAGATCGACGATTGGACAGATTTGGGGATAAGACTCTAGAAGATAGTATTCGCGGTGTTAATGGATTTGGTCCTGTTGCGGCGAAAATGGTGCAATATGTCAAGCCGTACAATACAATCTTGGATGTTCTTCACACTTGTTCAGATGGAATTGTAATGTTGATACTAAAAGGTATCAAAATTAAGTGTGACCAAAAAAACGGCAGAAATTCCAGAGCTCATGCCTAAAAAGTTTAGATGTTCAAAGAAAAAATCTGCAATGTTCGAATGCGATGAAACCATGCTCGAAAACTTCGACAAACATCTACAATTGCCAATTGAAGGAGCCGATTTGACTCGATTGCTCACTAACGGAAGGCAAAAACTAGATGTATGTTTCAGATATAATGTTTTAGATTTTTCTTATAGTTATTCAGACTTCAAATTTTCTTGTTTGCTATCTGCAATTCAAGTTTAATACATACATATGTGAACAATGTTAAAAAAAAATTAAGAAGCATTGTTCATTGGATTAGATATTGCTCCAACGACGGATCAAGCTACTTCAGTTGCTGTGCAAATCAAAGAGTCTGCGATTACTTTCATGTAGTTATGCGAATGTTTCACTAAATAACACCATGTACTTTTAGCGATCGCCTTCGTTCAAATTATAACGATCAGAAAGGATCTCACCACGCTAGCAAAGTTATGGCGCATAGTTTGGCTATCAAAATTGGAAAAGAGCACCAACTCAAAAAACTGAAGCCCGATGCCGCTGAATATTTCAATCAGCATTTTTCTATTTAATTGAAATTTGATATTTCTAATGTTAAACAATTTATTGTATTTTTTTTTTTTTATTTTGTTGTTTTCCGTTTACTGTTGTTTTTTCATAAAAACCATCCAGAAGAAAAATAGACGCAAAATAGATGAATAAGAGACAAGAAGTAGACAAAAATGGGTTAAAAAAAGGATGAATCATGGATGAGAAATAGATAGAAAACTGATGAAAAATGCAAGAACGAGGGACAGAGACAAGACATAAAATGGATGAAAAATAGATGAATCCAAGATGCTAAATAGATAGAGAATGGCTGAGAAATAGATGAAGCGCTGATGAAAAATAGACTTGAAAATAGATCTGTTACAGATCCCTCTTTCATCCAAAGTCTGCACTATTTTTCAACTATTTTTTAACTATTTTTCGTCTGTTAGCGCAGTTGTAGTGTTTCCTTTATTTGCAACACTATTTTTCCAGCTAAATTGGCAATAACAACAACATCAAAAAGGAAAAGTTTTTATCTTTGTTTTATGCGAACACTTATGCTTATTATGCATATATTATAACTATCCTTCGCCTCACAAAAGGCATTATGAACAGCAAAACCAGAAAACCAGACCAACGAAGGAGAAGATGATGAGGCGGTCAACCAAATTGCCACAGTTAGTAGTCACCGTTTCAAGCGTTTCGTACATTTTATAATTTCTTTCTTGCATTTTTTTATTGAATGAGCGCTCAATGGGTGCGGTTTAATGTGTTGTTTTTCAGGGTTTGTGTAAAAATTGAGCAAAACGAAAGAAATCGTATAGGAACAAAAGTTCGAGATCTGCTATTAAGATAAAAGAGCAACGAAAACGACATTTTCGAGTTTCATAAATGTGTCGAATTTTTTAAAATTGACAATTTTAAAGTTGAATTTCACATTTTCACACATTTGTTGACCTATTTAGCAATTTTTACTTCCAATATATTTATTTATTTTCGATTTAATGAAAATATTAGTTGAAGTAAATCCTAAAAAAATAAGAAACCAAATATATTAACGATAAACTATTTTTAAAACGAATTTTCAAATTGAAAGATTCCCGATGCAAAAGTGAGAAACACTGCAACTGCGCTAACAGACGAAAAATAGTTAAAAAATAGTTGAAAAATAGTGCAGACTTTGGATGAAAGAGGGATCTGTAACAGATCTATTTTCAAGTCTATTTTTCATCAGCGCTTCATCTATTTCTCAGCCATTCTCTATCTATTTAGCATCTTGGATTCATCTATTTTTCATCCATTTTATGTCTTGTCTCTGTCCCTCGTTCTTGCATTTTTCATCAGTTTTCTATCTATTTCTCATCCATGATTCATCCTTTTTTTTAACCCATTTTTGTCTACTTCTTGTCTCTTATTCATCTATTTTGCGTCTATTTTTCTTCTGGATGGTTTTTATGAAAAAACAACAGTAAACGGAAAACAACAAAAAAAAAAAAAAAAAAAATACAATAAATTGTTTAACATTAGAAATATCAAATTTCAATTAAATAGAAAAATGCTGATTGAAATATTCAGCGGCATCGGGCTTCAGTTTTTTGAGTTGGTGCTCTTTTCCAATTTTGATAGCCAAACTATGCGCCATAACTTTGCTAGCGTGGTGAGATCCTTTCTGATCGTTATAATTTGAACGAAGGCGATCGCTAAAAGTACATGGTGTTATTTAGTGAAACATTCGCATAACTACATGAAAGTAATCGCAGACTCTTTGATTTGCACAGCAACTGAAGTAGCTTGATCCGTCGTTGGAGCAATATCTAATCCAATGAACAATGCTTCTTAATTTTTTTTAACATTGTTCACATATGTATGTATTAAACTTGAATTGCAGATAGCAAACAAGAAAATTTGAAGTCTGAATAACTATAAGAAAAATCTAAAACATTATATCTGAAACATACATCTAGTTTTTGCCTTCCGTTAGTGAGCAATCGAGTCAAATCGGCTCCTTCAATTGGCAATTGTAGATGTTTGTCGAAGTTTTCGAGCATGGTTTCATCGCATTCGAACATTGCAGATTTTTTCTTTGAACTGAACAAGTGTGAAGAACATCCAAGATTGTATTGTACGGCTTGACATATTGCACCATTTTCGCCGCAACAGGACCAAATCCATTAACACCGCGAATACTATCTTCTAGAGTCTTATCCCCAAATCTGTCCAATCGTCGATCTTAAATCAATATAAGCGATGAATAAGAGGGTTTAAAATTATTATTGATTATTACCGTTTCCAAGTAGTGGTTTGTGCAGAGTTCCGTGAGAGTCGCAATAAAAACAAGCTTGTGGACTTGAAAAACCGCTCATTCCAAGAATTTTTCTTTTTGCCTTAAACTGAAATCTATAGAAATTTTTATCACTTAATCCTTACTGGTTGGTCAGAAACGAGTGACACGAGGTATGGAGAAAATAAAATATTGTTTACAACAAATGTTGACCCTTCGCCTTCCAATCGATTCATTATAATTTCCGTGACGGTATTCAAAACAAGGGTTGTTGGATTATTAGCTTTTAATTGCAGCATTCCACAGACTACAAGATTAATTGAAAGTTGCGACTTCATTGTAGGCAAATCCACTAACTGTAAAGTAATTGGCCACAAACTTCCTCTAAATGGCACATCTTTAATAAACAAATAACAATAATACCTGAAATGTCCTCGGGGATTGACGCCGTCCAGACTTAGCACCATGCTCAGATCACAATGATTTTCATCCTCGTATTTCCATGAACTGGAAAAAGAACTTCCTTGAAGATTGTGTGTGAAGTTTGGTGCTTTTTCCTTCAATTTCTTTCGAATTTCCATTATATCGTCAAAGGACGACTCCACAATCCCGCGAATTTGTTCGGTGAGAGGCAGCATAAGAAAAGTCGCCAAATCGCCGCAACTGAAATTGATCATAATAATGTTTGAAATGTGGTATATGTGTTTACCATTCTTTCTCTCTTCGACATCCACACTTTTCGCATATTGAACGCTTCATAATATTCTTCTTGAAATCATACCACAATGAGCGGGCTCTTTCAATCGGGATGAAGTTTTTAATTGTTGCCAGTCGTCTCAAAAAGCCTGCAACCATTTTTTGTCTTTGGAAAAGTATTAGTTTTACCATTTTCTGTATCTTTTCCGAGTACCGAACTATACATGCACAATAATAGTTCATCGGCCAATTCCGATACACGATCATGTGCGGGGTAATTCGGTACGCATGACGGCCCGACTACTTCGGAGAATTCTTCAATTTCGCTTTCAGATCGTTCTCTCATGAGAAAGGATGTTGTTGATGCATCATTTTCATTATTTTCGTTGTTCGACGATTTGTTTCGAAGTGAAAGCCGGGCGTTTTTTCGAGCAAAGACCACACGTTTGGTCGGCATGCATCGCGAACCAGCAATTTGATCTTAAAATAATAAACAATCAGCAATATTAATATACGAAACAAACCTACCTTTCCTCAATTTGAGACCTTCTTTGGGTAATCGATGGCGAAGAGTTTTAGGCATTTCCAAAATTGATTTTTAAAAAAATTGTGATTAACATGGCGCCATCTGCATTCACATTACGATCAACTGCACAATTCCATCTATTTTTCACCCATTCAGTGTCTATTTCTTATCATTATCTTCTATCTATTTTTTCCCAATTTTTCATCTATTTGTCATCCATTTATCGTATATTTTTCACCAATTTTTGAGATAATCTATTTTTCGCCCATTTTTCTCCTAGTTTTTATCTACTTTTCCGAGTAATCTATTTTTCATCCACCTTTTCACCATTTTTCGTCTGTAGCACAGTTGCAGTGAAATAAAACAAAAAAAACACACACATTTTCAAGGCGGAGTTCCACAGAATGTGACAGCATTGTGAGAAAACAGGAGGAAAAGTTCACAAAAAAAATGAACGAAGAAACTGGTAAACAAGTTTTCTTTAAAAAGTGCGAAAATCATGAATAATTTCTCGATAATCGACACAAATATGATAGATAACAAACCGAGTGTGAAATCCGCAAAATAATTTCAGGGTCGTTTATTTTCAATTAGGAATGTAGGCAAGGTCGCGCATTTTTGCCTACGAGTGTTCAAAAAGGCACAATTGTCACGTCAAAAAAAACATTGGAACGAATTTGAAATGTGCCTTTAAATTCTAGACAATTTAAAGTTTTTTTGGTTTATAAGACGATATATTGCTTAAAAGAAATGCGCAAATTTCACAACAAATATTTGGGTTTTATATTTATTTTTTTTACTGTTTTTTTTTTGTTCGTCGTTATCATGATTGCGCAACAAGATCCAGCTTTTTTCTCAATCATTTCACCAGAACGCCACATTGATAAAAAAGAGGAGATTTCGCTCCCAATTCTCTCCTCTGCCTTCTTCGTTCTGCGCCTTCGCGCGTCCGTCGTTCGCCATTTGTTACAGTATTAGCCGCCAGACCCCCCCCCCGTTTAACGCGACTACACATTGTTTGCTATCATGCGATTTAGGCATCATCCTCATCATGACTTTACTACGATCCAATTGTTTTTTTTTTCTGCCTTCATAGAAAATATATTAGATATGTCGGCAGGTATCAAGTGCTTCGACCTGTTGTCTGGCCATTGTGAACTGAATGAAACATCTCGAAACAGACCCTCAAAACACACAAATCATGTGAAAACAAAAACGGCCCGAGTTGAGGGGAGGGCAAATTTGAATTGTTTGCCCATCTCGTTAGTTCCCACCTTGTGCATCGCATTTGGAGATTTGTTTTTCCATTATTCTCCCATTCTTCTTCACCTTCAATTCGTGTTGTTTTTTTTTTCGCTTCGCCCTCACTTATTTGTGCTTTCCACATGATTTATGCCGACTGTTCTTTTTTTATATTGCTTCCTTGTGAATTAATTTGAATATTACTTCCTTGAATCTCGAAATTATCTTGGCGTAAAATTCGCGATATTTGGAAGTTGATAGAAATCGAAAAAAAAAATTCTCCTTGACTATAATGCCGGGAAAGTCTGTGATGTTAGTTTTCATTAAACTGGAAACCGAATTTTTTCAATTTCTTCATTTTGTGGTCTCCACACCACGAGCCCTGATCTTTTAAACGTATTATGAAGCATGCAAAAAAAATGAAATCCAAAACACGTTTCATACACGATTTTCAAAGTTTCCGCAATGGCATCACAATCATTATGCAATCATCTTTTAATTGAATATTAACTATACAGTTTAAACAGATTAACATATAATTAATGCAAGTCAGCCTGAAAATAAGTCTTCATTGGTTATTCTTTATTAATTAATCATTTTCAAAGGTATTAATCTCTTAAATAACCATTCTCTTGAAATTGTTGGTCACAAATTCATCAAGTGCATATTATTACAACTTGTCTTCCGATTATTACACAAAACTGATCTTGCTTAAAAGGTCAATATGGCGAATTAAGAGGTGTTTCGAATTCATTTCGAATCTGCTTTTATTTGCAGAATGCGTTTTTTCATACTATTTTCAATATCAATATGGGTAATAGAGACGGTAGTTGTTTCGAATATTCGCGAATTTCTCATTTTGTCGTTTAGGAATCTTCAAATCACTTTGATGATCCTCGATTCCGATGGAATCTTGTCCCCAAAAAATTATTAAAACGGATTTGCAATCTCGATGACTCATTGCCGTTGTGCGCATGGAAGGTGAAACCCAGCCGCCGGCATTTTCGTTTCACACATGACTAATTCGAATTGTTACAGCGGCAATCATCGTTTAAAAAGTCGACGAAACCGGTGTTCTCGAAATGGGAAATCTGTCGGGACCATCCTGAATTGAATCTGTGCCGATGGCAGAATGGCGGTTTGATCACCGAACCATTGCCGACGGCGACGACGACAGGAAAAATGGAGAATTCGGCTGAAGCGCCGCCAACCACTGAAAACGAGCACATTTTTGTGGTAAGAATCTTGATTCGCTGAAAATGATGAGAATCCCAATTTGATTCATTTTCAAACGAGGAAAAGCTCATATTTTTCAAATAACTGACTTTCGATGTAAATTGCTGTAATAAATTCGCATTAAATGCCTGTCTCAAAGACCAATAATTTAATGTCAAAATCATGGCAATACCCATCAAAACTGTACAACAATCATTCCATTTCGTTTCGAATATATCTCGACAAAAATGGCCAACAAAAACTGTGAATTTGATGGAAAATGGTAGGCCAGTTGAACGAATTCCTTGAAGGCAAAAAATTGTTTTCGAAGTTGGCGTTTTAAAATCAACGGTCACATGGGAACAGTCAGGGTTAATCGTATCGATTGACCAATTCAATTTCAATTCAAATGAATAATTTGTTTAGAATGAGCCCAATATGATACTTTCCTCAAAATGGTCCGATCGAGAAGCTGTTGAGCAAAATCTGCGAAAAGAGCTCAATCAGGTTCGGCTCGAAACGAATACAAAAACTCATTCGGATTTTCAGCGAAATAATCGATTTGACGGCCAACTTCGTCATATTCCTGAAATCGGATCGCAAGAATCAATAGAAAATTTCGACGAATCAATCATGTCAGCCAATGAAGATGTTTTCAGTATTTAATCAGCCCAAAGTTTTACGGTTAAAATGTGCAAATATGTATGTATGTATGAAAATCATTCATAAATTGACTATAATATTTGATTTATTATAAACCTATTCAAGAAAAAAACATTAAAAAAAAATCAATTTTTCTCGTATCTCTTTGCTGTTTATTTTCAAAGGCGCACGCGAAAAGCTGCGCCGGTAAAGTTGCGAAGTCGGTACTGTAATTTTTTAATAGATGTTTTTTTCGAATTTTTTATTTTTTTAAGCGTTTAAAACGTTTTCTGTGGATATCTGTAAAAGTATTTTGTTTAATCAACAAATCTTTAAGTTTTTCTGAAAATTTTTGATCTATTCGAAAAGTTTATTCGCGCTCAGAATCAAGTCCAGCGAGCCGCAAGAAAGTTTCTTCTAGTGTGCATTGAGCAAGCATAAAATCTTGTACCTAAAACAATAATGCATTCATTAGAGAAGTAGAAAAAATGAATGAAATGTTTACATTTAAATCTTTTGCCATTTTTTGGATCGCTTCGAATTTTTTGGACCATTTATCGCCCGATTTTTTAGGGATCTAAAAATTGGGTTGGTATTTTCTATTTTTTTAAATAAATAAAATTTACCGTCCATTTCAAATTTTGTGTCATATTCGATTCAGCCGTTTTCAAAACCGCCGTCGGTATCTTTTGCGCGACCTTTTCGCACACCTTCTGACGATCGTCACTATTTTTCAGCGTCAACGTCAATGTGTAATTGGCACCATATCTGAAATGAAGAGAGTTTCTCGAAAAACACGAAACTGTGGAAGCTAACAGCGATTTGAGATCTTGACTTGTTCCCAAGGCGATCATTTTTCCGTGATCCATCACTGCGATCCTTGTGCAGAGCGCCTCGCATTCGTTCATCGAGTGCGATGTGAGCATGATGGCGCAGTCCGAGTTTTGTCGGAACCACGAGAGCAGCTCCCAAATTTCGCGTCGCGCTCTCGGATCGATGCCAGCCGTCGGCTCATCGAGTATCACTATTTTGGCCGGCGCCATGAGCGCCACACCAATCGATATTTTTCGCCGCTGTCCACCACTAAACAGAAGATGTCAACATCATCTATTTCAAGATACCTGTAGTTCTTGAATTTCTTGTTCGCGTGGTCCATCATTCCAACACAATCCAAAATCGAATTCGCGATGGCTTGACAATCCGAATAGCCATGCATTTGGGCGATTAGCTGAAGAATTTGAGCAATTCGCTGAAACGCGCATTTCAGCAAACTTCAAGCGCCTGTCTTCCGGTGAAATCCTTGAAGATGGCGTCGAATTGCGGACAATATCCCACAACAATATTGTCGGATACGTCTTTTCCATCAATCGTCACCTCGCCGTCCGATGGAAATATTTGACCCGTCAGAATGCCGAACGTCGTCGTTTTTCCGGCTCCATTCGCTCCCAAAACTCCAAAGCATTCATTTCCACGAATCGCCAAACATAATCGATTCACTGCTACAAAGTTTCCATAGTTTTTGGTAAGGTCCTGACAAGAAATTCAATTTTTGTTCTTTTTTTTTCCAAAAAATGAGTACTTTGGCAATCAGAACACAATCCCTCGTTTTTCCACTTCGAACCAATTGTTTTTCAGTTTCGACGGCTTCGCATTGCGGCAAATCCACCTGAAACTCCAGATTTTTTGCGGATGGCAAATCTCGCTGGATCAAACTTTGGGCGGCGGTGCCTCGGCATCCGTACTTCTCAATGTCATACAATGGGTTATCGATTTCTGGACGGGTTGCGCTTGAAAAATGAAGAACAACACGATCGACAGGAGTCCGAAGCTCGCCATGAACACCACGTGTTTTCCATTCAACGACCAAACGAGCATATTCGTGTTGCTCGTTTTTTCGTCCATACTAATGTCGTACAAAAATGTTGCGAAATCGAAGAGCGGAAGCAGGAAATTGCAAATATACTGCAACACATCGAATAATGGAAACATTTGAGCAAATGCTCCAACATACCGTCAAAATCTCGCTCACTTCACGATTCCCGGTTATCATCAGAAGTGTTTTATCGGTGAAAACGGCAATCATCGTGCCAACGATTAGCCAAAAGAGAAGCATTCCGACGGCTTTACCAGATGACGTGAATAAGAATGAGATGGCATAGACGAATGGAACGGTTGTTAAATAGAGCAAGAACCATAGGAATAGAATTCTGGAAGCCAAAATACGATGGATAAAATATATTTGAGAGGCGCGAATTACAGCAAAAAGTGATTATTGGTCCAGTCGAATGAGAAATAGATGATGGTTACAATTCCACACACAACGGAATACAATGCGAGATCATAGAGAAGCGAACCCAAATAGAAGATGGCTGGTGAGATGCCGGTTAGAAATTGCTGCAACCAAGAATGGCGTCGAACCTTCAATTCGTCTCGACTACCTGATGTGCAAATTTGACGACTCGCTCTTCGATTAGAAACACCACAAACGATGGGACGATCAACGCGAACATTCCGACTTGAATAAAAACTGCGGCGACTTTCTGCGATCTGTCCATGTTCTCCTGAGAATTGAGAAATTCGCGATTAGTAGAGGTATGATTATTAGAAAACCGTGTGTTTGTGTTTTCCAGCAATCAACTGCAAGGATGGCTCGATAACCGCGTTTCGAGCATCCAACGTCTGCATTAGGGCGCGGAACAATGTGTTGATTGCAATTGGATAAATCGCGTAGTTCTGCTCATTATAGTAAATCGTGTTGAAACCTTCGAAACCAAATGCAATAGCTGGAAACTCCTGGAGCAATTTAATCCATTAGCTACTTAAATCGTCCAATTTCATACTTTTTGACTTTCCGTCATCACCTCATCCAAATTTTCATGTTGTCTCAGCTCTCGAATCTATAAAGAAAATTTCGAATCGAATAATTCAACGCGCTTATTTCATACTGTAATATCGTCATAATTCGCAATGATTTTTTTCATCGCAGGTATCATTTTGTTTTCTGGAGTATACGGTAGGAACATAACAACTGCTTTGCCCAAATCGTCCAAACTGAATGTTCGTCCTAGACGCGATGAAAAAAATTATGTGAAGACGCAATTCGAAAATTGATACCATTTGAAATGAACCATTTTTGTGGGATTATTGAGACGATTCCGTTTAATAATAGCATCAAAATTGGGAGTCCAATTAGCAACACAATTTGCATTATATTGCGATAATTGTAGATAAACTTCTTCCGGAAAATCGCGTTAAGTTGGCCAATCGTTTTCGAGAATCCATTTAGATCGGGACCAGCTTAAACCACAGAAAATAATGAATTGGCACATTTCACATGCCTTTTAAAATCTTATGAAGAGCCTCGTAGTTTTTCATTCGATTAGCTTCTTCGTCCAAACTCTAGAATATGTCAATGATTGTCGGAAATGAATAAAAAAAATGATCGACAAGAAAAAAAACTCACATTTTTTGCTCTTTTCTTTTCTACCGAGTCCTCAATCGATATGAATACTTGTTCGAGATTGTTCAACGAAACGCCAAAACTCGTAATTTTGAGTTCTTTCGCGTCGGAAATTCCAGCCTTTTCCAACGATGGCGAATCATATCTGAAAATTGGCTCAAATTTGAAATTGGCTTCCCCCGAGTATCCAACTTTTCCGATTCGATCGCTTCGAGAGCCTTGAACAAATCGGGAAAATTGCTCTTCTCATTTTCCGGCAATATGATCTCGAGTTGCATTCCGTGAAATTCGCCCATTTCGGCAGTTTTGACAAATCGTTTGCACGTTTTCAGCAGCACCTCAGCCATCTCCTCCTGTCGATTCGTTTCATCAAACACCACCGTCAACAGGTAGCCGGTTCCGAATTTTTGCTTCAGAAATCGCGAGGTTCCCGACGCCGCCAGTCGACCGTGCGACATAATAAAGACCCAATCACCGAGACGTTCCGCTTCATCCATATAATGTGTCGTTAGCAGAATGGTTCTGAAATTGAAATGAAAAACGAAACGCTAATTATATGTTGTTCACTTGTTCTTTTTAGCGATTTCGAGCATCTTCTGCACATCCTTTCGAGCGCCCGGATCCATTCCGGAAGTCGGCTCGTCGAGCAATATCACTTTGCTATTTCCAATCATTGCCATACACAAACACAATTTTCGTTTCATTCCACCAGACAAATTCGTGGCGAGCTCGTCTTGTTTCGAAACAAGCCTGATGTCGGTGAGCAATTGTGTCGCATCCGGCTCAAACGGCGAAGACGCGTCTTTCAAGCCGTGAATGAGCTGGAGATGCTCTTTGACGGTCAACTTGTTGTAAATCGGATTGTATTGAGGGCAGAATCCGACGTGGTGGCGTGTTTTTTCGAATTCCCTCACAACATCATCCCCGCATATTCGGATTTTCCCTAAAACCAGCGTAATCGGTTATGACGCTTCGCGTTATTATCAATGAGTCATCTCACCGCTCGTTGGCTTAGTTATTCCGGTGATACACGAGAACGTTGTGCTTTTGCCGGCCCCGTTGTGGCCCAAAAGCACCGACACTTGTCCGCGCATCACTTGAATGTCCAATCCATCGACAGCACGCTCGCCGTTTGAATAAATCTTCACAAGATCGCGCACACTGATATCAGACGTTCCTTTTTCTCTAGCCGAGTCAACTTCGGCAACAAGCAGAGTGCTGTATTCATGCGATTCTGTCGATATCGACCTCTTCTTTTCGTGTCCGCCCTATTAATATTATTATTTCAATAATCAACACAAAGAACAAATGTGTACTTCTTTCCTATTATTATCAGTGGTCAAAACTGGATCTCCACCGCTTTCCTAAATTTTCCACGTTTTCCAATTGAAGAATAAATTACTCAACTTTTAAGCAGCACGAGAAATAAAGGTTTGATCGAAGATATTCAATGAGTAGCAGAAGCGAAAACATAATGACACAGTCAATCAACATCATCGCAACCGCCAAGCCCATTGGAAATTGGTATTCCATTCCGTTGAACATGGAAATGACGCTGATGTCGACACCTAAAGTTGAAATTTGGACAGAGAAAAACGAATTTTCAACTAGACCTTTCGCCATTTGATCTTTCATTATTGCAATTGCCAAACCGAATGCGCTGTGAATATTGAACGAAAACATTAGACAAATCCAAAATTTTTCCCGTCGTAGGGTATAAATGGATAGCAAACGATCCAAAATAATCCATGATGCAATAGTAACTGCATAGAATATTATTGAATGAATATTGAAGAATGCCATCACCTAGTAATGCCTTAGTGGGACTTCGGATAATGGATCCGATCAATGCTCCAAACAAAACAATTCCGATTCCGTATATTGCAAGAACTAGGATAAATAAAGCAATGCTTACATTCTTGAAAAAAACGACAAAAATTATTGAATGATTGTGACATACATACGTCGATGACTATAAAAATTGGCATGACACAAATTGCGACAATTGTAATGTATTTGATAAAACCGAATAAAATATGGGAAATATAGAACATTGTGGAAGACATGTCTATGGCGATCAGATATGGCTGAATAAAAGGAAGCAAAATCGAATTCATCGAATTATGAGCAAAGCAAAACCTTGATATTCGCATTCTCAGTGCTGATTTCTCGTGCCACGTGCGCTACCATGATACTTATAGTGATCGAAAACAAGCCAAAAAACATTGGAAGTGTCTTGTAAGCTGATTTCACTGGCGTTTTGGGAACCGGTAATCTTTTCAGCTTGACACCTTGATCGAATGGAAATCCCGTAGTCATCTACATAATCATTTATAAATCTGCACTGCATTAAAAAAAGTAATTCAGACCTCAGCAAATGAAGATTCGATGGCGTATTGTAGCGAAAGGAATCCGGAGGAAACGTAAGAATTGAATTCAAACCTATTCTCTAAATTGTCATTTCGCGAATCATAATTCCAATAATCGTCGATATGAAGCCATGCATTTCTCATGTGATCCAAGAAAACTCGATATTTTAACTTTTTATTCGGAATATCGGCAAGTTCGAAGAAAATTCCTATCGGTCTAAATTTTAAAAAATATATATTGTTGAAGTCAAACGACTTTATGAAATTAAAAAAAAATTATTGGCAATGTGCCAATGCGTTTCGACGCATCGTGAAATACGCAAAACTGCGTACATTGCATTATAGTGTACGCGCATTCTGTCAATGATAATTTTAAATGTGCACTGATTTTTTTAAATCTGCGCAGAATTAATAACATAACTATGCAAGCAGTTTTTTTTTTCTTCCGAGACCCGTGAATACAGCCGGGAAATTTCCGAGAAATTCGAAATTGTATTTCGTTCACCACTAATTCTACCCACTGATCTCTAGTTCACGGAAGTTTCGCGAGACTTTGGGAATTTTGACTAGTTGAAAAATCGCCTCGCTGGACTACTGGGAACCTTAAAATGAAGACCTTTCCTAGGATGCAAGTTTTGGACTGGATGAAAAAATTTTCAACATTAAAAAAGTTTAAAAAATGATTTACGGATTAATGCAGAAAAAATAAAATGAAAAAAAAATGAAAATAATTTTTTTTCGCGCTGAATTTTTTTTCGATTTTTTCCGCATTGTCAAATTAGAAAAATAAAACTAAACCTCCAGTAGGAATCATTTTGATTAGCGAGTCGGTTCACTAAATCTTCTTCGCTGTTAACTTCCACAAATCGTGTTTGAGTCTTATTTTTTCCACCAGATAAGCGTAATAAAACTTTTGCAACATATTCTTTGGATTTTCGATCATTTGGATTACTGAAGTCATCATTTCAGTTCATTTCCGCCACCAATTCTTACTAATAATAAACAACACTTTTCTCCGATGTGTCTTCAATGTTTCCGTTTATTATTATCCCTTCATCATCCATATTTAGAGCGTTATTCACCGTCTAGAAAATCATTTTAAAAAATAATGCTCGCGGAAGCCAATTGGTGTTGAAATACGTTGCCTGTCACAATGATTGTGCCACAAAATCCACCGATTATGAGTATTGGCAACAAAATTTCGAATATCGTCCAAATAATATTCCGTCGTATTAGTATGAAATCTTTCCATAATAGCAAACCCAATTGTCTCACTACTCCCATTTTCAAAGAAATGGCAAAGCGAAACAATTGTGTTGGATATCAGTTGTTTGTGCCCAATCACGTATCCCAAGCGTTTTTTTTATTCTCCACATTTTAAATTTAATTTTTTTTCTTCATTATGTAATGAATTGTTTACGATGAAAATAGAATATTGTGAAAGGGGGCTTTTAGATTTTCTCGGTTTCATAATTAACAATTGTCCTGAAACCCCTAGAATACATTTTTTTAGAATTTGATTTTGTCGGCGGCAAACGATTGGCTATAATTATTGTATGCAAAAAATGCAGATGACACATCTTTTCTTCGAGACAACTCGCAGATTGCCTAACAAATTTCATTCAGTCGTTTGACGCTGACAACAATATGAATAGAATAATGGGAAGAGCGAGCCGTCAGATGACATGCACGGAATTCCGTCTTCTGTTTTTGGAAAATCTAAGTTCCTGGCAGCTGTGGTGACATGCAGCCGACTTAATAAGTAAAAAAGGAATAGAATAAATGTTGATCTCTTATCTCCGACTGATGGGCGGAGCCTATAGGGCGGAGCCACAAAAGTATTTTTTCGGTATTTTTTGCGAATCTTTGATATTGATCGCCACTAAATTGACGCTCAACCTATTTTTCTTTCAGAAATTTCAAAATTGATTTCACACTAGACCTCTACTTAAAATTACCCAATTGATGTAAGCATTGGTGATTCGTATTGCTCTTTTCGATTCCCTACGTGACACACTTGTGGTGTTTATCCGAAGCTCATAGCTCATTTCAAAACTTCTATAGCCATTCGCTGATATTTTTACGACTTTACAGCAACCGTAAAAATATCGAATCTCGATTTACTGAAATTTGCCAAATTCCTTTTTTTTGTTGGCCAAAGAAAAAATAAAAACGATCTTCAGTCTCACCGAATTTCTCAATTCACATAAAACCTTTCTCAATTTTTTTTCCTTCTGGAAATCCATCGTCGAGGGAAAAGAAAGAAGACTAGGCATGAGCAGTGCAGCAGCAACAAAAAAAAACATTTGGCGAAAACACACTCGGCTCGTCGACGTGAGAAACACAAGTTTGAGCTCGAGCGCCAGCGACTCTCAGCCTCTGCGTCTCGTCGCTCGCTGTTTTTTTTTCTGGTGAATAAAAGCGCCGGCCGAAGAGGCAGTCAGTTGCCGCATCTCGCCTCGTTCGATTCACCGGCCACTTCGTGTTTTTTTTTCTGTCTCCGAGACAATTCTATTTCGGCATTTCTCGAAAGCATGTGAGTTTCCCGACCTCAGACTCCATTTATGGAAATCTCGAATTGCAAAAAGTCAATTGAAAATCTATATGAAATCCTTTTGTTTTAGATTTTCACAATAATAGCCTAGAAATTAAAAAATAATATCAAAGAAATTCATAATTTAATACCCTTCTTCTAGCGTAATCTCAAAATTCAAAATTTGCAAAAAAAAATGGAGAAAATGATGCTAAAAAAAATAGAGAAACCAACAATTTCGTCATCGTATTGTTGACGTTCTCCTAAAAAAAAGACGAATTGCATCATATTTTTTATTTGCATTATTCAACGCGTTCCGAGTCAATCATTTTTTTTCTTTCCCCACCATTTCAAATCGATTCGAGTTCATATGTTGAAATGCTCAATTGTGCGCGTTTGGGTCAAAGAATCATCGCCGAAATCACGTAGCTTGTTGTTGTCAATCCGCTTGCTCCAACTACTCTCGACACTGCTGCTGCAGCTGCCGTCGCCGCCCATTCTGCCCTTTGCTTCAATCGATTACTATTGGCCAATGCGTCCCCCGGCACCACATTTTCAGTCAATGTCGATTTAGAGATGCAGAGGGATGTGCGCGATTTCTCTAATCCCTGCCCAACACTCGCCGTCGTTTTCCCTTGACGGCGAGCATCTGCGGACAAAAAGAAGCAAACGTGTAATTCATATTAATTTCCCGTGACTTGTTTCCGAATTGTTGTTTACACTTCGATTCTCCACATTTCTCCACAGCAGTTCATTTTTCTTTTGACCATTGATTTTGATCTACCGCCTCGACAGCCTTGATCTTTCACCATTGGTATTATTCGCATCGTCGCTCAACAATCGCGCGATTGATTCATTTCGATTCCAATTCCAGTGATGGCTTCCTATTCGCAATACTTGACCAAGGCCCAAGAGGACGAGCTCCGCGGCATTGCCAATGCGATCGTTGCTCCAGGAAAGGGAATTCTCGGTAAGCGGGCGATCATCGGCTAGCAATCGAACGTGTCTTGCATTTTGCAGCCGCTGATGAATCGACTGGCTCGATGGAGAAGCGTTTGACCAGCATCGGACTTGAGAACACCGAGGAGAATCGCCGCAAGTACCGCCAACTCTTGTTCACCGCCGGCGCCGATCTCGGAAAATACATCTCCGGTGTGATCATGTTCCACGAGACGTTCTACCAGAAGACCGACGACGGCAAACCATTCGTCAAGGTTCTTCAGGAGCAGGGCATCATTCCCGGAATCAAGGTCGACAAGGGTGTCATCCCATTGGCCGGCACCATCGGCGAGGGAACCACTCAAGGTTTGGATGACTTGAACGCCAGATGCGCTCAGTACAAGAAGGACGGAGCCCAATTCGCGAAATGGCGTTGCGTCCACAAGATCTCCACCACCACCCCATCGGTGACTGCTCTCAAGGAGATCGCTCAGGTTTTGGCTCGTTATGCCTCGATCTGCCAGCAGAACGGACTCGTCCCAATCGTCGAGCCAGAGGCACGAATTCCCTGTGTTCTGATCAGCCGCTAAATGTTTTTTTCTTTTCAGATCCTTCCTGACGGCGATCACGACTTGGCCCGCGGACAAAAGATCACCGAGACGGTGCTCTCGTACGTCTACCACGCTCTCAATGAGCATCACGTGTTCCTCGAGGGAACTCTTCTCAAGCCAAACATGGTCACCGCTGGACAGAGCTTCAACGGAACCAAGCCGACGAACGCCGAAATCGGACTTGCCACCGTCACCGCTCTTCAGCGCGGAGTCCCATCGGCTGTTCCGGGCGTCGTTTTCCTTTCCGGAGGACAATCCGAGGAGGAGGCCACCAAGAACTTGAACGCCATCAATCAGGTCCAAGGAAAGAAGCCGTGGGCTTTGACGTTCTCCTACGGACGCGCTCTTCAGGCTTCGTGCCTCGCCAAGTGGGCTGGAAAAGACGAGAACATCAAGGCTGCTCAGGTAGCGACACATTTTGATTGGGACCATAAATATTGAACGCATTTCAGGAGGTTCTTCTCCATCGCGCTCAGGTCAACTCATTGGCTTCCGTCGGAAAATACACTGGAGACGCGAACGCTGATGCCGCTGCTTCACAATCGCTTTTCGTTGCCAACCATGTTTATTAAACATGCGAATAATTGCAAATTGATCTCTATTTAAATAACTTCTTTTAATCCTTACCCAAATTTCGTTTCGACTAGAAAAAACTTCACCCCTTTTGAGCATGGAAAATTGAAATAAAGATTTAGATTTTATTATATTTTTTTTCAAAAAACAAAAGGGAAACTTTTTAGATCCATTGGATTGGATCATCGGAAGGAGGGACTTTTACTGAGGTACTCTTTTCGTCGTTTGACGACGTCGTCTTGAAGTATTCCCAAGTTTTCATGGGAGGATTCCAAATAGCACAATCGGCGGCGACCTTTCACCAAAACCCGTTCGGTCTTCTGAAATATTCATGGATTTGTGTGACATAAAAAAAAAAGATCGAATAACCTCAAACTTCTCGGCATACCAGATTGAAACAAAAATGCAGAAAATTGTAGTGATAATCTGAACATTTGTACTTGAAGATGATAAGATGAAGAAATAATTTACAATAGTTGAAAGCCAGATTGCGATGTTGCTCAAATCAATTTGGAGGAAAAGCTCGCGGGCGCACTTGACGCAAACGGCCATTTCTAGAACGCAGATTAGTACGAAGATCCAGCATTGCATTCCGACTCGGCGAGTCAGCGGATCGGTAGCATAGACGTAGAATTGCCTACATAATTCATTAAAAAAAAAGAGAAAAATGAAGATGAGATACCGAATTGTTGGCGCGGCGATGCATCCGATAAGAATGATTCTCCAGAATACCACCGGATGTTGAGTATCGATGGCGAAGATATGTTTTATGAAGAAGGTGTTAAGCTCGGAAATCTGAAAATATTGGAATATTGTTTAAGTTTTCTTCGGTTTACTAAAGATCGGAAACTATAATCGAAGTCGCGCGCCTGCGGAATATTGGCAAAATGCCAAATAAAAACAATATGTGGTCCTGGCGCAAAACTAAAAGAGAGAGAGACCTAAGTATAAGGATAGGTTATAGACCTAAGTATAAGGATAGGTTAAAGGCGCATATACCGAGACCATTCTTAAATTTTTTCGGCTCTTTCAGCAGTCACGCGACGCTAATATTTAGACAATAAAATGAGAACTGTTCCACTGGTTTCTTTGAGATAAAACGAGGATCTTGCGTGTTATCAATGCGGAAATACTCACCAGCCAAAATAACACAAAGACTGTCAATGTGATTGTTCTCTTGACAGCTTGTCCAAAGGAGTTACTGTAGCACCATTCGAATTGGGACCAGCTCGCTGGAGTAAATTGAAGAGCAAGCCGCTTCATCTTTCCGCGGCGAGATTTTATATTTCTAAATTAAGCGATTTATTAGGATTTTCAGTTTTTTTTTCCAATAAAAATTGCAATACCTCACACTTTCCCAATGGTAGATGCGCATTTGCAAGAATTTGCAAAATTTCATACCGCAATAAATTCCCAAGCCATTGCAAATAAGAACGTCGAGGATGATCGCATCCCACCAACATTCGGCGAAGTTTGGAAGCAGTGCCATGAACATTAACTAAACCATTTCGAATTATGATCAATTTCGCGACTATTAAAAACTTCAGTGAACTCCCAGATAATTGAAATATACCAACTGAGAACCCAATGCCTAATAAGGACAGCTTTCATGACCCATCCGACGAAATGGGAGAATGCGAAGAAGTCGACATGGCTCATGATTTTCTCAAACGAAAAATTCCAACAATCTTGCGCGTATTCTTTCTCTTCGAGCTTCTTCTGTCCGAGACCCACTGGATCCAACCAAGTCAGCAACTAAAATTAGGCATTTTGGCTGAATATCACTCCAAATTCTTACTTTTTTCAAGTCATCATGAGTTTGGAAAAGAGCAAATTGAAGAATCAGGACATAAACTACGGAAAGTCCAAAAATGATTCTCCACACTACTGGATGTGGCCGGATAAATGGGCCATTTGGAAAAGTTAACGCGCTAATCATTAGAAAAAGTGCGAGCATTCCCATAAATCCATCAATAATATTTTTCTCAGTATTACTCGTCGAATCTTCATTGAACGCTTTGTAGAACAATCCGATGGAAAGGACGAGAAGCAGTGTAATACTGTGCGGTTTATAGAAAACTTCCATTGAAACATCATCGACGATTCGCTCATTTATCATGTCGAAGTGTTGCTTTTCGAGAATTTCATTGTACCGTTTGTTCTTTAACCGTTTGTCTCTACAAGTTGCAAATCAATCGTTGTCATTTTATCAAATCTTCGTTGCATACGTTGAATGGCGATTTTGTTCACCATCTGTCGTAAAACCAAGATCATCGATATTGTCGTCAGAATTGATTAAACCATTCGCCAGATCATTATCGCTGAAAGACGTTGTTCTAAAATTAAAGTCTTATTATTGAATAACAGCAAAAAATTATGAGAAAAGCGAATTGCTAATCTACATTTTATCATGATTTTTATTTAAATATTCGCGTTTCGCATAATTACGTTTCTAAAATTGAAGAGCGCTCTACCTGCCCCCAAAATGAGGTTCGTCGTCGAATTCATCTTCTTTACCCTTCGTCATTTTGTTAACCTGAAAATAAATGAAATGAATGAGAGATTGACGGGCATTATAAAGTAAGACAATAGGAGAGAAGTGAACTTTTTCGAGAACAATGTTTCGAAAATTTTTGTGAAAACCGGTTCTCCGGTGCGAAGGAATCATTTCAGTTGATATTCTAGTTATCAATGTAAGTTGAAAGACGGCGTGATCTGCCGAGGAATTCAGCGAATCAATGTGATCAGAACAATTTTTACGCTAAGTTTGTCAAAGATTAAGAATACGCTAATATTGATAAGAAGTGTACGGTAGTTTGAAAATAGTACCTGTATGTATGCAGAAATGAATACCGTAACGTGAATTTTAATTATTTTATCCTTCATGAGTTGACTGATCTTTATTGGTTTAATAATAAAACAATGCACCAGTAAACACTATTTCATATGCAAAATAGTTTGGCACATGATGCAAAACACGCACTTTTCACTCGACATTCGACTAAAGCGTGATAACGCGCGAAATATAATGCAATATTGCTCGACTCAACCGCTTTTAATGATTTATTTTCTTGGAAGTTTCATATTTAATCCCTTTTCTTCTCATTTTTCTTCTCAAAAGCATGACAAAAAATGAGAGCGCAATCAATATTTATTAGAAAAAAAACATTGTTGGCACAAATGCAAAATAAATAAATTATTTAACACATAATGAAAAATATTACACGAGAATTGTTATGAGACCTGCACACGATATGAATTGAGCAAAAGTTGGGTGTTCCTTGCGGCATTTTTCGACTTTCGCCCACACAACACCGTTCGTACTGTCGCGCGGTACGTTGTACTCATCACGCAGTAGACGACGAACGAGGTCAGACAATTGATCAAGGATAACAAATCGAGCACCTGCAATTGTTTCGTTGTAGAAAACCCGAATATGAATATTCAGCGAACTTCTCCAACATTCACGTAAATCATCGTGTGAACGTGCGTTGGATAAATTGCCGACAAAATTGCAAGAAGACCTGAAGTATGACATAATTTTACCATAAAATTGAATATTAATGAATACCTTGAGGAAGTTCGGTGCATAGAAAAACAACGAGCATGATAATGAGCATCAGCGTCGTTCGGTCAATTGAAACAGCATGCGAAATTTTGCGGTTTTTTCTGCAAAAAAAAAACAACAACAACAAAGAATAATTAATTTTTCTGCAAATTGTTTTCTCTCTTACTGCTCATCCCTAGCGGAAGATGTTGGATTAAGTGCAGGTGCGACCAGCGGATACTCAGCTTTTCGATTATTCTCGCCGCGCAGCAGCTTTCGCTTCTCGCTCATCTCGCATAATTTATAAATTAGAGCAATTGTGAACCAAAGAATCAAAATGCATGGAAGTGCCTAAATCAATATATATATTTATTGTCGTCTCAATCATTTCAATTTGCCGGCGATGACCTTGAACATGATACCAGTAATCCATAAGTTGAGCCGGAAAAGTGCACACCCGTTTATTTTTGTCTCATCTAATGTTACTGTGTACAATCCATCGAGCTATTGAGAAAAAAAAAATCAAATATTCACAATGAAAAATAAGAAATACCTGAGAATTTGTGTCATTAATATGCAATATATCCTTGACGGTCACAATTTTATGGACCATGACCGTCGGAATTGAAATAATCGACACAATCAGAGCAGTTAGAATGAAGATTCTCCTAGAAATTCGCAACATTCTTTTCAAGACCATTTAGACGTACTTTAAGGCTCCGTGATTGATCCATTTGGCGTCTAGTCGATCCAATGCAGTCCATCGGATGTAAGCCATTATGACAGAAAGGTACAATGAAGTTGTGTGGAGTGCGATGGACGAAGTAACATGAGTTATGAGAAATATCAGCCAAGGATAAGTGTATCTGAAAATCGAGATCAATCTCTTCAAAATTCTTTTTTTTTTTGACCACCCACCCGATGACATTCGAAGAATCGAATATTCGAAATCGGAGAATATACACAAAATAGGATGCCATTGTAATGATATCACAAATTGACATGGCGCACAAAAGGGCGTTGATAATATAAACCCGCATCGCTTTTTGCCTAAATTTGGCCAATTATTGTGGAATTCTCGATGAACTTCATGCATCAACACGTAGAAATGAAGACAATTGAGAAGGACGCCGAAGAAGCATACGAAAATGCATAAGTATCGATGGAGAACGGTATAGACTCTGGAAAATAATCGAATTTTATCTCTCCTAATTATATATATCCTATAAATTATTTGCTATATGTCAAATTGTTAGTGAGGTTGTTGCGAATTTTCCGCAAAATGTGAATATTTGATTTTTTGATCTTTTGCTCTTCAGGGAATTCCATCCGCAAAAGAAAGTTGCTCGGCTAGATCCTTTCCTTATATAGAACCCTCGACACGCTTGTTTTTTTTCAATTAAAATTCAAGTCTTGTGTGAATTGGCAGTGAGAATTGCACTCAACTTGGACATGTCCAAATTTGGAAAACGTCCTTGAAACGCCGACCAATGATTTAATCGGTTTTCTTTTCGACGATCGCTATTATTGTTTGTAAGCCACGTGGCAACCATCACCACGTGTTGTTTTCCGGGTTCAAAATTCTTATCAATGATGAAGGGTGACGTATGTTGGAAGTCATTTTGTTGTTTTGATCAATTCTAATTATTGATGTCGAAAAAATTGTTCAACGTTTGAGAATATTTCCTCCCACATCGAATTTTCCACGCCTCGTGCTTCAATCAAATTTTTTTGGCCGACAAAAAATCGTCGCCAAGACAAAGGCTACACTATATTCTCTAGAATAATAATAATAATAATAATAGTTCAATTCGTTGTGTGACGTCTGAGTGGAACAATGAACTGCTTTTTTGCTTCTACATAGAATTTCCAAAAAAGGCTTTGCTTCAACAGTTCAATATCACACTGCATACTTTTGATTTCTGAACGCAAGTGTTCAAGGACGCGAAAAACGTGGTCTCGAGGGGAAAACTCTTGAAAGTGTATGTATTTTGATAAATAGATTCTGTTGAGAAACATTCTTCAAAAGTAGCGCTTATATGACAAAAACGCGCGAAACGATGAAAATTTAAAATTGTTTTTTTAAAATAAAAAATATTTTCTAAATATAACTGAAAGTATGCTGGAGGCTGATTGACAAAACAAAAACCAACTGATTGAATGCGATGAGCTGATCGAAGAAGAACTGCGTTCGGTTGTTCTCCAAATCAAACAACGGCAAATCTTCGGTGCACATTCCTTACGGATTCATTTGAGCATTGCCGGAATATCGTCGAGGACTCTGCAAACTTGAAATGGGTTCATGACACGAAAAAAAAGAAAGAAGACGAAAGCGGAATGGCTTTGTTCGAGTTCACAACAAATTGCATGAAAAAAAAGCGGCATAATTAATTCATAAATCGGACTCGTTTGATAGGGGGGGGGGCACATATGGAACAATGAGTAGGGGGTGGATGGCAATAACGCGAATCGATTCAAAATTCACGATGCCTGCTTGATTCGGACCAACGCGAAATTGTTGCCGTTTAGGCAGAAAAAAAAGAACAACCGGAAATTCGGTGGGTGCAAGGTGCAAAATTGGGGTGGGGGGTGCGATTATCCGTTCAGAATGCACGCTGTGCCTCGTGGCTGCCACCTCGCGCTTCAATCAAGATGCCTCGCAACATTAATTATTTTGGCAGCATCTATATATATATATGTATAATTAAACGGATATTCGCGCAAATTGCAATGAGCTGATTTTTTCTCAGAAAACAATTGATGCCAACTATTTTATAGGCAGTGTCTTGGGGGGAAATGAGGCAGCAATCTCTGAAAGGTTTATAGAAGGGACCATGGCAAAGAAAGGTTCGAAGAACATCCATGTGATTTCAAAAAAATTTCGTTTTCGAGGTAAAGGGATTTGATCCACTCGCAGTTAATTCTCCATCACCCATTTTCTCCATTCATCATGATTTTCTAATCCCATCCGAGTAATTTAAATTTCAATGTGGTAAACAAGACATAAACAGTATAGAAAATGAGCTCTATTGAAGTTCTGGCGATGGCGAAAAAATGGAAATTTGGATTTTTTGAGCAAATCCAAGCAAATCCAGAAAATTGAACTGGGCGTGCCTTCGAAAATTTTGAAACAAGAAAAAAAAAGGCGCAAAACTATTCGTGCGAAAAATGCGTTTACTTTTAAATTATATCATATTGGTTTTTGGGCGGCTTCCCATCAAAAAAAAATGTTTGGCCTAAATTTTGAGTTGAAGATTTTTGAAAAAGACACTTGGAATTATTCATTGAATGAGCGAACGCCCACATAAATTCGAAACATGTAAGCAAGGGATATTCTGAAACAAATTCAAATGTCATTTTTTTTTCGAGGCGAACACACCTCCTTTTAGGTGTGCTCTCTGAATGTCATAATTTTAAGAAGAAGTAGCCTACTGGATCAGAGTTCTTATGCATTTTCTTTTTGCATACGTGTCGAGTATACTGTAGTAATTATGTGTGCTTAGCTATAATTAACAATTCAACAGAAAAAACGAAAAACATAAAATATGGTGTGGTGTTCGATTCGCGCGGTGGTAAAAAAATTATAGGTTGAAAATTCTTGGAAAATTTCTTATTCGAGCGACAAACAAATTGGCACGTAAGGACAGGCAATGAATATGATTTATCAGCAGGGCGCAACAAAAAAAAAACGGCGGATTGTTGTTCTCGTCAGGTGTAAAGATGCTCTCAAATTTCATGAAAAAAAAAGAAGTATGCGGCGAGAAGAAATTCAACAAATGATCGCGTTTTGCCTCGTTGAAGAAACGAATATTATATTTGAGCGGAGAGGCGAAAGCCGTTTTTGTGTTCGACGAAAAAAGAATATATTCAAATCGAAGAAATGAGTGTTTGAAACGAAGCGCGCAACATTTTGATGGATTCTTTCGGCAAAATGTTGCGACAATTAAATGCAGGTGATAATGCATTTGGGTGCGACTTATTCCATTTCGGCGAGTGTCATTTTCTAGTATTGTCGGCGTCAAACGACAGATGGGAGACGGGGCCTTCAGATTCGCGAAATCAGTGTAGATTTAAAATTATCATTGACGGAAATGCGCGTACACTATAATGCAATGTACGCAGTTTTGCGTATTTCACGATGCGTCGAGACGCATTGGCACATAGCCAATTTTTTTAAATTTCGTCAAGTCGTTTGACTTCGACAATATACAGAACATACATATTTTCCACTTAATTATATTTAATTAATAATGAATTGAATTGATTAATCGCATTTCAAATATTGTGGAAAAGATGACGAATGTGAAAAACTGCAGCAATATCCAATGCATTGTGTGCATACACCAAGTCGCACATCACGATCTTAGCTACTGAAAATTATTTAATGAATTATTGATCGCTTCTTTTTATGTAAAAAAATTATCTTTGAATAATATACAAAAATAATTACTATTACACCTTTTCAACACAACAATAAACATAAAACCATAAATTCACCAAGAAAATACAGAAAAAAATTAATAAAATAATTTTCAGTTTAGATTACTGTAGCCAAGATCGAGATGTGCGACTCGGTGTACGCACACAATGCATAGGATATCGCTGCAGTTGTTCACATTCGTCATTTTTCCACAATATTTGAATATTTAATTTAAGTTTCACACCTTCCATCCAGATTATTTAATTCAATTTATTTTGTTTGATTCTGATAGCATTTCTTCAATCACTCAAATAAATCTAAGCTCGAAAACGAAAAAAAAATTATAAGGGAACTCGAGGAAACAAGAAATGTTCAGAACTTTCACCACATAATTAGCCTAATTCTGAAAATTGCGGAGACGGGAGAAAAAAATAATAAAACAAGACGGAATAATAGTCAAATATAATTGGTTAGATGCCAACATGTTCGCGCGAGTCGGAATGAGATAATGAAAATAATGAAGAAAAAAAGTATTGAGTTGAAATCGGATTCCTCATTGGCGAGAAAAAAGAAACCCTGAAGATTTGTATATAAATTGATATTTTCTATGTATTTTGAACCGAGAAAAAAACTTGGAGAAATTTAGAAACAATTAAACATCGAAGGCAATTAGCTTGATGAAGCTAAAAATGTCAGAAGGACATGAATCTGACAAGGAAAATATCAGTTTCGATTTGAAAATTTATTCATGGAATTGAGCACAAAGTGCAACTACTCGACATTTTTTTTTGGAGAAATGTCTCGCAAATGTGAAATTCACATTTTTTGGAAAATTTAAAAATTGTATTATTTAGAAGCATTTTTAATTGTGTCTCTTTTATTGAGAAAATTTTAATTGGATGGTTCTTTGATGTCTTAACCACTGTAATATTTCGAATGCCCTTCTTGAAGGACTATAAAAGAAATTTTTGAAAATGCCACTTTTCTTTTTAAATTGCTTAAACCAGGATGTCAGGCTACCTCTACCTGGTGGGACCCTTGTTTGAGTTACCATCAAAAGAACAGGTCCCTCGTCTTGCCCTCAGCATTGTGACAACCAATTGCGTATGTTTCTAAAAAAAATCGTGGCTACCTGAAGAAAGCCTTTAATTCAAATACTACTAATTTTCATTTTTTCCCAATTTTTCAATTAATTTATTCATTTTTATTTTCAACGACTGGGTAGATTTACATACATGCTCTTTAGCTATGGTCTCGTACGGAGTAACTGCCTAGTTTGCATTTTAGATGGCATTCCATTAATTGTTTATTTCGGTGTCGTGAATTCAAAAAAATTAAACAGTTCACGTGAACATTTAAAAATAAGCCATCACTCGTAAATCTACACCTTCCGAATAATTGATTAAAGGCTCATAAATGAGGTGAGTTGTTGTGTCCTTGTGAACGAGCCAACGTAGAGAATATATTTATTAGACACAAATATGAATAACTGATTATTGAGCGTAAAAAGGGGTTTTTATATCGCTCCTATGAAACGTGTGCCACGTGGTGTGTCACGTGACGTGTCGAGGTCACGGCTCCAACATCTCCCTCGCTAGTTCGAAACATAGGTGTTTCGGGATGGATTGATCTGTAGTCGTCTGACCGGCTTCGGGATATTTGTTCTTGGAGAAGCGTTTCCATGCGGGTGTGATGACGAACCTGGTCGGCGGTGATGGGCAGGTTCGAGCAGCGTTCGGTCCGATCGGCGATGACTTCAGCTTCGACGGCGGCAATGACTCGATCTTCATTCTCCATAGTGCGGGCATGTTCCGATATGAGATGAGAGAGTGCGTCGGCAGCGGCATCGTCCGTAAGCAAGAGAGAGCGGAGAATGTGCTGGATCCAATCCAGTCCGAGGAGTGTGGCGGTATCGGCTACATGACAATATCCGGATCCGTGTTGTCCATTGATGATGAACTTGCAGTTGAACCGTCCTTTGAGGCGAATCCTGTTGTTGTTAGCGGCTTTCAGATTGACGTTGGCAGGCTCGAGCGATGGTTTCCCAAGTCGAATCCAATCCTTTGTTGAGACTAGCGAGATATCGGCGCCAGTGTCCAATTGCATCTTGACGTCGGTTCCATTGATGTTCACGTTCTTGAAGATCCGGTTGCTCTTGTTGATCCATGCGTGGTTGACTGAGATGAGTCCCAGATGTCCTCCTTGACGTCCTCTGCGGGATCCTTGGCGTTTCCGGCGGGATTTCGGGTTTCTTCTGCTGTCCGTTCGGTTGCGGTTGCAGTCAGCATTCCAGTGAGGTCCTCCACAATGTCTGCATGGTGATGGTGGCTTCTGCTGCGTTGTTGGCTGTTCTGGTCGTGGTTCGGGTGTCCTCGCCTTCGGGGTCGAGGTTCTTCGTGACGTCGTTGATCGTTGTTGGTGGTGGTCCTCTCTCGACATAGCAAAGATGTGCTGGTGGTCGTGGTGAAGTCCTTTGATTGTTGGCGAATTGAGGAGTTTCGCGTCGTCCTTGATTCCAAGAATGCGCAGTACGTCCGCTTGCAATTCGTCCAAAGTGATGCTCGGCTTTGACTCCAGTTGCTGCAGAGCCCGGGTGCGTATGTCCATGAATTCCGGTCCGTTGAGACCCATGATCCAGACGAGAATCTGGGTTTGCTCCGGCGTCGTCGTTGCCCATTCTGCTTGCGCGAACTTCCTCTTGATTTGGCCAGTGTATTGAACAAGATCCGAACCAGTGAATTGCGATTGCAGAAATTCGAATCGGCGTCGGAATACAGACTTCGAGTGTCCAAAGAGAGTCTTGAGCCGGGTGATGG